GCCGATGGCTCAGAAGCGTCGGGAGCGGAGGGACCGGGCGCCGCGCCCTTGCGGTTGCGGCGGGCCTTCCCCTTGCCCTTCGACGACTCCGCCACGGCGGGAGCGTCGGCGTCGTGCATGACGACGTCGTCGGCGTCCTTGGAGGCAGTCTCCTCGGCCTTGAGCTGGGAAAAACAATGAATCAGTCTAGTTAGACGAAAAATAACGTCCGACGACGCACCTTCGAGACGATCTCCTGCAGAGATCGCTTCGTGGCCGACAGGCCGCGGTAGAAGTCGTCCGCAGACTCCCCGGGTGCCAGACTGTCCGTCGCCGTGTAGCAGACGGTCAGGCAGTGGGCCATGATCGGCCGCTTGTCATGGACCTGCTTGAAGTCCATGATGACCTGCAACGCTCAGTGTGAGATGGGAGGCGATCAGCGACGATCCGAACACGCACCATGACCCCATCGAGCGCGGCAACCAACTTCTCCTTGTTGCCCTCATAATGCTCGACGACCTTGGCGTCGAGCGCGCGCAGCTCCTCCACGTGTGTCTTGAGATACTTGACGATCTTCCTGGCGGCGGGAAGGTCGCAGTGCGCGACCTCGCGGAGCGCGGTCTTGAGCACCGCAGAAGCTGAAGGCAGAAGCGCAAGAAACTGATCGAAGAGATCGCGCTGGTATTTGTTGGCCATTGAGGGAGATGAAGGAACGAATCGTTGTAGTGGGTTGGACTCATCCGTCCAGCGTGCTCCGATCTTATATCACGACCGCTTGGCCGGTCAGGGACGCGATATCCGCGCCCTCTGCCGCAATTTCATAAATTTCTACCTGCTCCTGAACTCCACACCGGCGAGGTCGCCGACATTTTTGGTGTGGGGGAGATAGGCTGCCGATCCAGCTCGTTCCACGACGGAGATTTTTGCGCCGCTATCGCGAGCAAGCACGACTCGCTAAGTCGAACCACAACCGGCAGTGGCCGACGGTCACGTGCAACCCACGCGAGCACGCCGCCGAGCAGCGTTCAACTGGCCGACCACTAAGGCGGTCGCGCAGCATAATTTATCGCTTCTTAGGTCACTTGGCATCGTCCTAAACCATCCAAGAAATCAAGAAGTACAATTGAAACTGGAGTCCGTACAACAAGAAGTACAAGAAAAATCTAATGTACAGAGACCCAAGAAAACACATATCTAAGCGCGTGTCGCGCGCATTGTCCCCGTTAATCCAGAACTACCTACCACGTTTCCTCCTCGAAGGAAGCTGTCGGGACGGTGCGGGTCAGCGAGGATACACAAAAACGACAAAAAGAAATCAAAACGGGACTTACCTCGGCCGAGCGCTCAGAGCAACTCCGCTGGACGGTCGCCCGAGGGTCCCTCCCTCATCCACTCCGGCGTCGGGAAGCGCGAAGGCGCTGCGGGCTTGGGAGAGGGCAGAGCAGGGGGCTCGACGTGGTCGTCCTCAAGCTCCTCCTCCTCCTCCTCGGCGCCCGGGTGCCCCGCGTTGCCGTCCTCTTCGTCCTCGGCGTCTGGGAGGTGGGTCCAGCCAGGCTGAAGCCCCGAGCTACCCGCCACCGGCCACTCAGGCGCGTCGTCGTCACCCAACCCCGCGAGCATGCGCTGCTCGTTGTGGGCGCGGATCTCCTCCTTGATGCGGAGCATCTGCTCCTCCTCGTCGGCGAGGCGCTCCTGCTCCTCGGCCTGCTCCTCGAGCATCTGCGCGTCGTCCTCGGAAGGCGGCGAGGTGAGCCCGATCAGGTCACCATTCAGCCCGTAGATGGGCGCCGGCCCCCTCGCGATGAACTCGCGATGGCGTCGCTCGCTAGCCTCGTCCTCCGTCTCGACGTAAGGCAGGAGCTCACCGTCCGCATCGCGCGGACGACGGTCCCAGTCCACGCGGAAACGCACGGGTGGTACGACATCGCGCTCCTCGGACTCGGGCTGAGAGCGCTCCTCCTCCTCCTCCTCCTCTTCGACGTCCGAGGGCGTAGCGACCTTCTTGCCGCGCTGACCGCGCGCCGAGCTCGGGCCCGCCTTCGCTCTCCCCTTGCCCTTCGAGGTGGTGGCGGCGGCCTTCGTCTGGGAGCGCGTGCGCTTGCGCGCGGGCTCCGGCTCTTCGACTTCGGCCTCGTCGTCGTCGGAATCAGCGGCGACCTTCCTCTGTAGAAGTGTTAGCTGTAGAACCGCCAATATAACCAAATAAGGCGAGAACACACCTTAGCGGCGCGCTTGCGCTTCGTCGCGCCCTTGTTCCTGTCGTGCCGATGCGCCTTCTGCCCTGGATAACTCCGTTGGGCTGGAGTCGCGGGCGCGCACCCGCCCAGCTCGACCTCGCCAAGGCCGCACCGCGCTGCCTCGACCGCGACGTAGTCGGCGGGCAGTTGCGGCTGCTGCAAGAGCAGCATGTCCTGCGGGAAGTTAGTCAGCTGAGAAACCATAAAAACACCGAAGACTTACCAAGTCCTTGTTCGCCTGCCGCGGCACCCGATCGCGGTCAGCGCGGCATAGCGACGCCTCATGCGTCGGAATCTTGAGCCCCACGATGTTGATCACATACCTAGATTGTGAAAGTGTCAGTGGGCTTCACCCAACCATGTCCGAGACCTACCGAGGGCGCGCGATCTCTTGCAGCGCGTACCACTTCGACTCGGGGTCCGATGCCTTGAGGCAGTCGAACAGGAAAAACATCGCCCCTTGGATCGCCGCGGTCGGCGCCCAGGGGCCAGTCTCTCTCAATTTGCGCGCTTGCGCGATGGCGTCGGACAAGGCGATCTACAAACGAGCGTTAGCTAGCGCCGGAAACGATCCGCACGACGGGGCTTACCAGCTTCTTCTTGAGGATCGTCGCGCGCGTCTTATCGCGCTGGATCCCCCGCACCAAGTTCGCCACCGTGGGCTCCTGGCCCTTGAGCAGCATGCGCGCGTCCTTCTCGATCTGGTGGAGCTTTCGGGCGAAAGCCTGATGCTCTTTGCGCACCGTCGCGTGTGGGCCTTCGTTGCCGGGGGACATCTCTAGATCGTCGTCAGTACGGCCGACGCGTCAGGACGCGCGTACTAGCGACCTACCTTCGTGGTTCAAGACAAGTTGGAAAACCGTGGGAGACGCGCGCGGCTGGCTTTTAAACGACCATGCATGTCCGGAACATGCGGTGTGAGCCAAAAGCTTAATTAGCGCCCCGCCGTCCTCCGACAACTACATACCAAGAGACTGCGGCGGCAGTCGACTGCGAGTCGCCCAACGACCCAGTAACAACACCGAGTCACCCATCCACCTTAACTGACCGAGGACGGTCCAGATTATTGGTGTGGGGGAGATGATACGCCCTGCGGCTGAAAAACGCGGAAAAACATACATAAACAAGCGATATATAGTCGACTTGGTCTAGATTGTATGGGCGGATCCGTATATACTGCACCGACGTCGCGACTGTACAACGGGCGCGTCGGGGGTATTTTATGACATAGAAAACCAGGAGCGCCACGCTTCCTAACCTTCAATACTACTAGTCCGCAGCACTATCCGTCTGCAATGACTGACCAAGGATAGCAGCGAGCTCTTCGGCGCCTGATCACGAGTCTGCGCGTCGTCGATGACATCCTGCGAGTCCTCTGGCGGGCCCTACTTAATCAAGTAGCCGCGCTATACGCGCCTCAAGCCTTCAGTCCTCTTGCCCTGCTGTGTCAAGAGAATCTAGATTATTGTTGGGGCTCGGACAAGCCTTCCTGCTGCTCGCCGTCATGCGGAGACACGCAGAGCACCGCGCAAGCGGAACTCGAACCATCAACGTGACTACACGTGACTTCGGGTCCGAGACCGGAACTTCGGGTCCGAGCTCGTGATCTCGGACATCGCCGAGTTGAACTCCGAACCGAGCGTCGGCGCCGCCAAGCGCTGTCCGCCCCGGCAAGGGCTTCGCTCCCCGCGTATCGACAGTCCAGACTGTACGCTCCCCGCCGCGCAGGCCTCTGAGCCGCGTCGCGCACAAGGGAACGGGTGGAAACCAGGCCGGCCTTGCCTTGGTAAACATCAACAAGTGTGGAATCGCGCCCGGCATCGCGGCGCAGGAGGATACCCGACCAGTCAACCGCTCTACCGCCAGGAACCGCAGTCATTGCGCGATTATTCGGACAGGAGAACGCGCGGATAGGCGTTATAGTTGGATTTTGACTCAGAGATAGGCATTGTGTGTTACCGCGCGGTCTGGACGGCCGAGACGACGCGTTCAAGTTATATACCGAGACCTACATACGATTCGGGGACTTTTCCCGCCCCGGCGCAGAGAAGCCCTAGTACCTACACACCACACCAAATAAACACAACCGCGTTAACCCGCACTTTACACATCATAAAAGCCTGAACTTCCGAGCGCATTAAACTGCCTTGTGAACTTCCATCAAACCCGAAAGCGCTCGTAAGAACGCCGAGACGTCCGATTGCCCCACTCGACTTCTCGCTTTGGTCCAGCTCGTCTGGAACTGGCATAAACAACACAATCTATCCCCTAGTAATATAAATACTCGGACTCGCCCGCTCTCGTAGCGCCTCCAGTCTAGCGTGTTCATTGCTATCGTGGTTGTTGGTGTTTGGTTGTGTGGATCGTCTAGCTAGACTGTACTACGCGTCATTCGTGAGCGTACGATCCCATCAATACGATGAGCAAGGTCATAGTGAATAGAGAAGACACCTTCGAAAAATCACGGGGTAAGCGACGAGGTCAGTCTTCGGCAGACGTCAAACAGGACGCGCAAGTTCACCCTGGGTTGGCGTTAGCAAATCGTATACAGGTCACTTGATGGAGTCCGGCGATAGCTCAGTGCATTGAACTGTACAACAAGCTCGCCGCCAACGTCCAGGGAGTTTTCTAGGCAGATTGCTCGAATGGAGCGGCTATGGCAAGTCGGTCGTTCGGCGCACCGACCGTCCAAAGCCATCATGGTTCAGCCTGCATCAATATAAGACGCCCAGTTCATGGCGGGTGAAAGTTAAGCCAGACACACTCACGTCGCATTCATCAGCCATGTTCGTATCTACTATCGCCAAAGCCGCCGTCGTAGCTCTCGCAGCCATTAGAGCTTCGGCTAGGGAGGACAGCGTCAGTCTGCCGCGTCTGGCGGGTGAGTGAGCACTGCGTATCCAACTTTTTCCGAGGGCTTACTGTGCCTCCGTCGCGTTCAGACTGCGCCCTCTTCTGCGGTAGTGATGTCTGCACCCCGGGAGCGACGATACAACCGGCTGACCCTTCGTGCCAATGTCTCTTTGGGCCGACGCGCGTTAACCCCTACGTCGCCTCGTGCATGGAGCTGGAGTGCCCGAGGAATCAGAGGGACGTCGCATTCGGGACGCTGTACACGTACTGTAGTCGCCACAGCCCATAGTGGGTATCAGTTCACCAAGCGTGAAGGCGCTGTACGTCGGCGGAGCGGGGATGGATCGAGAGATATGGGCGGCAGGCTGGATTGCGTTGATGGGTGCACTAGCCGGAATGATGATGTATTAGCGTGTATCAACGAATTTTGGGTAGAAGCGAACCGTGAGCTAGCTCCGAAGTTGGCACGCTGTCATCGAGGAGTCGGGTCGCAGGGATGCCAAATACCGTGATTGCTAGACGCGATTGGCGCCAGACCACTTTCTGGGATTTCTGATGGTCAGCGTAAAGATACATCCCGCAACCTGCGGAGCGAAGGGTATATAAGTGGGGAAGACAGCTGGTAGAGAGCCTACTATTCATCACCACAACGATGCGCTGCGTAATCTTCACCATATCCCTCTTCGCCGTTGCGTCCCTAGCTGCGTACGATCCTAATGTACTCACGCGTGAGTATCGCCTCGAGTGACCCACTATATTGTCTTCCCATGCTTTCAATCACCATTGACAAGCCTTCACAGCATGTGCTCAGGACTGTGTTGCGGAAATCTGCCGGTTCAACCAACACTGCGTGTGTGGATATGCGGGGAAATGGGTCACCATTTGCATCGACGAGAAATGCCACGATGACCAGGAAGAGCAGGAGGAGGCCTTCGCGTCCGTCAGGGAATATTGCGGGTATAACTGAAAGGGCCGGCCGCGGGGAGGAAGGTGCATGCGAGCAGATCGTATCTCGTAAAGTCCAAGAAACCGTGCCCTAAAGAAGTTGGTCGCACTCACTAGTACATACCGTCCACACAAGGGCTTCGGACATGATTAGCGGACGCGAAAAAGCATTCTGAACCCATGACCGTTACGAGGTGTCGATGTGGGTGATATGCTGGTCCTTGACGCCGCAGGCGCCTCAATGACTCTTAGCCGGCGTGGAAACGTAGAGCGCCGAGCTGGAGGTATATATCCCGGAGAAGGGTCAGGGGAGACTACATACTATCCCTGCACGACGATGCGCTGTGCGATCTTCACCATCGCCTTCTTGTCAGTCGTAGCTCTCGCTGCGGAGGATCCCAATGTACTCACGCGTACGTTTCTTCGCTATATGAGACATTGCACTGTTCACTGGAATTTTCGCCTCTGACATACTATCGTAGCCTGCGCCTTGAACTGCGCGATGAAGGACTGTCGGCTGAATCCCGACTGCATGTGCGGATATATAGGGGGGAACTTCATCATTTGCATCGCAGAGAATTGCCACAGCACCGCGAAGGAGGAGGAGGAGGCGTTCGAGTCTGTTGGAAAGTATTGCGGTTGACGGGGAAGGTGAAAGGTTGGGGAATGGGGGAATGAGCGCATCGTTACTGCAGTATACACTGGTCAGCGTCTCGAGCTCAACAGTATGACGGCACGAAAACGTATGATCCGTGACATTGGCACGCACCATCCATGAGAATGGCTCTGAACTTGAGATAGGTCACATAGTCCCGAGATGACGTTCGAGGACCGCGCCGGTCGCATGAGGTACACGGTTACCCGAGCTGCGACCGACGGCAGGCGTACATAAAGTGCAGGCCTAAGTCACGGGCTAAGTCAACTTGGCTTCGACCATCCGTCTCGAGCTTCGTCACGTACGGAACCATCCCAAATGCGCTTCACCGCCATTGTCCTCGCCGGATTGCTCGCCAACGTCGCCTACGCACAAACCCGATCTCGTGAGTGTTCGTCTCGTCTGCTGAGCAATGCTTACCTAGTTTTTACACTCTCCTTCGGCGCCTCCCATCGGTCTCGACGGTGTTTCGATGCCTCGTTACTCCTTAGCCTGCGCCAACAAGTGCGTGAGGCAGGTGTGCGGCCCTACAGTCGGCGCCATGCGTCCTTGCGTCTGCGACTCTGCCGTCAGTAAGATCGACACGTGTATCCATACGGAATGCCCGGCGAAGGAGCGGAAGGAAGCGTACCGGGCGGTCCACAAGGATTACTGCGGTTGGGCGGACTCGGATGAGTAGAAAACGTGCTGAAGCTAGGACTGGACATCTGAGCGTCGGATGCGTGGAACGGCAGAGATTCTTGGACTTGTATGGCCTGTATGGTTTCATGAGGACACTGCTTGACTTAGCTTATGCCCGACATTGAATCTTTGTATTTCGAGCGGTGCTCTTCTCAGCTGATGCAGTGGGTCCTCGTCCAGTTTCTCTTGTAGCATGGACGAAGGCGCTTTTACCAAGAACGGGCAATCGTGCGCGTTGGACAAGGTCTTGCAATCGCGCTACGTAGGCCTTGTGCCGTTACTGGGACGAGGCTTCCGCGGCTTAAATTCAAGGTGGGGTCACAGAGCTTGTGACCATGTTCAAGGCCCTCGGTAAAGCAAAGAGAGTAGCGGTGCGCGAGCCCTTGAAGTCGTGCTACATCCTCTGAGGTGTCGGTTCCCTCCAGGCTTGGATGAAAGTCAGGAGCACGTCGCGAACTTGACGCCACAAATCCGTGAACGATCCAGAACGGCCGGCAACTCCCGGTGTGGACCCACAACTCGCGATCAATTCGGGGGCCCTCCTCTTCAAAGCGCACAAAGAACGGACAACCCTGCGACTTCGCACTTCTGGATGGAACTAGTCATCGAAAGGCTGAGCACCACTGCGAAGCTCCATCCGCATAACCGACTCTTTTTCAGGTTACGTACGACATTTGAAGACGTTAATCTGGTGGTATCTACACGTATCAAGTCGCTGGCATTTATCTCTTAGAAGGGAACGATATGAACACGATTAGTGATAGCAATTCTAGAGACCGCCGTAAGTGAGTAAAGATGAGGCTTCTCAGGCCAATGTGCGTGCTCCAACGAGGCGTAGGTCAAGGCGCTCCTCGAGAGGTATAAACCAGGAAGAAATAAAGGCTGTCCAAATCGAACGTTTCCTCGACGCCCCATAAAGCCACGCCCATTGAGCAGAGAGCCAGCCGACAACCATGCGCTTCACCGCACTCACCTTCGCCGTCATTGCTGCCCTCAGCAGCCTCGCCAGCGCGCAGTTCCGACTCACTCGTCAGTATCTCCTTCGTCTTCCTTGCAACTACATACTTCCTCAATCTCTTCATTCGCTCAATTTCAAAACCCCCTTCAGCCTGCGCCGCAGTCTGCGCAAAAGAAAAATGCGGCGAGCCCATGCCGCGCTACTGCGTGTGCGGTGACAGGCGTGCCGACGTCGATAAATGCATCGAGTCCAATTGTCCGGAGGGCCTCGAGAGGAGCCAGGCGCAGCGGTCGATGATCGGTCTGTGCGGCCGCGCGCGGGTGGAGGGAATGGAGGATGGCCAGCAGGCTCCGATGGTTGAACAGCTGGGGGTCTAGAGGGAATAAAGGTGGTGTTGGGGCGTCGTGTTGAGGGGTACCACCTATGTAAGTAGCGTCAGTCAGCATGGTTTCCAGAGGTCCGCCTCCGAAAATTATCGTGATTTGCCATTCTGCGAGTCTATGCTAGACTCATCAGACGTTCCATGGAAAAAGAGCCACAGACACCACATCTCGCACTCTTATCGAGAAGATTCACGGACCTCACTGAGGATCGGGTGACGCACTGGCGCTTAATGACTGCGTACAACCTGCTCCGACCTGCGTGTGAAGTGAGCTTCGCCCGCCCTGCATTTCCAGTAAGAAGATAGTGAGGCTGGCCTGTCGGCACTCGCGAATATTCCCGATAGAATGATAATCAGAAGACGTGGTGGCTTTAAAACGGCATGCGTTAGTATGCAGTACTACTAGAGTAAAAAGAACGTACTAGACGTCGCGCGCCCGAGCAACGTCGCACTGTCGGTAGCGCATCGTTCGGGCTAAAGAGCTGGGGAAGAATCCGTGGGTCGAATCACCACTCGAGACCAGCACCCATCTTACCTACCTATCGCAAGCAGACGACAATGCGCTGGGTATCAGCTGCACTACTCGCTTTCGCCGGTTTTGCGAGCGCGCAGTACTATCTGACTGGTGAGTATTCACTGTAGCCGACATTTAGCTAGATGCTCACCGCATCTCCCTTCGCATTCGCTTTGACCTCCGACTCCGCCTACTGCGATCCCGCCGTTCGCCTTCTCTCCCATCCTCTGACCTGCCTCTTTTCTCGCACCACCCCTCATATACCGACATCACGCCCATGACCTCAAGCCTGCGCCTACGAATGCGCGATCACCAGCTGTGAGGGCGAGAAGGCCGACTGCGTTTGCGGACACAAAAGTACCGACATCGACTCGTGCATCTCCGCGGTGTGCGCGGCGGGGTTGGAGCAGGCTGAGGCGCGGGAGTCGGTGAAGAAGTTCTGTAGGAGGTGATGGGACGTGGACATGCAGAAAGGAGGAGAGACGGGGAGAAAAGGTGCAGAGTTTGTCGATGCGTCGATGTGTGTAATCATGGAGGAGCGAGTGGCTAGTACTGCGCACGGATAATGGAGAAGCGTTTAGCGAATTTAATAAAGAGAAATCACTTACTTCGTGATCATCGTCGGTAGGCTCGAGCCTCGCACAGGGCGAATAGTCGTCGGTCGAACTCGTCGTCCAGGAAGACTTGCTTCATAGCCTTTCCGACAAAGCAGAGGCAAATGCAAAAGCATGTAAGACATATAAGTTAAGCACGACGACGCGGAGTGAGCGTGGGCGCGCTCTTGTGCGCTCAGACGGTACCGCGAAGGTCTCAGAGCTCTGGTTAAGTGTTCCTCTGTAGACTTGTCGAACACACAACTGTGTCGTTTCTACGGTCAGGAAGGCACCGTAGTAGCTTCTAGATATCTTCTAGTATCACTGACTGGTCGATCCGGGGGAAATTGGATACAGCAGCGATGGCACAAGAGCGCGAGAGCCAAAGGGAAGAGGAGCACATACATGGACAAGCGCCACGCGCGTGCACGTGGGCTGTGAATGTTCCCACGCTAAAGACCAGTGCTGCCGCGCCCCCGCCGACAGACTCGTCCCGAACCTTCATCATCGACTGCGGCTCGCCGCTCCCGACGTCGTCCTCAACGACAACACAAGACAAGACCTTTCAAGCTCAACGGTCCCTTCACGCTACCGAACAGTACCAACGAACTCGACAGTCGCTACCGACATGGAGTCCCTCAACACCCTCGCCAGCTCCCTGCCCTCCGCTAACCAGGGCGCGGACCAGGCGCTCATGAACGACTTCAAGGGTGAGCACACGCCCCGCTTTCCTCCGATTTGGGGAAGCCTCTTCGAAACATCGTTTATCGTTGTTATATGACTCCTTGCGCGCCACATTCATTGACCAAGAATACTTGCCTATCACATACCCATTATCCCCCTCATCCTATTTCATCTGCTCGCTCGTCACTTCTCGTATGAGCAACGACTGATTGTCTACCACAGCTGCCGCACTCAGCATCACGAACTTCTACCGATCCTCCCGAGCTGCCTCCGCACGCGCATATGACTCCGGCTACGCTGCTGCCTGCCATGACATCCTCCGCATGATCGAGCGTGGCGTGTCCGCGGACGGTGGCCCCGCCGCAATGGCGAGCAACCGCGCCAGCGCGAGCGAGAACCCCATGAACGTTGGTCGCGTGATGGACTGGATCGAGGCACGCCTCGAGGCCCTGAAGGCGCGTGAAGAGGAGGAGGCTGAGGACGAAGCACGGAAGGACGCGAAGGACGAGGGTCGAAGGGTACGTTCTGACGTTGTGCTCGTTGTGTATCCCGATCGCAATGCTGATCACTCGCTTTGCCCATCCAGCCGATCGCGCAGGCAAATGCGCCATCGACGCCATCGTCCCCGCAGGCGCCCCCGCGCACCCTCGCCGTCAAGTCCACGCCTCCGCAACCTCAGCAGGACATGCGCTTCAAGCCCGACCCGCAATCCTCGATGACCGAGAACCGCCAACCACCCGTCGAACATCAACCCCAACAACCACCTGCCCCAGTCTCGTTCCCCTTCATCTCGTTCCCTGCACCCGAGCCGCTTGCCCCTCAACCGCTCCCCTCGCCCTCGATTGGAGCAAAGCGTCGACACGCGGTCATGATGATGCTCGACAATCAGCCTGGGGAAGAAGTTTCGGGTCGCGGTGTGTCGCCCACGGCGGCTACCGTGAATCGAGGCATGGCCAGCGCGGTACGAGGCGTGAGGCAGGGAAGCGGTGCGGCAGGTCCTGGTCGTCGGAGGCCTCGTCGCGATCGAGATGCGAAGGATCGCGATGCGAAGGATCGCGATGTTATGATGGAGGTTTCCGATCCGGAAGATGGTGGGCGAGAGCGGAAGCGTGTTGCGAGGAGGTGAAGGATTCCTGATGACTACGGTGAAGCCAGCAGTCGATCGATACTCGAGGGGTGATCGAAGAAAGGGTTGGATGGTTGGGTAGTACGAGGTGTAGGGCGGGATGGTCTCGGAAAGGACGAGTTCAGGATGATAAGAAATGGTCGACAGCTACGGAAGACGGAAGGTGCGTCGTTGCGTCCTTGGTCTCCAAGCTTCTCTGACTCTATCCGTAGCTTCTGCGCTTCACTGCGCCTACCGTCGACATGCTCAGCCTTGTCGCCATTGCTTAAGTACCTCTTCACGCTTATGTACATCGGACATGCCCTTACCCATACCATTCATGCTCATACGCCTACATGCCCCATCACCAACCCCTACCTTACGCTCGTCCCAGTCCATCGTTCCCCCTAGCTACTTCCCCTTCTTCCCGTACTTACCCCATTGACACGTCTATACCTACGCTCCTTCCCGTAGTTACAGTTTGGTTCACGAGGCCGTTAGGCCGCCATGGTCTGCTACTCCATCTTCTCATGGTCCGCGGCGTTGTGGGCTATACGCCCTCGGCGTCGATGGTCCAGCGCCCTTGACATTGTTAGGCCTTATGCCCTCCTCATCGTTAGGCTTTACGCCATCTTCATCGTAGGCACCACATCTTCGAACCCAACATATGTTACACCATACAACCACCCCAGTAGTTACACACCCTCCCATTGTCCCGATCGATATGATACTGCACCAGCATATGTATAAGTAGAGACCGAATGATTGATTGTGTTGTGATTGGACGCTGGGGGTGAGGTGGGCGAGGTGGGCGATGCCTCCGAGATGGCGGGCACTGGGCAGCGATTGCGACGCGTATACACTGGTGGTGGCAGATTCGGTGAGTTCTCTTGACATCAGAGCGCAAGCTCGCCAGCGCCTGCTTTTTCATGACCTTCCAGCTGTCGCGCTCGTCTCAGTCGCAGTTCTGTGACTAGGCACTGGTTTCCGGTGAGTTGCGCTTGACATTAGTCGCGAGCACCCCAAGCTGATCCCTCGAACTATAGCTACCGCAAGTTGATCGTATCTGTATACTCTCCTGTCGCCAACAGTACAACAATACGTTCAACTTCGCCCAACCCGCATTCCCGCTACTCCCTACACGCCCGAACCCCTTCACCAGTCCAGGCCTTCACGCCGTCCTATCTACTGCGTCAGCATGCGACATCAACGCCGTGACCACCAAAGGACTCAGCGTACTCCTTGCCCCCTTACTCTCTCCTTCGTCGACTACCTTCCTTCAGGCCTCGGGCGGGCAGAAGTTCACCAGCGCCGCCTTCATCTCATCCTCGTCCTCGCAATCGGTCGCGCCATCCTTGTAGCACTCCGGGAACGTGAAACCGTCCTCGAGGGTGCAGCAGAACGTGGGCCCCATCTTGTTGCAGATGTCCGAGACGCACGAGGCGCAGCCCGGGGCTGTCAGGGCAGTGGGTCAGTACCAGTCCGTGGGCGCTTTGTTTTTGAGGATGGCGATACGGAAAACTGACAGGTCGGGTCCTGCGCGACAACGAGGCAGGCGAGGGCAGCGAGGAAGCAGACTGCGGCGAGAGAGGCGAAGTTCATCATTGTCGATGTGGTTTAGAAGGCGGTCAGATAGGATCTGGTGAAGAGCATGGCCTTTGAGCCGCGCGTTTTTATACGAACTCCCGTATTCTCATAGGCCGAAGGGGCGCTCCGCATCTACCTGGCGCAGACATTTGGACAGACAGGTTAGTAAGTAGAAGGCTGCTCGACGGGGAAGGTCTGACCTCCAGTGTGACTCGTAGGTCGATGGCCATGCCAGCTACGTGCGACATTGAAGGCCCTCGGATGAGAGCGAACAAGCAGAGAATACGGAAGTAGCGAATAGCCTTCATTCCATGACATCGGCTTGTCCGAACATCGAAGAGCAACAAGTTAGATGTCGCCGACCGTCAATAGGATTAGCGAAGAACGTCATTAGCTAGTGCACACCATATGACAGCGACAGTTCGCGATGGGCAAATACGTGAGCGGACTTCACTTTGGCAGGGCGTGGTCGGAGCCATGGCCCTATCAATGGGGAACAAACAAAAAAAATATACCTGACGAAGGAGAGCGTTAACTTGCTACGAGGGTCTACGATCTCAATGACACACGCACACGCACATATGGTGATTCTATATGATCTGAATGACTTTCCAAACCCTTCTGGTCCGCTTGTACACGAGAGGTATGGCCTAGACATAGTTATGCAAGAAAATCGTACACAATCACAAGATGGGGCTCTCTCCTATCAATACACACCACCCTCGCGCTCGCAGGGCACACATCCCACCCATCAAAGCTCTCGATCCCATCTATCTTGACCTCAACCGAGCCACCCGGCGAGCCGTCGTATGCCAAAAGCCCGACATTGTAGCCCCACGGCGCTCGGACGCACGGACACACCGCGCCCTCGCCTTCGACGACAGAGAAGCCTCGCACCGGCATCCATGCGCAGGTGTAGTCGAAGCAGATGTTGCTGTCCTGCCACCTGTCGCGCACGGTGGGGGCGGCGCGGTCGCTGTGGGTTTGCACGACGTTTGTCGAGGAGCCGACCGCGTAGCGCGACAATCCGGACGAGCCAGCGAAGCGGTCGAAGGCGTGGGTGGGTGAAGGTTCCCTGTGAGCGGTGGGTGACGCCTTGTTTGAAGTGTGCCACGACCGAGGGGTGAGCCAAGCGCAGTTCTCGGAACGAAGGTTTAAGGCAATTTCGAATGAGCGCGTGGACGGTATCCAGCTTTCCTTCGACTGCGCGTCGAGGAATGGAGGGATAGACGACACGGTGACGATGTCCCTAAAGATACAAAACGCGTGGTCGCATGTGAGGTGGACCTTGATCTTGTCAGCCAACGACGAGCGGGAATTAGGGACGGACTCACCGCTCGTAAAGTACGCTCCAGCGCGGGATCGACGCGCCAGTAGGCTACCGTATCCTCGGTAGGGTTCCAGACGATGATGTCTATGTCTGTACGGATTGTTATCCACGAGTTAACAGTACTGCCTATGTAGGGGCGGCTGTCGAGAGGTATCAGTGGGCTAAGCTGCGCTACCACCTCGACAACGACTTCGAGAGAAGCTTGTTTGCTATCATCAACCCCCTGCTGCTCTAGCCGTCAGCATAGAAAGGCGAAGAGGATTGAAGGAAATCACACCTCCCGTCGGACAAAGTCTACCTGTATCAGCAAGAATCGCCAGTACCTAGAGCTTTGAATCAAGCTTCAGCGACGCCCTCGAAGTTGCCAAACACTGACGACGAACCTTTCTCTATCGCAACACTGCGTAAACACGACGCGCAGGGAGCTCTCCTCAGACCCTCGATAGCAATCCTCCATATTAATATGCGCGAGAGCAGCTTCGGGCACGTCGAGAAGGTCCTTAAGTGATGCCGAATACAGTGCGCCCGAGCGACACGCAGGCGCCTCCATATCCCAGATCTGGAACTCCGCCTTCGTCCTCGCAAGCACGAACCGCCCGCCAGGCACTAGCCGGATCTGCCTGAACGAGTCGGCGCCCGGCGCGGCGTTGCCATCTTGGGCTAGCGACAGTGTACACCGGTGCGCTGGATAGAGCTTGCTGCCGCCGCCGGATGCCTTGATGAGTCGGAAGAAGCGCTGCGGGGCCGTGGCTGCGCGCTCGAGCGCGGCGACGGACATAGAGGGCAGGTCGAAGGTCGGCGCGAAGACGTCGTTTGCGGCACACATGTGTTTGACGCGCGCGATCCAGACGCACTTGAGCTTCGATACGGCGTAGAGGACGCGGCATGTCTGGGGAAAAAGGGTATCAGCGTTCAGCATTCAGTCGCACCAGACGATGCTACAGGGACGCCCTCATCGCCAACCGTGGCGTGGCGTATGAAGGCCAGCTTCGTCACGCCCGACGACATGAAGCACTCTCCCAAAGCCTTCTACCTTCTGCAACAGTGATAGAGGCTCGACCTCACCTTCCGCACAGCCAGTATCTCCTGGACGTTGAGGTAGCTGAGTACGGGGACGAGTAGCTCAGTGGGGAGAGCGAGGAATGCGTTGCAAGGAGCTGAGGTCATGGTGGTGGTTATTCGTAAGTAGCGCGGCGCCAACACCGTAAGGACCTGTCAAGGTCACTATAAGTACTCGGCGCAAGCCGAAATGCAGACCCGAAGGGGATCCTGTGGACCTACAAGCACGTGAACTCAGTTGACTTTCCGGCGCCGAGCTCGCTTCGGTCTTCCGCTTTCAGGTATGTAGATCTATGGGCGGCGTCAGATTACGAACACGAAAGGCAACATCAATGAAAGCTCACCTGAGCCATCACAGCCCCAAACCATCGAACTTGACTTGACAAGATGCGTGTTGAGGACGAGACTTCCGAATCGTCAGCCTCGTCGAGAGTTTTCATGCTGTGTGCATTGCGAAGAGAGGAAAAGACTAAGTATGTATCAACGAGTGCGTAGTGTAACATATGTATGTACGTTGCATGTCGGGCGCGCGCTGCGCGCACTGGCAGGTGTATCCCGAGTATGGCATGCCGTGTGAGGGTAGCTAGCGATAGGTGGGCGCTGGTAGACGCGCGGCGAGCGGCGCTCAGTGAAGTCCGTCCAGTCCGTAACGACGCCTGAGTCCGATGTGATAGGTGGTAGTGGTGGTGTACATGGGGTTTGTGCGCGTGATACGCGTCGCGCCGCCAGGCTTTGGCGTCGGCTCGGGCGCCGTGAGCGGGAGGGATGGTAGGGGTTGGGGTATGAAGGCATTCGGGTATGTGGGGGTGCTCTTTCGGACGCGTCACGACCTAACCCCAAGGCAAGGCCATGGACAGAGGAGTCAAGCTGCGTCCGACGTGACAAGCGTGCACGAGCGCCTCGTTCAGGTGACAGGCGCGTCACGCCTAATCGCGCTCAATCCGCACACCTTCCCTCTGCCCAGCACGGTCGCCAGCGAACTCCGCCCCCTTACGCCCCGGGCGACCGCCAACGGGGCCCACCGGTGCCGGGTCGTGCGTGAAGATGTTGCTGCCGCGAACGTTGAGGAAGGAGTACTGGGTGCAATGTCAGCGCGAGCGGAGATTAAGATCAGGTCAGAATACGCACCTCAGCCAGATCTGAGTTCCCCTGCTTGTTGTAGTTCTGGTACACAAGGTTCGGCTCCGTCCAGAAGGGGCGGAGGCCCGCGGCCTCCAGCTTCTCCCACCAGCTCAGGAACTCGTCGAACTTCTTGCCCCACACGTGCACCTCGAGCTGCAGCTGGCCGAAGGGTAGCGGGCGGCCCGAGGAGACGTAGCCCTGTAGGGAGTCCGTCAGAGAATATCTTTGCGGAGGTGAAGGGAGGCACGTACGTCGATCAGCGCGGTCAACGTGTCAAATTCCCAGCCCTCGATGTCGATCTTCAGGATGTCAATGTGCTTGTGGCCTAAGGGCGCGCAATGGTAAGTATGGTGTCCACGGAAGTGATGAAGTTCCCGAGCTTACCATTCATGCGCATCAATGCATCGAGCGTGTACAACTTCGGCTGGTCGTTCGGCCCGTGCTTCTCCTCACCGCCGAGCGCATACGGGGCGAAGTGTACACGGTGACGCTGCGAGCGCGGGATCTGCGGTCCAAAGTCGTCGACGGAGAAGTCGTAGCCCCAGACCTGTATAAAAGGAAGGCATTAGCTCGGGTGCGTGGCCTATAACAGATGTCGACTGCGCACCTCGCAGTAGTCAGTGTTCTCGAGCAGGTCGGCCTCGAAGGAGGACTCATAGTTGATTCCGATGGAGTAGACCACGCAGTCTGGCTTGCGCTAGCGGAAGAGTCAGCCCTGGTCAACAAAGAAGTACGAAGCAACGCACCTGCACCCGGCTCAAGCCACACACCCACTTGCCGCCGTCACCAAGCGCGCCGATGCGCTGCACCTCGTGCGGGCAGTTGTACGCCGCCGGGAAGAAGTCCCACACCGTGTACGCTGGCCACGGCGCCTTGTCAGGCGGGAACCTAGCGCGCTGCGGTCAGCGCCACATCACGATGCGTACCAGTCCAAGTGGGCACTCACATCGCCACCTGCGACGGGTTCGGGCCAAACTTCTTGATGAGCCCCGCGCGATCCTTGAGCACTTTGTCGTAGATCGCGTCCGCGCGCGCGATGCGCTCGCTCAGGCTCGTGTCCACGATGTGCGGCACGCGCGGGAAGGGGGGCGGCGGCGGGGGGAAGGGCGGTGGCGCGAGGAGGTAGAGTGTCGTGGCGAGGACGCCGAAGAGGAGGAGCGCGTAGCGCGGGTGGCGGGACCAGATGGCGGCCATGGCGACAGACCGTGTCAGCGGTGGTGGAAGAGGAGGCGGAGGGGGACGACGCAGTCGTTATCGGGGCGGGGGGGGCGGGGAAGGAGACAGGGGGTGGTAGCCGATGAGGGCGACGAGGAGCGGTGGTTGGAGAAGGGGAGTAGTGGGATGAACCACGGAAGGAAAGACAGGAAGACGAGCGCCTGAAGCAAGGCGAATTTGAGGCTTGCGCCCCGGGTGATTTGGGGTCGCGCCGCTGCGCAGCTGCCGGGTGATCAATTGCATGCCGCCGCCGTGAGAGATGATCTCAAAAGACTGATCGAAGGGGGTGGGGCGCGCTCCTTCCTCCCCACGGCGCCCCTCCGGCCTTTCCCCGTACCCCTCTTGTCATCGGAGGCGATGAGGCTTGCCCTGCAGCCTCGTTCTGGTGGGTTTTTGGCGTTTTTCAATGTACTGAACGCTGTCCAGCAACTAGGGCGGCAAACAGGCGCCGAGTTCCCCTTTCTCAGCGCTTAAGGATCGGCGACGTCATCGTTGCTGCGGAATCATGGTTGCCACCCCCGCCCCGCTTGTTGTCCCGCGCCGCCCTCCACAAGCATGCGTCTTGGCCTCCTCCCATTCACTTTCCCGGTCCGACCTGATTGACGCTGAGATCGCGGTCGAGGCGAGATGCGTGGTGCGACGTGGATGCTACCCTTCCTTCGCTATGCTGCACTCGTCGATCAACATACAGTATTCTCAATCTGGATCTCTGCGCTGCAACCTCAAAGTCATTCCTCTTACTCATTAGAACACATTCCCTGGCAAACTTGACTTATCAACGCATGAGCTCGCTTCTATGGGTCCTTCCACATCTCACCAACACCCGTACTCCGCTCGCCGTGCGGTGCATGCCTCCTCGACGCAGTGCGTCATTGACATGCCTCTAGTGCCTGTCTCTTCGAGCTCCCTGCGTACCTGCGTCCGCAACTCTACGCGCTCGACTTCGAATTCGACGTCTCCGCAAACGAGCGAACGACCGCGATGACGTTGATCGACCAGGACGGCCTTTCCCCTCACTCTTCAGCCTCCTTTGATTGAGGCCGTACGGCCGTACGCTGCTCCGGCTTGTCGATGTCCTGCGACTCAACGCAGCTAACTATCTCGCCCGAAGTCAGATGCGCTGAGAGCCTGTCAGATTCATATAGGAACTCGCTCAGTGCTCTGCGCGGGAGTACGGTAATAATACTCGCCGCTCCTTCCACTACCTATCTCCAGTCTTCGCGAGCTGCCTTTAGAACGCCCTCTCTGGGACAATCCCCACTCTCTCGACCTCCCTCCACATCGTTCTCCCCGTTGTTCTCCTTCCGACTTCTTCCCAGAGCCCACGAAGTCCCTCCGCGCTCCTCAACCGCCCTTGTCGCAGAAATACGAAGGGCCAAAGTCACCCAAATCATCTGATTTTCGGGCTTTGAGCGCAAACAGCCTTTCCCCTCCGCAAGCCGGCAGTCGTAGATATCACTGTACCCCTACGCACGATACTGTACACTGCAGTATCCTATTGTAAAGCAGGCCCTCTCTATACATACGGCCTTTGCATGAAAAGGAAATGTCTGTGCCTGTCCTGTCACGTACGCGGAGGACCCGAAGCCCTCCACAGGTCGCGATGAAGCACGGAAATAAAAATACGAAACCAAACGTGTGCATAGGTCCTAGCAGGACTCGAACCTGCGTTAGCGGAATGCTGACATTCACATTTAACAAACATCAGAATCCGCTGTGATAACCACTACACTATAGGACCATGGTTGAGCACAAAAAACTTATTTATACATCAAAGTGGAGCACCCATGTTTACACCAGAATAACCATCTTTCTTGAGAAAATCACTCCTGGAGCTCGTCTCCGACGTTTCTTGCTTCCTGGGAATTCACCCCTTGAGAGAAGTATCTGTAGACGAGTCTGGTCGGCACCATACGCGATCGTACTCATCATCCTTCACTATCCATTACACCTAGTAGCGCAAACATACATACATTCATCCTCACTGCTCTGGCCACGCCGAAATCGACTCGTACAACAGAGTATCCGTAACAGCCAATCTCACTACCTCACACCCACACAAACCCATCATCCCCGTCCGCAACGCGGCGCATGCCCGGGAGCTCCCTCCCCATGAGGTACGCCTTCAAAATCACCCGCACCGTCTCCGCGTCGTCCATCCCGACGCGAGAAGCGGCGCGCGCGCTCTGACCTCCTTCATCCACCTCACCGCCCATCTCGTCTCCATCGCCTTGGATGACGTCCACGATGCCCTCTTCAGTTCTAGCCGTACCGTTGGTCGCAGCCCCACCCATCTTAATAACCCCCACCCCCACCGCCCCCATCACGACCGTCGCGCACACCATTGCATCTACGTACGCGCCTAGCACGTAGATCAATCCGACCACTGCCGCGCCGAAGATCGCCACGTGCGGAAGTGCATACTCCGCCCAGTGCGCGAGACGCCTAATGCCGCGCGGGGTGTAGGGGTAGAGGCCAAGGTGCGTGGGGAGGTGGGCGGAGAGGCGGGCGACAAGAGAGCTGGTACTGGGAGCAGTAGGCGAAGTCGCACGCGACGCCGGGCCAGCGACAGAGTTCGAGCACGAGCCTTCCGTCGTGCTGTCGTCGGCGCCATCGGTCTTCGCGTCGTTGATTATAGAGCTCGTAGCGTCCTCCCTCTCCGGCGCCTCAAAGGCAAACACCTCCAGGTATTCCGGCGCCAACAAGATCGCTCCACCGACCGCAACACACCACGGTAGAAAAAGCAGCACCTTGAGGAAGCCAATCGCCAGCGTTTGGACGTCGAGCTCGTAGATCGAAGAGACAGTGAAGGCAGCGGGTATAGGCGCAACGTCGTAGTCGAGAGCGTAGTCCAGGTCATTCGCAACTTCGTAGCCGATGTTGTTGGCGAGGGTAGAGTCAAGGTAGCCGCCGCGAGAGTGGTCGAGGGAAGCGTTGGTGTCGCGCGTGGTATACATCGAGGCGTCCGAGTCGAAGGAGTCATCCGATTCCAGGGGTGCATCGCCGTCAATAGTGGTGTTCGCGTTCGCATTCGCTTTGTTCGCAATGTTGTGTAGAGACGCCGCCGCCGCACCAAGAGACATCGAAGTCGTCGCGCCCGGAGACAGAGTCGCCGACTCCGACTCTGCTACAGCAGCCAGTCCCGTCATCGACGGCGCAGGCGGGCGGATACCGAGCGAAGAAATGAAGTCCAGCGAGTCCATGTCGGGGATACCCACTGAGCTCGTCGAGTCCACGACCGAAGAGTTTGACAGAATGAAGTTATCCGTGTTCGCGGAGGTAGTCGCGCCGGTAGCATCAGAACCAGGCAGGAAAGGGTCGTCGTCGGCAGCGTCGTTCTTGCGGACAGGTCCTTGATCGAGAATAGAATCGGCAAGGTTGGCGCGCGCGTTAGGGACATTGAGGTTGATATTCGCATCAGTCGAGCCAGAGGCAGCGTCTTCGCCCATGATCGAGTCTACAAATTCGTGTGCATCCGAGAACGGGTCGGCGAAGGGGTCCACGTCCTGCAATAGAAGCATCGGTCAGAAACAATGAACTCTGCCGCATCGGGATATAATGGAAGGGAATCGATAGCAGGAAAGAAGATGCATCGCGGACGGAAGCAGATGGTATCCCCAGCCGGAAAGTCATCATCGGGCAAGACAGAAGCATGACTCACGTCATCGGCCGCGTAGATGGCCGTCGTCGAGGAGACGGCGGCCATGTCGGGAGGAGCAATGTTGACAGCAGAGGCCGTCGGGCCAGCGGTGATCTGGATTGTGTCGTCGGGCACACTGAACGAGACCGAAGGCACAGCTCCCTCAGCTTGGGCGAGAAGAGCGAGGGAGCCGCCCTTGAGGGCGGGAGAAATGGATGTGTTCGGGAGGCTGTAGATGCTGTCGCGCGCCTCGCCAGTCTCGAGCAAGGGCGAGTCGCCGCCGACGCTGCTGCTCGACGCGTCGGACTCGACCTAAGCGCATACATCAGCATTCGCCTTGGCGGCCGAGAAGCACGACGCACCCTTTCCATTGCCAGCGCCCTCAGTGCAGCCTCATTAAGCGACGGCACCCTTGCGCGCGGGGTGTCGCTGCCGCTCTGCTTCCCGCCCAGCGCCCTTCCATGAACGGTATCCAGCGCAGGCATTTTCTGGTCGGCAGGCTCTTCCCCATCCTCGCCAAACACTTTCCGGTGTGCATAGTCGAACGGGTTCGTCTGGTTACCCACGTCCGCGGGCGTATTCAGGCCGGAGGCGAAGGGCGAGTCAACGGTCTGCTCGGAGTCGGTGCGTTGAGCAGGAAGGTCGTGAAGCTGCGGTCCGAGAGTCGAAGCCATGGAGTGTTGTACGCGGTCAAGTAAGGCAAGAATGGTTGGCCGTCGAGGACAAGAAGGATCCCTACAGCATCCGGCGACTTTGACAGCGAGTGGGGTAAGTAAATTTGGCTCCGCAGAGGCTATCTGAAAGTCGATCTCGAGCCCCCCAGATGGCCGATACCCATCTGTGCATACCTTCTGGCCGATACCCATCTGTGCATACCTTCTGGCCATCTACATCCAGTGTCCGCTGACTGGAGAATATAGCGAGGACTCGCAGCGGCAGAAAGATAGTATGCAGCAGTAAGCAGCAAGAAGAGAGATACCGGGTCACACCCGTCACGGACCCACGGTCACGTCGTGTCGAAGCTCGAACACCGACTCTTTTGTTCTGTGCTTAGCATCTGGAGTATGAGTGCATGAGGACAAGCCGTTACAGATCCGCCTGAATACCTTAGGGCACAGGGGGGATATCACTCAGCAACCTATCCAACACAAAAGAATTCATATTTCTAAGGTGCATGGTCCTATAGTGTAGTGGTTATCACAGCGGATTCTGATGATCCTTCATGGAAGTCGTGATATCAGCATTCCGCTAACGCAGGTTCGAGTCCTGCTAGGACCTTATGTCCAGATGTACGGTTTTCTTTTTTTTCGTCTAGATTTCACTGAAACTTGGCAGGAAATGCTGAAGCGTGGTAGTTCTGAGCAAGGTTCTGAGCATCTCTTATGCTATGGTTTTACTGGCGTGAGGCCTCTATTTGCTCTTCGGGGTGACTTTTCTATGTCGCTCCATACAACAAGTCGACTGGGACGTGTCTTCTGTTCGTCCCTTTCGGACGGTCTCTGGCCCCTCGGCATCACCCCAACTTCGAAGCAACTGCCCTTCCCTGGATCGACTCCATCGGATACATCCTTGACACCTCCGCCGCATTCGGTAGCTTCAATTCGGCGGCGTAGACGGGCTTCACCTTGAACATCGTCGTGAACTCGGCCGCGTCGGAGATTAGGAGGGGGGGTAGGTTTGCTTCGTCGACTGGGACAGTGACGGAGGAGCACGTAGGCTTCAAGATGGTCGCAGGTGTGGGTGAGCCAGCGCGCTTGACTGCAGTGCAGCGGCGGCGAAGGAAGGCGGCCGGATACACGTGCGGCAACCTCCAAGCTACTATGGCAGCAGAGCGTGCGCACAGTCTGAGATGGTGCGCTGCCGGAAGCAACTTCAGACGTGCTGTGTGGAGGGGGCGCATAGGAGACTCCGGATGAGAACAATTGCGCGCCTGATATGTGATGATAGAAAGAAGGATGTGTGGAAAGTTCAGAAGCCTTGTTTGTGCATCGCCAGAAATGGTATGTCGGTCGGGCGCTCAGAAAGGAGACGGATGACTTGCACAACGACACTCCCGGAGATCGTGATATCAGGATTGGACACAAATATCGTAAACAAGTGTGGTAGCGAGAAGTGCCTGTTGCCTGTGTACGTACAGGTCACCCAACGACGCGATCCCAGATTCCTTCGTGTATCAAGGTCTGCAAGATCACTGCGAAGATATGTCAGTAAGGCAGAACTAGTCAGTCATACGGCAGACAGGTGTACCTGAATGCACTCAGCATCGTGCGCGTAGTCGATGACGATCTGGTAGCCCTGGCCGTTTTGAGGCTTCTGCTCGATCCAGCTCAACGCCGGGAAGTCGAAGTCGCCATCGTCCACGACGTCGAAGAAGCCCTCCTGGTTGACATTCTACGAGGTTCGTCAGCACCTTGATGTGCGCATAGACCACCACCAACCTTGTTCCCGATCTTCTTCAAGTCGGGGTAGTTGATCCCCGGAATCGCGTCCTCCTCGAACCACCCGTCTGTGATCGCACCCTCTGCCAGCTTCGCATCCGCCTTCACGAACTCGAACGTGTACTGCTTCGGGTCCGACCCATCGACGGGCAGGAGCGCGGCCACGAGACCGTCGTGCGGGCAGTCCATCTTGAATTGCTCGCCGTTGAGGTACGCGGAGACGTTGGAGACGGTCGCGTCGGGCGCGTCCTCGAGGATGAAGGTAGAGGGCGCGATGGAGTGGAGCGTCCAGTTGCCTTGAGAGTTGAGCGGGTCGGTGGCGGAGGCCTTGATGTACTTGACTTGGGTGGCGGAGGCTAGGGCGGCGGCGCCGAGAACAAAGAGGGCGGCGGAGAACATCGTGAATAAGTCTGAGAGAAAATCGTCGTGAAGGACAAGTCAACTGCTGTGGTCGAGTGGTGGTATACGACGTCGCAGACATTTTTTATGGAGGCGACTTCGTGCGGCGTGTTGTCACCGCCTTCGAGATGGAATCGTGTTTCCAGTGTGGACCTCGGTGGAGAGACAACAGTGGCATCTCGTTCGACGTACGTCGGATAGTGGGCGCTGCGTCACGAGGAGTCATTCAGTACAGGGTAACCACATACAAATGCGAACATCCTTACCGTGGCTATGCTTCAAGTATCCACTCACCGTCGGCGAGCTTGATAATTAAACGACGGGCGTTGCCAGAATGAAGGAGACGAAGACTAAAGACGCGTGCGTCTGTGCCGGCTGGGTACCCCGCGCGCATCCGCGAGGCGCCCCGCGCGGCCTCCATTGTACACGCTCCGACCTCAGCGGTTGGGCAGATACTCGAAGCGCGGCAAAGCGATGTAAGAGAGAAAAGCAAGTTGGCGACTTGTCCAATCATCGTGCATAGCCAGCGCGTGGGGTAGCACGCAATGCGGGTTGTTCTTTTGGCGGGCGCGCATGGACAGCTTGCAAACAGGTGTGATATAGGTTATAGGAGATACGCTCAGTTCTGAGTTAGGATAAAGCGAATGTTCGGTCATTGGATCTTTGAATGGCGGACGTAGAAAGCAGCAAGCGCCTGGGAAGTTTCTGCTGGGTACGGCGGGGAGTGCCGAAGATTTCCCATGCCCCTGTGTGTCGAAGGCAGGTGCCCTTCAATTCAACGTAGAATTTGAGAAGACTCGCGATGGTGGTCGAGCGAGCTCATCAATTGGAAATTTTGCAAGCTCGTCATGTCTTTCTGCTAGGAAACGAACGATTGGTGTCATACTATTACGATGCAAGGAAGGTGTGTAAGATAGGTTGGTAAGAACACAATGACTCTCCATACTCTAATACGCCTGAAAGCCAGTCAGAAGGCGACCTTGGGCTTAGGAAGGCATAAACATACCTGTCGCTGAGCGCTTAGCAGGTGAGGTCGTGCGAGTAGTCGACCAGAATCTCGAAGCCTTCGCCAGCATCGGCAGATTTCTCGACCCAGGTAAGCGCGGGGAAGTCGAAGTTGCCGTCGACAACGTCGAAGATACCGTTCTCGCCGACTTTCTGCGGAGATCGTCAGCATCTGTAGCCTCGGCCGCGCCGAAAAATGGTACTCACGGAGTTCCCGAGCTTCTGCAGGTCGGGGTGGCTAAGGTCATCCGTCGCGTCCGACTGGAACCATCCGTCCTTGATGGCGCCGTCAGGTAGCTGCGCGTCGTCCTTCACGAACTGCAGCGTGTACTGCTTCGGGCTCGCACCCTCGACGGGGATGAGAGCACCGACGTGGTCGCCGTACGGGCACTGCATGCGGAACTCGTCGAGGATGAGCGACGCGGAGAGCTTGGACGGCGCGTCGGCGGGCGCATCCTCGAGGATGATCGCAGAGGACGCGATGTCGTGCAGCGTCCAGTTGCCCTGCTGGCGGATGGGGTCGTTGCCGGCCTTGACGGACTTGACTTGGGTGGCGTCGGCAAAGGCGACGGCGCTGAGGAAAGCAAAGGCGGCGGCGAACATCTTCGAAGGGCCTGTAGGTGAGACTGGCTGGAAGACGAGGCTACGAGTGTGGTAGGGTGCTGAATGAGGTCGGCTTGCACGCCTTTTATAGAGCAAAGACCCTACGGCTTCCTGGGACCGGCTCGAAGACGGTGAGAGATCAAGTCCGTTTCTAGTGAAGACCTCGGTTCGAAGCAGGATCGTCCGGCCGTGCCGTACCATGTCCATGCAATCATGGGCGCTTTCGGAGATGACAAAGACCGGTGTACTTCCACTTTCTGCCGAGGTCGTAACACTATCCACGGTGACGTTCAATGAAGGCCGTTAATGCTTCGAGAACAATGGGATCTACGCGAAAATGCTGCCGGTTCTGGGTTGTCAGCAGCGGGCACGCGCTATCGAAGTCCGAGTTGTATAGCAAGTTCGAACAGCCACACGCATACCATCATCTCCCGATGCCCTTGGCAAACACCTGATCGAAAGAGAGTCAACGGACGGTCTTTAGCAGCACGCTGGCAGCAAGGCCATGCATTATGCCTCGGGTGGTAAGAGCCGAGCGAGGCCTCCTTTGACTTGTACGGCAGATGAGCGCGCATCGCCCGCAATGGTTAGGGCTTCAAAGCTTTTCATCGTATGGTTGAGGGACGAGAGCAACATCCGTAGTGGAAGCGCAATGGTGGAAGTTCGAGATCAAGATGCGTGAGAAATCGGTGTCGGAGTTTCCGGGAGATGCCGTACACATGCCACGCGTCTTGCTCCTTTCCGCCTCCTCCATGCCGTTGCCTAAGCCTGCGACGAAGTACATCGAGGAAAGGCACTGCAGACTGCTGTATCTGAGGATTCCTCAAATCATTTTTACGCTTAGCGAATCAAAGCCGCTCTGATGTTTTTTCAGTGCGAACTTCGAGCTCGCATCTCCTCAAAGCCATGCGCCACTGTATCATAGGAAGGACTCCAAATGCTCTTACACCATACCTGACAAGGAGGAAGAGAGCATCCTCCGCGCCTTTGGACAATCACACAAGGGAGACGACGGTCCCGGCGTCTCCCTTCACGCCTCTCTTTTACAGTTCATCAATAGCGTCAATAGCCACTCGCAGTCGTATATTAATCCTTCAAACCACGCTTCATGGGCGATTTACGATGGTCTTCTGTCACACGCCCCACCGTGGCTCCGCCGCTGCCTCCGCCTTCGCCGTTTCCGCGATCCGCGCTGCCGTTTGCGAGCAGAGTGCATTCAGTTCAAGGGACTGGCTGAACTTGGCCCAGTTGTCCCGCGCATGGCAGGACGTTGCAGAAGAGCATGTGTGGGAGAAGCTTGACAGCGTAATACCGCTTCTGCGACTGTTGCCCCAGGATGCCTGGACAGCGTGTGCTGAAGAATGCATGGTGAGTTGCGGATCGCCTTCGACGAGCACCACCATGACTGACCTTGACATCTCAGCACGACTTTACAGCGCCGAGATTGGTGAGTAGGATTGGTGACGCGCTCGTATCGCTCCTTACGTTACTCTCAGAGCCTCCTTCGTCTGCTTCGCCCAGAAGACTGGACATCATCTTTGCGAAGACGCGCCGGATACGTCAAAGACCTTCGTCTCTCACCATTCGACCTCAGCCTCGAGGATCAGCGCAAGATCATCGAATGCCCTATCAACGGCAACTGGTTTCCTCGCCTTCGAGCGCTTACCCTACGCGGCGACCCATCTGGACTTGACGTCGTCGACGACAACTTCTTGGCCCTCTTTCTTTCGCCCTCTATCACGCAGCTAACTTGCGAGGGGATGCAGGGGTGGCCGATCAGCAACTGGAAGATCCTGGTGTTTTCTCGCTGCCCTCGTCTCTCTTGTCTGACCATGATAGACACTTTCGACTTGGATATCTTAGGAGGGTCGCAATACGGCGCATTCCGGCCAATGCGCTTCTTCCGTTCTTTTTTGGACGCGACTCAGTCATGTGCTACCCTCACACACGCTACCCTCATGCTTCCGTACAGCCGCGACCTCGTCCTTTCGCTTGCTGCATGCCCTGCGCTGAAGAATTTGGCATGGACATCAGACCCGGGCCAATATCTACCGCATGCGACTTCTGTTCCATATCCTAGTTTTCCTTCCCTCCGCTGCCTCGACTTCGACTACCTGCCAATGTGGTTGGCACGCTCCATCATCGAAGCCGGCCTCGCTCGTCCCATGGAGACGATAATTGTGCGGCACGCGCTGTGTACTCAGTCGGAGTTCGAGAGGGCGGTCGCTGCCACAGCACGATGCTGTCTGCCCGACACGCTGACCGTCTTCGCGCTCAAGAAGCTGGGATGGTCGTTAAAGTTCGCCCAGACGAGCATCGTTGGTCGTAGGGATACACTCGCTGCGCTGGCTGTGTTTCACAACCTCGAGTCCGTCTATATTGGAACTTTGAGCATCGAGCCGGACTGGGCGGACGCGGAGTGCTGGTGGCCTCGCCTTAGACGAATCTACCCCAGCATTCGAAGCGGGATGTTGGGTGAAGCTGGGGCGACGATGGAGAAAACAACATAACGAACAGTATGTGGCCGAGAGGCAACGATGTGGGCGTACGAGAGCCTCCCTCACTGTATACGTCCTCTGTATACCAAGATAGCTTTCCTGATATGACTCGGAATTGCGAACTATGCTAAAGCCCACAACGCCCAGCAAGACCATATCATCACGGTGATGACAAGATCATATTAAGATAATTTACGACGTCCAGTTCTCCGCGCCCATCCCCAAGGCCCAACTCTGGTCTATGAGACGTCAGGAAACGGGCCGTAAGATGACGAGACCTGCACATACCCAAGTGCATTCGGCGCGCTGGCGTTTAGCAAGTAGGCTCGTGCGCGTAGTCCAGGACCACCTCGTATCCCCTGCCTTTCGCCGGCTTCCAGGTAAGCGACGGGAAGTCAAAGTTGGCGGAAGTCATGTCGAAGACGCCCTCGCCGGCTTTCTGCTCTCGTCGTCAGCGCCCACTACCATACACCCCACCTCCATCCACTCACCGAGTTCGCCACCTTCTGCAGGTCCGGGAACTTGTAGTCGTCCGTCAGGTCCGACTGCGTCCACCCATCCGTGATGCTGCCCTCCGCCAGCTCCGCGTCCGCCTTCGCGAACTCGAACGTGTACTGCGTCGGGTCCGTGCCCTCGACGGGGACGAGCAGGGCGCGGTAGTCCGGGTAGGGGCAGTACATCTTGAGCTCGCCCGACACGAGAGACGCGGAGATGGACGAGAGCGTCGGGACGGGCGAGTCGTCGAGGATAACCTTGGTGGGCGCGATGGCGTGCAGAGTCCAGTTGCCCTGGCCCTGGACGGGGTCCGCGTCGGGCTTGAGGGACTTGACGGCGGCGCCGTTGGCGAAGGCGACGGTGGCGAGGAGGGCGAGGGCAGAGGCGAACATTTTCGGAGGGTCTGAGACTGGGTGGAAGACGAGGCTGGTGATGCGGATGGTGAAGAAAGATGGGGAGAATCAGCGCTTCATATATACTACTTGAGCGGCGACGAGCCTATTCGGCTCGTACTCAGCGCATCCCCGCGCCTCAACAGAACAGCGTGTGTTTCCGAAAAAGACCTCGCCCTTCACAAGCAAGTTGCAAACCCGTGCATCGATCACTCGACCGTGGCAGTGTTCGCATCAAACACAAACATACAAACGTTTGGACTTAACACCGAGGTGCCAATAGTGTGCATGTTGACTGTTGAGCACGTCGAGAAGCGCGTTGAAGAGGAAGAGGGGTCCTCAATATGACCCTAGCACGAGTATATCTCTGAAAGCTGCGTTGAGCGAACATCAGCGGTGGTATCATAGATGTACAGCTTCGTCGCCGTCATGGATACCCCGGTGCGCTTGGCGATGGCGAGGTTGTTTGGTGCATTAGCGGGCGTTGGCGGACGCGACCCCAGGAGTTGCGGGCAAACGATGGTAGCAGCGGTCAGACAGAGCATACCTCTTTCGCGATCGCCGCGGCATGGTCGTCGGTCATTGTTGCCCTTGAGCATCTGCTTCTCGGGCCAGACGAGGGTCACAGCTCGAGACAACACGATTCTTGGATACACACAGCGGTACACTTTGTTAGTAACGTACGGAATGATTCTTTCAATTCGAGCCGCTGTGCAGGTCGTTCAGCCTCGTAAACTGCGAAGCTACATTCCTTCGCTTACCAATTCACCGTCCTATCTTCTCTTGTTCTCCTTACGCCTTCAAGATACACCCCCACCTAATAAACCGGCTCTACCTTGTACATCTTCGTCGCCTCCGCCGGGTCCAGCGGCAGCTCGTCGCCGTAGATCTTGTCCACCTTGTACATCGACGTCACGTTGTCGACGTTGAGTGCGGCCGTGTTCTGGTTCACGGCAGCAGCCTGCGCGGCGGCGACCGCCTTGCCCTCGGACGCGGGGCGCGGGGTGGAGTGAGGAGCGCCGCCCTTCTTGCCGACGTCGCCACCCTTCTTCGAGGGGTCACCTCCCTTCTTGGACGCATCCCCCTTCTTCGCGGCATCGCCGCCCTTCTTGCCCGCATCCCCGCCCTTGCCGCCCTTCTTCCCGCCGTCGCCCTTGTCCTTGGCCTTTCCGGCCTTCTTGGGTTCCTGGGGGTGAGGATGAGTCGCCAATCCCGGGTTGTACTACGAACGTGGCGAGGTGGTTTATGGACGAGCGAGAAGGGGGCGACGAGCTCAAGAAGACTAAACAAAACAGCTCTCACCTCAACAGCCGCCTTGCTCGCGATTCCAGCCGCGCGCCCATCGGGGATGTGCACGAACTCGCGCCGACCGTCCTCGGCGTCGCCGTCGAGGATGTAGTAGCTGGGGAGGACGTGTTAGTGGGGGGTTCACATCATGGAAAATCGGGTGGTAGAGGCGCAAACCTCAGCGCAGTGCGACGAAGCCGCCACGAGTGTGGTAAGATGAAGCGAAATGAGGACAAGGGAAAGCGAAGCGGACGATGTCACGGACGACAAAGAATGAAAGGAAGGAGTCGGGCGAAGCAATAGGATGGGATGGGCGGGGAGTCGCGAAGACAACACTTACCCCTTGCGCTCGAACTGGATGATGTCGCCCTTCTTGAGCGTGCGCACGTTGCCGTCCGCGATCGCTGAGGTGCGGAACTCGGTCTGGGGGGTGACCTGGGGGAGCGGTGGTCAGTGCATATTCACAACCATAGTTCGCCTCGGTCCTGATCACAGTGCTTCGGGCGCAACAATCTCTCCACCCGCCCAGCATTGCTCGACGCCACTCGCCGTGCACACCGTGGCGGCCACGAGCCAGAGCGATGCTTGTTTCGATGGTCAAAAAACTCCCACTCACAAAATCCTTCACATCATCCCCCTCCTCCAGCTTCTTCTTCGTGATCAGGTAGTCGTAGTCGAGGAGCGTGACCGGCACGGGCGCGAGCGATGCGTCCGCGCCCGGCGCGGCGGTGAGCGGGTTCGAAGGGTCGGCGGCGAGCCAGGTGGTCTGGGAGGGTACGTTAGCATACGTGTCCAGACAAGCGTATTCCGTCGAGGTACGCTGGCGATGGGCGTTGGCAGGCGCGTACGCTGACCCGAGGGCCTACATGTCGATACGAGGGCGTGCACGTCGACCCGAGGGCCTGCACGCCGACCCGAGAGCCTGCACGCCGACCCGAGCGCCTACACGCCGACGCACTATCCAAACACGACACAGCCAAGCCCGACCACCCACCTTCAACTTCGTCTTCTTCACGTCGCCCTCCAGGTGCAGCTCGAGCTCAAGGGAGGTGACCTTGTCGCCCTCGAGCGCCTTCTTGCGCACGATCGCGTTGCCCCAGTCCATGAGGGTGAGCTAGGTGGGGTAGGTCAGTGACGTATTCATGGGGCGAGGGGGAGTGGGAATGGGGGAAGGGGGAGGGGAAATGAGAAGGAGGAGAGGGGATGTGAGGATGAGAGGAGAGGAGAGGGGGGAGGAGGATAGAGCAGGGGCAAGGGCGATACGACGAACTGGACGAAGAAGACAAAAAAGAAATGAAACTCCCACTCACCTCCTCGCCCTCACTAACACTGCGCGCGTCCGCCTGCTCGAGGAGGATGTGCTTGTAGTAAACGGTCTGCTTTTCCCCGACCTCCGCGTTCTTCTTGTGCCGCGGCAGCGTCTTCACCTCCGCGCTCGCGCCGGGGAAGTTCGTGATCGTGGCGGGGACGCTGAGGGATAGGGTGGGTAGGTCAGCGCGCGATGCGCAGCTTCCTATCAAGGGCGAGGGCCTATCAAACGCGAGGAAAGGGACTCACAGATCGCCCTCCTCCAGCGCCCAGAAGCGCGGCGCGACGGGGTCGATGACCTAGGGAGGGGTCAGCGTCGTTTCGGGGTGCGGCGTTGTGGTCGAGGCGCACCTTCTTATTCATCGCCCAGATCGTGTCCCACTCGAGCGACACGATCGCCTGCGAGGGGCCCTGCGCGAGCATGAACCTGGGGTGCGGCATCAGCAGGTGCGAGATGAGTGGGAGTAGACGCCTTGCGAGAGCAGTGGCATTAGGTGCGGCACGAGACGAGGGGGGCTCGACGCGCCGCGCGGCGAGCGGTACTCGACACGCGGCGGGAGACAAGTGATACTCGGCGCGGCGCTTGGCGATTGGCACTCGACACGCGGTGCTTAGCCCGCGGTACTCGACGCCGCGCTTGGCGAGCGGTACTCGACACGCAGCGCGACTCGACACATCAATCCTCAACACTCACTGCTTCAGCGCCTCCACGGTCAACCCCCGACGGCGGATGCCGCGCACGGTCGGGAAGCGCGGGTCGTCCCAGCCGCGGACGAGGCCCTGGTCGACGAACCTGGGGGGCCGGGGGGTTAGCGACCGTCGGTAGGGGGGATTGGGGGAATAGTGGGGAGGGTTCGGTACGGATAGACGACTGGGCGGTGACAGGAAAAAATAAAGTCAGACGCTCACCAATGCAACTTGCGCTTCGAGAGGAGCGTGTAGATGAAGTTGAGGCGGCTAGGAGGGGGGGGGGGGGCGCGCGTTAGCGTTCATTTCTCCACCTCCCTTTATCGTTTCCCTCCATCCCTCCTTCGCCCTTCACTATCCCCATCGCCCTTAGCTACTACTTTCGCCCTTCGCCGCCCCCTTCGCCGTTCGCCACGTCGCCCGCCGCCTTCCTTCGCCGCGTCGCGCGCCTCCCTCCTTCGCCTCTCCGTCGCCCACCGCCCTCTGCCGCATCCCCCCACTTCGCGACCGCCTCCTCTTCGTCACCTCCCCTCGCCCTTCAGCTCAGTGCGGATCAGGCAGCGGCATTGACGCGAACAGTGCGACAGGCGCCCTCTGCGAGGTGGACGGCGACAGCCTCGCTCTGCGAAGAGGATGGCCACAGACCGCTCGGAGAGGAGGACGGCGACAGACCGCTCTGATAGAAGATGGTCACAGCCCTCTGGCCCCTCTCCGTCGGAACCACCCTCCCACGCACGCGACAAAAACCACAAACAAACAAAACTCAAACAGACAAAACTCAAAACAAACAAACAAACAAAACTCAAATAAAAACACCCGAACCACGCACCTAAAATCCCAGATCCGCACCTCCCGCAGGCCGGCCGCCTTGATCATCCAGTAGTACTGCGCGTTCCGGTCGCGGTACTCGTTCGTGCGGAGCGCGTGGGTGACGCCCTGGGGGTGGGGGGTGGTGAGTAAGGTGAGTAAGGTGAGCGAGAGTAAGGATGTTGGGGGGGAAGGGGTTGAGAGTTGAGTGGGGAGAGGGGGGAGAGTAGGGAGAGGGAGTGGGGATGGGGATGGGGGGACAGTGGAGAGGGATGGGGTGGGGGGGAGCGTTAGCGTCAGTTCGCTGGAGGTCCTATTGTCCCTTTGGCAGGGGAAGCAGACGGCGCTGAGGGCAGGGGAACGGTGGTGGGAGCGAGGAAGGCGAAGGAAGGCGAGGAAGGCGAGGGAAGCGTAACGGCGGTGGAGGGAAGAGGAGTCCGAAGGGATCGAAGAAGCGCGATAGGCGAAGAAACACAATGCGATGTTCGACGAACCGCAACGGGACAACAAACGCAATGCAATGGACGAAGAACCGCAACGGGCGAACAAACAGGCTCAGAACCAAACGGCTCAAAACGCAACGCACCTCCAGCGAATCGACCACCGGGCACGCGAAGTCGTAGGTAGGGTAGGCCTTGTAGGTCGTGCTGGGGAGGTGCGTCAGTGGCGGTACTCTTTCTTTGCCGGCGCGCTTCGATGGTTGCGTCCCTTCCGCCTCCTCCTCGATCCCCTTTGCGCTCCGCCAACCACAGTCGCGCTCCGCCAGCCACGGTCGCGCTCCGGGAGCCCGCGTCAGTCGCCCCTCCGCCGACCACGGTCGCGCCCCTTCACCCAACCACCATCACCGCCTTCACACCAACCACCCACCCAATCACCCTTCACCGCCTTCACCCAACCACCATCACCGCCTTCAACCACCACCCAAAAACCCACACACCCAAACCGAACCAAAATAATGATAATAATGATAACAATGATAATAATAATAATGATGATAATAAACCCATCCACTCACCCCGTCCGATGGTGCGGCAGCAGGTTCACGCGGTAGATGACCGGGTCGCGCATCGCCTTGTTCGGGTCGTCGACCTGGGGAGGGGGGGGGGGGGTGAGTGAGTGTTGTGGGTGAGGGGATGAGTGTGTGTTGTGGGGAGGTTAGAATTGGGGGTGAGGGGGGTGAGGGGAGGGGGGGAGTGATAGGGAGGGAGGGGGTGAGGGGAGGAGTAATAGGGAGGGGTGCGTGTCGGGTACGGGGACGGGAGCGTGTCGAGTGTTCGGTACGGGGATGGACAAATGAGCGCGTCAGCCCGGTAACCGTGTATCCGAGGCCAGCGACATTCACCCACAACCAAAAAACCCCCTAAACACTCACACTAATCTTCGCGCGCACACACCACCGCTGCCCCTCCTCCGTCCCCGCGCGCATCTCCGCGAAGCGCGCGAGCGACGCCGCGGGCGAGTCGGCGCTAGAGAAGCGCGCGTTTTCGTTAGTTACATGGTCAGTCGTTGAATTAGAGGCGTGGAACTAGTCCAGCGCGGCGCCTAACACTCACCGATGCGCGCTCGCGATGCCGTCCCAGCGCTCCTGCCGCATGCGCGCCTGCTCCGTGTCGTCCGCGTAGGCCTGGGGGGGGGGGGTGTTAGTCGACTTCGCTGGGATATTGCAGTCGGCAGGTAGCTCCGTTGCGCGTCCCCTTCGCGCGTCCCTTTCGAGGGCCCCCCTTGAGCACCCCCTTCTAGCGTCCCCTTCGCGCGCCCTCCATCCTCGCAGCCCGCCACCATCTCCCTAGCAGAGCCTCCTCGCCTTCCGGCGCCAGCGACACACGTTCAGGCGACGCGCCAGCGTCCCCACCCCATCGAAGCGACGCGCCAGCGTCCCCGCGCCTTCGAAGCGACGCGCCAGCGACTCCGCCCCCTTTGCGCGCCCTCCATTCTCCCACCTCATCGAGCGGTAGCGACTCCGCCCCCATCGAGCGGTAGCGTCGCCCCACCCCGTTCAGGCGACGCGTCCGCTCCCACCACTTCCGCGCACCAGCGTTCACAGACCCCACCACTTCCGCGCGCCAGCGTCCCCGGTCGACGAGGTCGCCCGACCGCGCCAGCGTCCCCTCGTCGAGCTCGCCAGGCCCCAGCGCCAAAAGCTCGCACGCCGGAACCACCAGATGGCACAGCGTGAAACGCGTGTACCGTCCCCTCGTCAAATCCACTCAAACTCGCCAACCAAACCCCCCCCTTCCCCCCCTCTTCTTGCCTCCCAATAACCTCCCCCTCCCCCCTCCTTCCCCCCTTCCCCCCTCCCAACAACACCAATACGCCAATAACACCATAACAACGCCGAACACAACCCACCTTCCCCTCCTTAATAAGCTTCTCGCACAGCTCCGCCAGCTGCGGGAAGTAGTCGCTCGTGTGCGTCACGCGGTCGCCTTCCTGGGGGGTGGGGGGTGGGGAGTTAGTGGTTAGTAAAAAAAAGGGAAGGGAAAAGGGGGGGGAGGGGGTAGGGAGGGGTAAGGGGGGTGGGTAGGTGTAGGGGGAAGGGAAGGGAGGGGTATTAGAGTGTGGGTGTATGTGTGGGTGTTAGTATAGGGGAAAGGGAGGGAGGAGGCGCATAGACGTTAGCGCGCGAACGCGTGGGCGCTGGCGCGCGAGTTGGTTGTGCGGTGGAATATGCGCTTCGGCGCGAGTCCCCTCCCCTCCCCCCTTCCTCCACGCCAAATAGTATAAAAACCCCGTCCACCCCTTCTCTCTCACCCCTCCCCCTCTCTCACCCCTCCCTCCCCTTCCACCTATCAAAACCCCCCAAAAACAACCAAACAGCCAAACTCACCACCCCGATCAACCGCAGATCCTCCAGGATCGTCTCCTCGAACTCGGCCGTCTCCTTCGACGGGTTCGTGTCGTCGAAGCTATTGGGGGTGGTTAGTGGGGTTGGGAACTGAGTGGTTAGTAAGTGAGGGAAGTGAGGGGTGAGGGGGTGAGGGGGTGGGGCGGTGGGAAGTGCGTCAGCGCGAGACATGTAGGGGCCACCCCTCCGCCAGGAGGGGATGTGAGGTGAGGAGTGTGGGTGAGGGGTGGGAGAAGGGGAGATGTATAGGTGGCATCAAAAGAGAGAAAAGCGCGGAGCGTTGAGAAACGCGAGCGCCCGCCAGACGCCCAAGAGAGAAAAGGGGGGAGCGGGAGAAGGGAAATGGGGGAGGAGAGGGGGAGGGGAGGGGAGAGGGGGAAAGGACGCGCGGGAAACGCGCGGGCATTGAAGGACGTTGAAAAACGCGCGGATGCGACGACGAGTGGGGTTGGCGACAACGCTCAAGAGAGAAAAGGGGCAAGCGGGGGTCGAAAAACGCGCGGATGCGCCGAAAAATGGGTGGACGAGGGTCGAAAAGCGTGCGCGAAAGAGAGAGAAACGCGTGCATGAGGCTAAACGCTCGAAAAATGCACGGCCGCGGAAGGGCGTCGAAAAGCGTGCGCGAAAGAGAGAAAAGGGGGCGTCGAAAGAGACGAAAACTCGACAAACCCAAAAAAAACACTCACCGAATGCCGATCGCCCCCTCGTACATCTGCGCAAAGTACTGGTTGAGGAGGGCCGCCTGGGTCGTGGGTTAGTGAGCGTCAGTAAGGTTGGGGGTTTAAGAGGTATGGAGAAAAGGGTGGTGGGAGGCAAGGGGAGAGAGGACGGGGAGGTGGGGGTAGGGGGGGAGGGGAAAAGGGTGGGTGAGGAGGTAGGGGGGGAGGGTGAGTGGGGGGAGGGAAGAGGGTGAGGGGGATTTTGGGGGGAGAGGGGTTAAGGGGAAAGGGAATAACAAAGGGATGAGGGGGGGGAGGGAGGTAGGGAGGGAAGGGGTGTGGGGTGGAGGGGTGGGAAGGCCCCCTGCGTCCTCGGTCAGCGCCACCGCCGACCATTTCCACCGCCGCTCACTCCGCCCTTCCTCGGTCGGCCCCTTCCCTGGCCCCCTCCCAGCCTAGATCGACCCTCCACAGTCGCCCGCTTCCCTGCCCCCTTCCATCCTCGGTCGGCCCTTCACCATCGCACCCGGCCGTGCTCGCGCCAACGGCCCGTGCCGAACGACTCCTCTCTCCTCGCGCCCTTCCATCCACCATCGCGCCACCGCTCCCATCGCCAGCCGGACGGGCGGAGCAGGGGCGTGGGAATACGAACGGTGAGGCGAGGGGACATATATGAACGGACGAGCGATGCGCCGCGAACATCCCCCCAACCCCCCCCTTCCACTCCCGTCCCTCAAAAACCAAAAAAAAAACCAGAAAAAAACCCAAACCATCCCAAAGAAACCAACCGACCCACCTTCGCGTGCCCGATGTGCAGGTAGCCGCTCGGCTCGGGCGGGAAGCGGGTGCGGACCTGTGGCGTCGGTGTTAGTACGCGTATAGGGGAAGCGCCTGCGGCGCTTGGGAGGGATGGGCGAGCCGTTGGAGTTAGCGAGTTTTTGACAGCGTTAGAAAACGCATGAGGCCCCTCCTGCGGAGGTGCGTGGGGGGGAAGAGGAGAGGGAAGGGGAGCGAGCAAGGAAGTAGGGCCCTCCCCTGGCGGGGAGGGGTGTTGTGGGGGTGGGGGTTAGTGAGCCCCCCGCCTGAGGCGGGCGTATGAGCCCTGCCCGCTTTCGACGCGGTCGTACGAGCCCCCCTCCTCCTTCTCCCCCCCTCCCTCCCAACCCGCACCCCCTCCATCACCAAACAAACCCCCCTTCTCCCCTCCCCTCACAACCCCCACCCCACCCCACCCCTCCCTCCCCAAAAAACCAAAAACACCCCCCTCGCCAAAAACCAAATCACCCCCACCCCTCCATCCCACCCCGAAAACCACTCCATCACCAAATCAAAAAAAAGAAAAACCAAACAACAAAAACACTCACCTCCCCCCTCCTCGCCCCCTCGAGCCCGAGCGCGAAGCCGGCGGCCGTCTTCGTGGCGCGGGCGGTGGCGGACTGGTGGGTGAGCCGGAGGCGAGTTCGGTGGAGGTCGCGTAGCGACCGAGATTGAGCGACATGATGTTGGGTGAGGTCGAAGGTCGAAGGTCGAAGGTCGAAAATCGGAGGTCGAGGTCGTAGGTCAATTCGAAGGTCGAAGGTCGAGTTCGAAGTCGAGGTCGACAGTCAATAGTCGAAGGTCGAATGTCGAAGGTCGAAGGTCGTAGGTCGAAGGTCGCCGGTCGGTAGGTCGCAGATCGAAGGTCGCAGGTCGAATTCATGGTTGAAGGTCGAATGTCGAAGGGAGATCGAAGGGAGATAGTCGAAGGTCGAAGTCGACGCGAGGTCGATAGTCGAAGGGAGAAGGTCGAAGGTCGACGGTCGAAGGTCGGAGGGAGAAGGTCGACGCCAGTCGACGACCGACGCCGACCGACGCGTGATGGAAGGTCGAGTAGTCGAAGGTCGAAGGTCGAAGGTCGAAGGTCGTTGAGGTCGAGTCCAAGGTCGAAGGGAGAAGGGAGAAGGGAGAAGGTCGAGGTCGAAGGTCGACCGCCGCATACCGAAGGTCGAACGTCGAACGTCGAAGGTCGAAGACCGACGAGTCGATAGTCGAAGGTCGACGTCGAAGGTCGAGTTAAGGTCGAAGGTCGAAGGGAGAAGGTCGCAGGTCGATAGTCGAAGGTCGAAGGTCGAACGTCGCGACGAGTCATGGTCGAAGGTCGAGGTCGCAGGTCGAAGGTCGAAGGGAGAAGGGAGAAGGGAGAAGGTCGACGGGAGAAGGTCGAAGGTCGAAGGTCGAAGGTCGAAGGTCGAAGGTCGACAGTCGAAGGGTCGTAGGACGAAGGGCGACCAGGTCGAAGGTCGAAAATCGGAGGTCGAGGTCGAAGGTCGTAGTTGATGTCGAAGGTCGACAGTCGAATTCGAGTTCGACCGACGAGCGATGTTGAAGGCCGAAGGTCGAAGGTCGACAGTCGAAGGTCGACATTAGGTCGCAGGTCGAATGTCGAAGGGAGAAGGGAAAAGGGAGAAGGGAGAAGGGAGAAGGGAGAAGGGAGAAGGTCGAGGTCGCAGGGAGAAGGGAGAAGGGAGAAGGGAGAAGGTCGATAGTCGACGAGTTCGATACGGACAGATGAATTGAAGGACGGGCGTATGAAAAAAAAAAACAGAAAAAAGACGTCAGCTAACGATTCGGCAGGCATGCGGCGCGCGGGAGATGAGGCGGGTGAGAAGGATGGGGAGGGGTGGGACGGCGAGTAGGAGGGATGGCAAGTGTGGGACGGCGAGTGGGAAGTGGAGGGATGGGCGCAGGGAAGGGAAGGGATGGGCAAAATCGACCGTCAGTCGATCGGAAGAGGGCGAATAGAAATCGACCCGCGGTCGATCGGAAGAGGGGAGGGCGAGTAGAAATCGCCCTCCAGTCGATCGGAGAAGGGCGCGAAGGGACGGAGCGCCCAAGGCGAGCGAAAAAAAAGGGTCGACGCAGGGCGAGCGAAGGGACGGAGCGTCCCAAGGCGAGCGAAAGGAAAGGGCGTGGAAGGGGGATGGGCAAAATCACCAAAACCCAGAATAATAATATGAAACAAGAACAAAAAACCCCTCATTCTTCCCAACCCCCCCTCCATCGACACCACCCAAAAAAACCAAAACCCACCTTAACCCCCGCCAACTTCACACCCGCCCCCGCACCCTCCGGCCGGCCGTCGAGGTGCGCGAGGTGCCGCGCGAGGTGGGGGTAGGATCTTAGGGGAGGGTTGTTAGTTGATGTTTTTTTTGTTTATGGAGCGTTGGGGAAAGGGTTTTTAGTGAGGGAGGGTAAAGGGTTTGGTGTGAGCGACGATGTGGAGGGAAGGGTTAGTTATGGGTTGTAAAAGGGGAAGAAAGAGAGGGGTACGGGGGAAGGGAGGAGACAGAGGGAGGGTGGAAGGGGGAAGAAAGAAAGGCGGTGAGGGGAAGGGGAAAGGGAAGGAGGAGGGAGGAGAGGGGATGAGGAAGGGTAGAGGGAAGGAGGGGAAGGAGGGTGAAGCGCCCCTGGCGGGGCGCGGGGGGTGGGGGTGGGGAGGGGAGGGGAAGGGGAAGGAGAGTGGGGTGAGTGGGGAGGGGTGGAGGAGAGAGGGGGAAGGGGGGAAGGGAGGGGGGGGAAGAGTGAGGGGGGAGGGTTATGGGTAAAGGGAGTGAGGGGTGGTGGGGAAGGGAGATTGTTGCGGGCCAGCGCGAAGAGAGAGAGGAGGTGAGCGACGATGTAAAGGGAGACAGAGGGCAAGGTGCGAAGGCGGAGACAGAGGGAGTTGCGAAGGCGGAGACAGAGGGAGTTGCGAAGATAGAGACGCAAAACAAACGGGTGGCGATAGAATATAGGAACGAGCACGCACCCGCCCTTGAGGAGCCCGAGGAGGCGGAGGTTGGCTGGGAGGGGGGTGGTTAGTGGGAAATCGTATGCGGTGGGGGGTACGCGGTGAGGGGGGTTGGGGAGAAAAGAGGGAGAGTGGGATGGGTGCGGGGCGGGGGGGGAGGTGGAAAGGGAGGTGAGAAGAAGGAGGGAAGGGGAGGTGATGGGGTGCGGGGGAAGGGGCGAGAAGGGGACGTGAGGGAAGGGTGGGGGAAGGGTGGAGGTGGGCCGAGGGAGGTGGGTTAGCGGGGGAGAATGGAGTGATGGGGTGATGGGGTGATGGGGAGGACATCGAACGCGCGGGAGAGCAAAAAAAAGAACAATAAGGACGCGCCAACACGCACCCTTCACCACGCCCCACAACCTCCAGTCCTCGCCGCTGATCGCGCGCCCGACGAGGTAGGTGCGGTACGCGAGGTGGTCGTCGAGCGCGGTGAGGGCGGCGTGGATGGCGGGGAGGTCTGTGGGTTTGGGTTGGGGTTTCGGGTCTGTAACTTGAGACTGGGAGCCAGCGGGCTTGGCGGCTTGCGCGCTAGTTTTGACGTCGCTGCCGAGTTCGTCCTTTTGAAGGCTGCCACCGAGCGCGGCGGATTTGAGGTTCTGAATGAGGGCGGCGACGGCGGCGGAGGAGCTGGGGCCGGAGGGGGCTGTGGGGGAGGAGGGAGAGAAGGACAAAAGGGAAGTGAGCAAGGAAACAAGGAAAATCAGCGACGACGAAGAGAGAGAGAGCGCAGTCCACCACGCACCCGCGAGCTTATCCACGATCGCGTCCTCGCCGACGAGCTCCGTGCCGTCGGGTTCTTTGAGGATCACGTCCTGGGGTAGTGTGAGTATGATGTTTGTGTGTAGGGGCGGGCGATGTGCGTGTGTACGGGCGGGTGATGTTTGAGTGCATAGAAAACGCCCAACGCCCATACGCCCCAACGGCCCGCGACTCACCTTGACGTCCTGCGCCCAGTGCACGTCGCGGCCCGCGCCGAGGGCGAGGGCGAGCGCGGCGTGGGGGAAGGGCGCGAGCGCGGGGGAGAGCGTGAGCGACATTGTCGGTGTGTTTGTGTTGGGGTCGGTGTGTTTTGGTCGAGATTAGGGCTTCTGTGTTTTGGTCGAGGTCTATGCGTTGACGTCGAAGTCTGCGTTTCGATTGGAGAGGTGGATGAGAGGCAGACGCGACGAGATCGATGACTCGCCGTCGATCGCAGCCGTCATCGGTGCTCGGGCCGGGGACACGTGATCAGCCCTCCACCCGGGGAAATGATCGCGTGCTCGGTGAGTCGGGCCGTGTGTGCGACCCCGCTCGTCCATGTTGCTGACGGCGATCGCGTCTCTCCTGGCGGTGGCTTGTGTGCGCTTGCTGGCTGCGTTATCCGTTCTTGTTGTCAAGAGCTGGCAGGTGCTCGTTGCTTGCTGTTCGCTGTCCGCCTACTGGCAGCGTCATCCGTGCTTGCTGCTTTCTGATCGCGTTATCCGCCGCCGGCTTCCCGCTACCCCCTCCAACCCCGTCATCCACCTCCTGTTGCTTGCTCTCCACCGCCCTCTGCTCGCTCTCCACCTCCCTCTGAACGCGTCGTCCACCTCGCTCTGCCTGCCCGCCATTCGCCATTCGCCATCTGCCATCCGCTGCCCGCCACTTCCGCCCCCGCCTCCCACTTCTCCTAGTCCTCTCCGATCCGTCCCTCCGTGAACGCGGGCATGGCGCTGCCTTTGGTATGACCTCTTATACGTAGCGTGAAGAACCGCCTCTTGAGCATACTACGGGGCCGAATCCTCGCGCATCCGGCGATGGAGAGCCTCTCCACATACAACGAGGGACGGTCTTCACTCTCGCGCATACAACGAGGGAAGACCCTTCTTTCCGCGCATGCGGCGATGGAGAGCCTCCCGTGCATACAACGAGGGCAGACCTCCGACGCACAAGTCGTAGGCAAGCCCCCGCGCATACACGAAGTCGTCTCCCGCACGTACCACGACGGCAGACCTCCGACGCTTATGACGCCTCCCGCGCATATGACCCCCCCAGCGCATACGAAAGGGCTGGAGAAGGGTCGACCTGAGGAAGTTGCCCGTATCGTGTACTTAAGTGGCTCGTTTAGGTTGCGTATGTTCATGTCGCTGTCGGGGATGTTCATGCCGAGCTAGTAAAGTCGAGCTAGTAGAGGGCGTATTGATGTCGAGCTAGTAAAGTCGAGCTAGTAGAGGGCGTAGTGATGTCGAGCTAGTAAAGTCGAGCTGGTAGAGGGCGTATTGAGGTTGAGCTAGTGGAGAGCATAGTGATGTCGAGGAGTGGAGTATATACGATGCCGACAAGTCGACGCTGGCCTGCATCAACTGCAAGTGCAGGACCACATGCCCTCCGCGGAAGTACGACTGAACCCCTTCCGTGGAAGTACGACCTCATCTCCTCCCCCTCTCCTCCAACCAGTCTCACTCCCCGCCTCCCACTTCCCCCATCTCTCTCACCTCACCCGCACCCCTCTCTTCACCCTCTCCCACACGCTCTTCCCTCCCCCACCCACTCCTCCCCCTCTCCCCCACTCATCACCCTCACCCACCCACTCCCTCCCATCATCTCCTCCCCCTCTCCACCCCTCTCCCTTCTCACCCTCGCCCACTCCCATCCACTCCCCCTCCTCGGGCCCCTCAACCCCCTCCCTCGACCCTCCTTCCCCCCTCTCCCATCCCCCCCCCTCGCCCTCCCACTCCGCCCTCTCCCCCTCTTCCCCCACTCCCCTACCACACCTCATCTCACCCTCGGGCTTTTCTCGCCCTCCACCTCTCTCGGACCGCGAGGTCGGGCGTCGCTCGACCCCCTCCCCCTCTTGCTCGACCCCCTCCCACCCTTCATCCTCTTCACTTCCGCTTCATCCTCTTCACTCCCGCTTCATCCTCCCACCCCAGCCCATCCCCTCCACTCCACCTCACCCGCACCCCTCCCTCTCCACCTCACTCGGGCTCTTCTCGCCCTCTCCCACCCCTCTCCCCCCCCGCCTCGCCCCACCGCTCTTCATCCTCACCACCCCAGCCACGTCGTCGATGTAGGGGACGAGTCCAACAGGCACGTCGCAGATGGAGTATCATGAGTCCACCCCAGCTCGTCGATGGAGGAAGGTCGAGTCCAACCTGCCGTCGTCCCAGGACGAGTCCAGCCCAAAGCGCGGCGATGGAAGACGAAGAGGACGAAGTCCACCGGCTCGTCGATAGAGGACGAGCGAGTCCAGCCCGGCGAGGCGACGGAGGGAGACGAGTCCCGCCTAGCTCGACGATAGAGGACGAGTCCAGCCCAGCGTCGACGGAAGACGTAGTCCATCCCGGCGCAGGGGACGAGTCCACCGGGGCGTCGATGAAGAGGACGAGTCCGCCGAGGCGATGGACGAGCGAGTCCACCCACCTGCGTTGACGAAGAGGACGAGTCCGGCCCGGCTCGTCGATGGAGACGAAGTCCCGCAAGGCGATGGAGGACAGGCGAATCCATCCCAACGCGTCGATGGACGATCCACCGGGGCGTCGATGAAGAGGACGAGTCCGGCCCGGCTCGTCGATGGAGACGAAGTCCCGCAAGGCGATGGAGGACAGGCGAATCCATCCCAACGCGTCGATGGACGATCCACCGGGGCGTCGATGCAGGGGACGGGTGAGTCCACCCCAGCGCGTCGGAGGGGGACGAGTCCGGCCCGGCTAGCGCGTCGATGGAGTCGAGTCCACCTGGGCGTCGATAGAGGAAGGACGCCGACCACCGGCGCCTCGTTGATGGAGGGAGACGAGTCCAACAAGGGCGTCAATGGAGGACGATGACGAGTCCACCTCGTCGACGGAGGGACGAAGTCCAGCCAGCTTGTCGATGTAGGGGACGAGTCCATAGGGGCGCCTCGTCGATGGAGGGAGTCGAGTCCACCATCTCGTCGATGGACGAGTGAGGACGAGTTCAGCCTAGCTCGTCGGTGGAGAGGACGGGTGAGTCCAGCCTAACGCGTCGTCGATAGAGGACGAGTCCACCCCAGCGCGTCGATGGAAGAAGGACGAGTCCACCCAGCGCGTCGATAGAGGAAGACGAGCTCCAGCCCAGCTCGCTGTCGATGGAGTCGAGTCCAGCCTAGGGCGTCGGCGGATGAAGGACGAAGTCCAGCCAGCGCGTCGATGGAGGAAGACGAGTCCACCCCAGCCGTCGCAGGGGGACGAGCGAGTCCGAGACGAGTCCACCCCAGCTCGTCGAGAAAGTCGAGTTTAGCCTAACGCCGGAGTCGATGGAGATGAAGGACAAGTCCAGCCTAGCAAGGCGTCGACGGACGGACGAGCTCCGCCGGCGCGTCGATAGAGGAAGGACGAGTCCAGCCTCGAGCGTCGTCGATGGAGGACCCACTCGCGGGGCGCCGATGAAGAGGAAGGACGAGTCCACCGGGGCGTCGAAGACGGCGTCGAGTCCATCCACCGGCTCGTCGATGGAGTCAAGCGAGTCCCGCCTAGCGCGTCGATGGAGGCGAAGAGCTCCACCGGCGCCGGGTCGTCGATAGAGTAGACGAGCTCCAACCTGCCGTCGTCGATAGAAGAAGGACGAAGTCCGCAGCTCGTCGACGAAGTCGAGCTTCGCAGCTCGTCAACGATAGATGGAGGACGAGCTCCTCCAGCTCGGCGATGCAGGAGGACGAGCTCCAGCCGCCTCGTCGATGCAGGACTCGCCAGCGAGGCGATGGAGGGAGTCGAGTCCACCGGCTCGTCGAGGAAGAGGACGAAGTCGAGTCCATTCGCCTCGTCGATGGAGGAGGACTCGCCAGCTCGTCGTCGATGAAGAGGACGAGTCTAGCCGCCGGCGCGTCGATGGAGGTCGAGCGAGTCCCGCCTAGGGCGTCGACAGAGGACGAAGTCCAGCCAGCCAGCTCGTCGATGAAGGTCGAGTCCAGCTAGCTCGTCGTCGATGAAGTCGAGTCCAGCCTAGCGCGTCGCAGGAGAGGACGAGCTCCAGCCCACTTCGTCGACGATGGGAGGAGGACAATGTCCAGCCAGCCTAGCTCGTCGATGGAGGGAGGACGAAGTCCCGCCATCTCGTCGTCGATTGAGGAAGTCGAGCTCCAGCCAGCTCGTCGACGGCGGGAGGGAGGACGAGTCCAGCCACCAGCGCGTCGATAGAGGAGGACGAGTCCAGCCAGCTGCCTCAGTCGATAAAGGGGGACGAGTCCGCCCGAGCGTCGTCGATGAAGCAGTCGAGTCCAGCCGAGGTCGTCGATGGAGGGAGGACGAGTCCAGCGAGCCATCTCGTCGGCGATGGAGGACGAGCGATTCCAGCCTAGCTGCCTCGTCGATGGAAGTCGAGTCCAGCAGCGCGTCGACGGAGGAAGTCCGGCCAAGGCGCGTCAACGGAAGACGAGCGAGTCCACCCCACCTCGTCGCTGACGAAGGACGGACGAGCTCCACCCCAGCTCGTCGATGATGGAAGACGAGTCCGCCGGGGCGTCGGAGAAGGACGAATCCAGCCCGGCGTCTCGTCGATTGAGGACGAGTCCAGCCTAGGGCGTCGTCGACGGAGGTCGAGTTCAGCCAGCTCGTCGACGGAGGAGGACGAGTCCAGCCACCAAGGCGATGGAGGGGGAAGACGAAGTCCGCCGGGGCGTCGATAGAGGAAGGACGGACGAGTCCAGCAACCTCGTCGACGATGGAAATCGAAGTCCAGCAAGGCGTCGTCAAGGACGAAGTCCAGCTAGCTGCCTCGGCGTGGATAGGGACGAGTCCAGCCCAGCTTGTCGACGGAAGGAGGACGAGTCCGGCCTAGCGCGTCGATGGAGACGAGTCCACCGGCTCGTCGATGGAGGACGAGTCCACCCACCTCGCCGCCGGAGGAAGTCGAGTCCATCCCAAGGCGTCGATAGAGGACGGACGAGCTCCGCCTAGCTCGTCGATGGAGGAAGACGAGTCCAAGGCATCCGTTGATGGACGCAGGACGAGTCCAGCCAGCGACCTCGTCGATGAAGGAGGACGAAGTCCACCCCAGTGCTCGTCGATGAAGAGGAACGAGTTCAGCTATCTCGTCGGTGGAAGTCGAGCTCCTCCGGGGCGTCGTCGATGGACGGACGAGTCCACCCCAGCTCGTCGATGAAGACGAGTCCGCCGGCTCGTCGATGGAGGGAGACGAGTCCACCGGGGCGTCGACGGACGGACGAGCTCCGCCGGGGCGTCGATGGACTCGACGAGCTTCAGCCGAAGTCGATGGACCAGCGAGTCCAGCCTAGCGTCGACGGAGGAAGTCGAGCTCCACCAGCCACCTCGTCGAGGAAGGACGATGACGAATCCAGCCACGAGCTCGTCGAAGACGAGTCCACCGGCTTGTCGATGGAAGGACGAAGTGCAGCCCAAGGCGATGGAAGGACGAGTCCAGACCACCTCGTCGTCGATGGAGGGGGACGAGTCCAGCAAGGGCGTCGATGGAGGGGGACGAGTCCACCAGGGCGTCGATGTAGGACTGACGAAGTCCACCGGGGCGTCGATGGAGGAAGGACGAGTCCAGCCAGCTCGTCGATGGAAGGACGACGAAGTCCGGCCACCAGCTTGTCGCCTTGATGGAGGAGGACGAGTCCAAATCCACCGGCGCGTGGATGATGTAAGGACGGACGAGGTCCAGCCAGCTCGCCGATGGAAGGCGAGGAGTCCAGCCTAGCACGCGTCGGAGATGATGAAGGGGACGAGCGAATCCACCTCGGCGATAGAGGACGAGACGAGTCCAACCAGCCGCCTCGTCGAAGGACGAAGTCCACCGGCGCGTCGATGGACGAAGTCCACCGGCGCGTCGATGGACGAAGTCCACCCCAAGGCGACGATGAAGAGGACGAGTCCCGCAGCGCTTCGAGGAAGAGGACGATGAGTCCGCAAGGGCATCGATGGAGGACGACTCCACCGGGGCGCCTCGTCGATAAAGGACGAGCTCCAGCCTACTAGCTCGTCGATAGACGGTCGAGTCCAACCACCTCGTCATCTCGTCGACGAGCTCCAGCGCAGCTCGTCGATGCAGGGGACGAGTCCCGCCAGCTCGTCGAAGACGGTCGAGTCCCGCAAGCTCGTCGATGAAGGACGGACGATCGAGTCCAGCCCATAGCGTCGAGGAGGACTCGAGCTCCAGCCAGCTGTCGTCGACGGAGGACGGACGAGACCTCCTTAGCTCATCCTCACTCCCTCCCCCCTCGGGCTTTTCCCACCTCCCCCTCGCGCCCTCCCCGCCCTCCACCTCCACCGCCCTCCACCTCCCCCCGCGGTCGGGCGCAGGAGCGGGTGGGTGGGTGGGTGAGGGCGCAGGAGCGAGTGGGTGGGTGGGTTGGTGAGGGCAGAGTGAGCGAGTGGGTGGGGGAGGGCGGAAGGAGAAGACGACGAGTCCACCGGGTCGTCGATGGAGGACGAGCTTCAGCCACCTAGCTCGACGATGTAAGGACGAGCTCCATCCACCGGCGAGGCGATGGATGGACGAGTCCACCGGGGCGTCTCTGATGAAGACGGACGAAGTACAGCCCGCAAGGCGATGTAGGGAGACGATCGAGTTCCAGCCGCTGGCGTCGAGAAAGTCGAAGTCCAGCCAGCTCGTCGATAGAGGGAGGCGAGTCCACCGGGGCGATGAAAAAACAAGCTCCAGCCACCTCGTCGGAGGACGGACGAGTCCGCGGGGCGTCGTCGATGGAGGAAGGACGAGTCCACCGCGTTGCGGCTCGCTGCTTTATATCGTACGTCCCAATATATGTTCAGAAAAGAAAAACATGACTGTGGTCTTTCTTCTCTGTGATCATTACAACCCATCTATAATGCCTTCTGTACGCTGGCTGTATGTTGGAGATACCGAGCGAGCGTCTGGAGGCAATGTGTGACTACTCACGTGAGACGTGACCAACTACAACGAACCTTGCGGTTCAGATTTGCCTCCCGACGACAACATGGCTTTCCAGCAGTCCCCGTCGCTCGCAGTGCTCTCACCGAGCATCCTTATAAATCTCATGCACCTGATGGATCCTTTGGACATCATCCGCCTGCGACAGGTTTAAAAATTCGGGCTTTGCTCACGCGCGTATGCTGACGACGATACAGACATGCAAGACGCTGTACAGCGCGACGAAGAAGCGCGCGGTTTGGGTTGACCAGATGAAGAGTATGTGCGCTGCGAACAAAGTCTTTGCGCCGACTTTCGACATCGAGAGAATGTCCCTCGATGCCCTGGAGCGGGCGTCCACCGCGCCGGCCAGATTCTTCCGCCTCCTCGTCAACCCACCGGAAGAACCTGAGGACGGATCGAACCCATTTTCCACCCGAGAGATATTTCTTCCTACCCCTCCAGCTCGATCTTCGAAGACCACCCGCCGCCGCGCTTCTCTCGCCTCTCCCGACTCCGCGCCCGACGACGAATTCCGCAGCGTGTGTCTCGTCCCCGGTGGCCGTTTCCTTCTCTGCTGCTCCCTCCACAATATCTATATCTACTACCTCGACGTCGGCGGTACTAGCGAGCGCAAGGTAGCGCTTATACTTGCACGCCCGATCAAGAGCTTGCTGGCCCTTTCCGCGCACCCGGAGGGCTGCGATTACGACTTCGAGATCCGGGAATGCTATAGGGCGGAGAAGGAGGACATCTTCAGGTTCATCTCCGTGATGAAGCCGCATACGTGCGTTATACAATTCAAGGCAGCGGCAAGTATTGACTGCTGAGGACTAACAGGTACCTGAATGAGAGATTTTCTGTGCGGGCGAAGGAAGTGCATCCGTGCGTTTTGCGAGTTGTACTTTTCAGATTAGCTGGCTGACATGAGATTCGCGCAGGGGTGCAATCATCCATCTATGCGAAGTCGCTGTACCCGAAGATGGCGAAGCTGGGTTGAAGATCCTGGCCCGCTTGGCGGATGACCTGCTTGACAGCCATACACTGGACATACATGCTGTCACCGCTGACCTCGTCGTAGTGAGCGCAGGCAACAAGGTCGTGCTGTGGCGGCACAGACAGGGCACAGTTGCGATCTGGTGGGCATTCGAGCACAGGCTCGGCTCGCTGAATGGAGTGCGCGGTCAATCTTCTGGAACCACGCCCTGGCCTCCTGCTGACGCTTAACCAGGTATTCGTCGTGGGCGCGCATGCGCTCGCTGTCTGTGAGTTCAGCCAGGCCGTCATATTCCGCATTCCCGAATTCTTGCCTCTCGGACCGGGGGATGCGCTCCCGGTGCCCGAATGGAACGCGGAGCCTGTCTACTCGATCAACGTCGACCTCGAGTATCCCGACAACTATGCCACGCCGCGCCCTTGGTACCACGTTCCGTCTTCCTTGCCCGCCTGGGACTTTTTCGCCGGCGACATGACTGTCCGCTGGGTGAGCGAGGTCGTCTCCACCAACTTCGCCGAAAGGAGCAAGCTGCCACCGTTTCTGCCCGCCTTGCATAGAACTATCAGGGCGGATATGTCTGCATCGCACATGCAGTCGCGCGACTCGTACGTGGCGCACCTCACCTACGTGCCCTGCATGGACGACAATCACGTTATCCTCGCGCACCGACCGTACACTCAACTTGTCTACGCGGCATACGCGTACCCCGAGGCCGACCCGATGCAAGGCGCGGGCGCTGACGAGGCTGGGTCGACCACGACGTATGGTGTGCTCACTGCTAAGGACCCGACTTCGGACGGAGCCAACGATGTCGGGAGCTTCTCGCTGTGCGCGGCGAGCGGCAGAGTCGCCTATGTCAACGTAATGCGAGACGGGCTGATGAGCTCGGCAATCGGCACCATCAGGAAGGGCTCGAAGAAGATCACGGTCGTGGACTACCTGCGTCAGTGAACTTGCGCTCGATCGGAGGTGCGTCGCAACCGTGCCCAGAGGTTCGCGAGCTCATCTCCTTGTACAATTGTAGATTAGGTGCTGCTCAGAATGTCTTGGTGCCCTGCACCAAATCTTGGTGTCCTGCGCTGAATCTCGGCCAGCTGTTCTTACAACACACGGTGTAGGCAATGCATTATACACTGATTCCCGTGCGCTAGGTTCAAGATTGGCTGCTGTGTGGCATCGCATGCTACTGCAGTATAGCGGCGCATGCTACTGCTGTATAGCGTCAGATGCTACCGCTGCTATCATCTGCCATCCGCAGAGGTGACAAAGATCCCTTCTCGCGTTGTAGTTCACCAAAATGATATTTTACAGGAGGGACCTACCATTTTTCCCGCGGGCGTCCCGACGTCGGGACGTTTGTGCCCATATTTGGTGCGTGGGAATATTGCGCTCTCACCAGCGGATCAGACGGCGTGATGATGCGGTAGTAGGCCTCGTCGACGAACGACGAGGTGGGCTGGACTCGCTCGTCCCCATCGACGAGGCAGCCGGACTCATCGTCTTCCGATGTGGTGGATGGACTCGCACGTCCGTCGACGCCCCCTCGCCTCCTTCGCATATTCATACGAGTCCCATTCGCTCACTCGCCTACGATCCAAATGGAGCTGTGGATGAGAGGCATGACTCTGGGCAGGATTGCACGCGTCCGGAAGTTGAACGCCTCATGATCACCAGCAGCCACTCTTCGAATTTAAAGGCGGTACGACCCCCACCGATACAGAAGACCAGATCGTACTGCCATCCTGTAGCACGTAATTTACAGCTTATCTCGGGGAAGTAAATGAGGAGCAGAGAACGTAGCAAGGCAGGAGCGTGAGAGTGAAGGCGAAAGCTGAGAGCTCAGGAGACATCAAAAGCGGAAGCGCGGCCCGGTAATCCCGTGTGATGTCACGTTTCTCGGGACGGACACGAACTTGTCTGCGTCGCCCATGGTATCTAAATCTATGCCCTTTCCAGTGCTTGCCTTGAGTTAACCCTCAAATGCCAATGGATTCCTGATGGCTGGCTATGTAATATGCCTGGTCCAGCGCCTTCAGCTTCGACTATCTCACATTTGCAAAGTGGCAAACTCGTCGCGTCTAGCGCGCTGTTCGCGCTCGTCGCGCAGCTCGCGCGTTCAGCGCCTCTCGCGCTGATTTCGCGCTCTCGATTAGACGATGCATATAAAACTTCCTGTCGTCTTGCCTTCCCTCCTCGTCCCTCTTCCCCCCGACGTGCGTACCACCCCTACTTTTCGAGCGCTATCGACGTCGCCTTGAATTCGTCGTCTATTCTCAGCTCGGGCCATCTTTCTCTATCGACCTCGTAGCTCCACCTCCGTCGCTCTAACCGCTGTCGCCATCGTGGCCGTCTCTATTCCCGAATGACGACCGTCTCGCCTACGAACCAATCTTCTTCGAACCCGGTACAGGCGAATTCCGCGCCCCAGGAGCGCAGCGCAGGTCGCGGTATAGCGGGTGGTCTGAGCCAGGGACCTCATCAGGTGCGTTGCGTTTATCCTGTCCGTCGATCCCCTGCTGACGCATTCCCCACTCCAGTTCACCGCGCAAGCATCGTCCACTACTGCGTACGGGCCCGCTTCTGCCCCCCTTTCGACTGCACAAAGCACGACGCCTCGCGTGATTATGCGCCCTACGACGGCGGTTTCATCTGGGACGGCGACGAACATGAGTCCTGGCGTCGCCACAGCTGGCTCCAATGCAGCCACCGTAGTCAATTCGCAACCCTCGACCGCATCGACCCCGCGGCCTGTAGCGGCTGCCATCGCGCCACCTGCCCCCTCGGCTGGCCCGCGTGGTATGGCGAGCGCTGGTGCCGTCGGTGGGCTAGCCGGTACGGCGTCTGGTGGTCGCGCCGCCGCATCGGCTGCTCGTCCACACGTCGCGGCGTCTCATGCACCTGGTGCTGTCCCGATTCTGCATGGCGCGTCTGCGGACTGGCTTCAGCACGTGCCGTGGGCGTCAGCTAACTCCAACTCCATTCCTGTGTCCCACGCGCCTGCATCCAATCCTGCGTCCGTTGGCCCCCCTAGTGCGCAGACAGGAGGACCGGGCACCTATCAGGCCGCAACGAGTGGTACTGCGCAGACTGAGAGAACTGGTACCGTGCATGCCGCAGGACCTGGTACCGCACTACCCAGCTCGAGCGCCAACACCTGGCCGGGAAACCGAGTGGCGCCGGAATCCATGATGCAGAGCTTGCAGTTCGCATCGCGAAGCGCAGTGGAGTGGATAGGGAGAGCGCAGTGGGCGGAGTCGAGACTCCTTAACGCTGCGCAACAACTCGAGGAGGCCCAGAGGCAGCACGCGCAGGCACGTTCCGGAGCGGCCATGGAGAACGCCAAGCTTCGAGCGGAGATCACCAAGGTTCGCGCGGAGGCAGAGGCGGAGATCGCCAAGGTTCGCAAGGAGGCGGAGACGGAGATCGCCCAGGTTCGCAAGGACGCGGAGACGGATATTGCCCAAGTTCGCTCGAAGGGCGAGGCGCAGGTCACCGACGTGCATGCGTCCACGAACGCACGCCTGGAGGCCGCGAATGAGGCGGTGCGCGCAGCGGAAGGGAGGGCAGCGGACGCCGAAGAGAAGGCTTCGAGTGCCGAGAGGAGAGCGAGGGACGCCGAGCGGAGAGCCGCGAATGCGGAGGGTGCGGCGGATCAAGTGCTGGATCTCATGGACGAGATAGAGAAGTATAAGGTGTGTGTGCGGAAGTTGGAGGAGAAGCTGGGGGAGCGGGAGCAGAAGCTGAAAGAGCGGGAGGAGAGGGTCAAGGCGCTCCTGGAGCAGATGAAGGAGCTCGAAGACCAGGACGCTGTGCTACCACCGCGCACGAGGAAGAAGGTCAGGATGTTATGAACGTCTTAAAGTGGGATGTATAGAGCGGATGCGATTTCGTTTGGGGCTATGTCAGGATCGCCTAAGTGCATGTGCATGTCAGAACCGCCCGCGTACATGTCAAGTTCGTATGATTATCAGTTGACGCGTACCCAAGTAGCAGGCTGCTATACACGCGCCCCATTACGCGCATGTTTGGTCAACATGAGGCAGCGTACAAGAATTGGCATGCCAGTGGCTCGATGGTCCTATCTATTGCTCTGGCTTTGCATTCATCCGCGAGTTTCTAGTCATGAATTCCTCCCTATTCCACGCCTCCTCTCATCTCTCCATGTCGCGTAAACGCTGAGCAGAAGTGCGCAGAAGCAACTATACATCGTGAGATGTAGCGTCACTGAATAGCAGGAGCGACCCGCGGTGCACTCGGGCGCTGCGGCGGGGGCGGGGGTCAGGGGAGTTGATAAGTGCGAGATCCACGCGTCTGATACGCTCGGTCGCGACGCCTGCTTCTCCCCCTCGCGATCGAGATTGCGACCGAAGGCGAACGAAAATATGTTGCCGCCGACCAGGGGCGAGAGTTGGAGAAATCCATAGTTCTCTGAGAAGTGTTCTACGATAGGCGGGTCAGAAGATGCATCGAGGGAAGCGCACGGAATGGCAAACAAAGGTGCTGAGCAAAAAGAGGTATAATTTTGAAGATGTAGGTATGAAGGGGAGAATCATGGACGTGATTCCAGGGTGTCCCGACGCCAATAGTGCGAATAGTAATATGAAAGTACCTGCTCACCTAGACCGAACCGGTCAATGACCATCGCTGGCATGGTGCCGAAGAGGCTTCCGTACGAAAAACCCAGGACGGCGGTCGCCATCCAGAGAGACTCAGGGCTATCGGTGCTCGCTGATGATTTTTCGTAAACAAACACTACACCGGGCGTGCAAATGATGCGAAAAGGATGGACGATACAGGCCATCGAGGATAATGTACGCCGCTGGAAAAGGCGAAAGACGGGAGAAATAACAAATCAAGCTCACCTGTCAGCACTTGCGATACGAAGAAGCCAAGCGCGATGACGACAAAGAGCGTAGAACGTACACGACCAAGGCGTGTTTTGACAAAGTCAGACGCAAAACCTAATAACATGGGATGAGTGAGCACGAGCGACGGGGAATCAAACGGGAAGGAAGGAGGATGGACGAGAGATATAACGACGGGTGAAATGAGATCGAGCAAGCAGTAGCGACAAAAGAGAGACGGGCGGGATAGTTGAGAGACGACTGGCGTAAATAGACCACACGCTGGTAGTCAGAGAATATCCACTCGCCTGCCGAAATTCTTCCCGCGCAATTTGATACGCTCAGGATAGAGACCTGGGTCGCCTGCAATGCAGAAGCGACCGAGTCGTCGTAATCTGGAGGGGCCAAAGCGGACCCTATAGACACGGTAAATCGAGGAACGAAGCCGCTTGAACCCCAGTAAGCCATACACTCACGGCCCAGACTTCCCGCATACAGCGCGCGCACCATCGATCCGACATTGTTGATATACATGAGGCCAGTGCCACTGACTGAAGGAGACAATCAGAGATATTCTACCGTGCTGATGAAAGGGCCGAAGCAACCCACGCGTCGATATGATAACGAATAACAGCCAAAAGTCGAGGCTAGAAAACAGCTCTATCCTGTGAGAGTTTACGCGCTCGTAGCTTTGATTTTGATGATGAACTGCAGGGTGTGCTTGGTGCTGTGAGATAGCCTGGTCACCAGGACAAATTCTACGTACTATGCTCGTCGGAATGGTGGGTATGCCGATGGTCTGTATGCTGCGGTAGTATGACCTCCGGCTGGGCCAGGAGCGCATCCTGCTCGCCTGCTTCGCGTTCGTCCGAAGTATCCCTTGACTCATCCACCGAGCCGTCGCTCCCCTGCTCAACGCGAGAGGATCTATACTCTTCTCCATGCGGTATCGGCGCGACGAGCCATAGGCCGACTAGCTGCGGAAGCGCCGTCCCCAGGATCAGCAAGGTCAAGAAGTGCGACGTATTCCCCGGAGATGGGATCTTGGCGAACACGGTGCGGGAGATTGTGGAGAACAGAAATGCACTGAGCCCAAAGCCCGCGGAAACAAGGCTCGTTGCGGTAGCACGCGCTCGGTCTGGGAAGCTTTTTGCGACAGCGTTCGTGCTGCTCGTACTGCCTGCGTTGCCGCCTGCACCGGTCGCTATACCGCAAAGGACGAGCGCTGTTATGACACGGGCGTCGGCGCAGACAGCTGTGTCGTAGAGGAGCTGTTAGACGTATCAGTGAGTGCAAGCAGTGCTTACGGCAGACAAGCAACGGACTTTGATTCCCGTATATCCGATCAGCAGGAGCACGAACGCGCGGACGAAGCCGCGCTTCGGCCCTTGCTTGTCGACGAGCCTGCCCCAGATGGGTGCTGAAGCATAGATGCCAACTGTCGAAGGACATCAGATGTACTTTAGCTTATGATTCAGTGCCAAATACCCTACTTACCGCTCCCCGACATGCCTATCAGATTGAGCTGTGTTTGCGACATTTCGAGTCGCCGAGCGAGTTGGGGACCATAGACTGAAGGTGTCATTAGCTGGAAACACACACCGCTGCCTCTCACGCGCCACACCGGAGAACACCTGCATGCGTACGGAGTCAGCGCCCAACAAACTGTATCGTCGGTGGAGAGGTACGCACATAGTTTGTCCCCGACGCCAGCGCTACGAAGATGGCGGCGGAGAGCGTGCTTAGGCGGGGTCGAGTGAGAAGCCTTGACATGTTCCGGCGAATGGACAGCGCTAATATGAGGGGGCACGTCAAGGCGCAAACGCACGATAAGGTGCAATGGGAGACAAAGCGGCGCCGCTCTGCCCCCGCGTTCAATGGGTTAGTCAGCTGGCGGTGAGTACCCACGATGGCAAATGAGGAGCATTTGTTCGAGTGCGAGACAGAGGACACTGAAGGAATACGGCCCGCGCTACAAGCTTGCAAACTTAATACCGTCGCTCAGAAAATGCGAGATGCATTCCCCGTATCCACACCATCCGAACTTCCATCCGCTACGCTTCTATTGACTTGCTTGGTTACGATGCTCTATACACAGATATGCAATAAATAGTACTTGCAAGATAGTTGGATGCGCTTGTCGCTCACCGAATAGATATATTACTTCTTCACTTCGTCTACACCTCATGGCCTTTGCCGAACACACTACAGACCCCTCCTTCCCCACGAGCACAGGCGTGAGCGCGACGGTGGTTCAAGTCGGCAACTCACACCCTCCTCCAAGCCCCCCTCTTCCGCTCATCCCGCCACACCGCGTACACGCTCAGCAGCAGCGCGCAGAAGCAGCAAGAGGCAGTCAAATGCAGCGTCGCCGCATAGCACGAGCGGCCGGCGACGCAGTCCGGCGCTGCCACAGGTGCGGGCTGAGTGATCAATGAAGACTCATCGGAATCTCGTCTCCACAACGCCGCCGCCGCACGTGCGATAGCTTCCACCCTCGATGCACTCGAGCGGGCTAGAGTCCTCACGCTCGTCGGCGATGCACCTACCGCTTCCCTCGCCCCCCTCTCGCCCTCGCGATCCAAGTTCCGCCCGAACGCGAGCGAGAAGAGGTTGCCGGCGAACATGGGCGCGAGTGAGATAAAGCCCCAGTTCTCGGAGAAGTGGACTAGGGGGGAAAGCTTAGCAACCAAGTGGCGCAGAAGAGAACTGAAGATTCACCCATCCCGAACCACTCGATGATGACTGCGGGCATGACGCCGAAAAGGCTCCCGTACGAGAACCCGAGCAGCGCGGTCGCCATCCAAAGGGACGATGGATCGTCGATGTTGCCTGAACGGAACGGACCGAGTCAGCGATGGAGCATTGGACGAGCGGTCCTCGAGACAGGTAAACGCGCAAGTGTACGAAGGGAGGATGCATAAGCGCACGAGACACTCAAGCCACCACTCACCCGCCAGCACCTGCGACACGAACAGGCTCAACGCGACGCCAACGAGCAGCACGGAGCGCACGCGGCCGAGGCGCGTCTTGACGAAATCGGAAGCGAGCCCGATGACGATGCGCCCCGCGCAGTTCATCACGCTCAGAATCGACACCTGCGTCGCCTGCAGAGCCGCTGCGGCCGCGTCGTCGTAGGCGGGAGGCTGCAGGAGGGCTTCACTTGAGATACTGGAGTGCGAGGCTGCGAAAGGTTGTCAGCATCCGCACGCTACACGATATATGTAGAACGAGAGATACGCAGAACGGGAGATACGCACCCTCAGCTCTCGCTTCCGCCAGACTTCCCGCGTACAGCGCCTGCGCCATCGAGCCGACATTGTTGATGTACATGAGGCCGGTGCCGCTTACTGGAAAAAATGTGAGCAAAACTGAGCAGTCAAGAAAGCACGAGGAATAAGGAGAAATAAAGTCCATGTCGCTGAGCACGAAGCACAAAAAAAGGCAGTCCAGGAACGAGCGATAGAAATCTTACTCACACGTCGATACGATCACAAACAGCAGCCAGAAGTCAAGGCTGGTAAAGAGCGCGCGTCCGTGGACGTTCGCGGGCTCGTAGCCGTGCGCTGTGGGGTAATCAGTTCAGTGCCGAAAGCCGTTATGACCAGAGAGGGGCGTGCGGGGAAGTCAATGTGAAGCAGAGAACCCGTTACGCGAGGGTAAACCCGTACGCGAGGAGAACCCAGTACGCGCGAGGAGAACTCAGCACACCGCAATAACCCATGCGATGTTGGGTCGCGCGATCGCACCCAGTCGAGCTTGGCATGCGCGATCGCACACAAGGAAGACGTCAAACTCACCATGCGGATGGTCATGATGATGATGCGCGTGGCTCGGGTGGATGAGCACCTCGGGCGCGAGCAGCGCGTCCTGCTCGTCCTCCTCGCTCTCGTCGAGCGCGTCGGGGGAGTGGTCGGGTCGTCTGGGGCGTTTAGTCAGCCGCGTCCCCGCCCGCTGTCATAGCTCATGGAGGTGCTCGATGATATCACTCGCGAGAGTGCTCGACGATACCACTCGCGAGCGTGCTCAACGACATCGCTCGCGTCACGACTGAATGCCGGTTCCCACGTACCTCCCACCATCCCGATGCACATGCGCATGCTCCGCCTCGTGCAACAACCGGGCGCTCCTGGACAGGCTCCTTCCCGCGTCGACGCCACGACTTCTCGAGGCATTGAGGCGCGGCCGATACTCCAACGATCCGCGGGATGCGTTGACCTCGACGTCGTGCGAGATGCGGCGCTCGAGGTCAGGTGCGAGGCGTCTTTCCAGCGATCCGCGGTCCAGGGAGGGTGACACACCCCTTCCCCCGAGCGCTGGCGACATCCTCCTGTCCACCGACTCCGAGAGGCGTCTTTCCAAGCGAGCTGGGCTGAACGACCTCGACCTCGGCGACGCGCTCAGCTCGACGCCCTCCGCCGCGTCCGGTATGTACGCGATGGCGGGCGTCATGGAGGGCTGGACGCCGTGCTGGGATTTGGGCGCAAATCCAACATCCGCATCCTCGTCGTCGGACTCGGAGTGCAGGATGAGGTCGCCAGATTTCTGCGCGATGGTGGGCGCTGCTCGTCCTATAGTGGGCGCTGCTCGTCCTTCTTCAGCAGCCAGCAGCGGCGTCCGACTCGTGTTGGTGGCGCAGTACCTCGGTGCACCCAGTCCTCCTCCCGCACTCGCGTCAAACAACACCTCGCCCTCGCCCCCCACACGAGTCCCCGGCACACCATCCCTAGCCGGCACCTCGTCATAACCGCCGTGCACCTCGTCATAACCAGCCGGCACCTCGTCATAACCAGCCGGCACCGCATCCTCGTCGTAACCACCGTGCCCCCCATCCTCCTCATGCGGCACCGCCCTCACAAACGCCAGCCCCACCAGCTGCGGCAGCGCCGTCCCCAGCGCCAGCAGCGTCAAAAAATGCGACGTATTCCCCGGCGCCGGTATCCCCGCAAACAACACATGCGAGATCGTCGAGAACAAAAACGCGCTGAGCCCGAAACCCGAGAGGACGAGCCCCGTCGCCGTCGCGCGCGCGCGGTCGGGGAAGCTGCGCGCGACCGCGTTCACGCCGCTCGAGTTGCCCGCGTTGCCGCCCGCGCCGGTCGCGGTGCCGCAGAGGATGAGCGCGAAGAAGACGGGGCCGTCGGCGACTATGCCCGCGTCGTAGAGGATCTGGAGAGGGGTCAGATGTGGGTTTTGCACGCAGAGAGGGGGGGTAAGTCTAGGATGGCGCTCATGGAGGAGCAGCGTATTGACAAGAAAAACACACCTTGATGCCCATATACCCAGCGAGGAGGAGCACGAAGGCGCAGACGAAGCCGGGCTTGGGGCCCCGGGCGTCGACGAGCTTGCCCCAGAGGGGGGCGGAGGCGTAGACGCCGACTGAGAAGCGGTCAGCAGGGCACTCTCGCAAGCTCGGGTGAACGTACCGTTGCCCGAGATACCGATCAAGTTAAGCTTGGTGTGCGAGATGGAGAGCCGCTTCGCGAGCTGGGGGCCGTAGGCTGGGGAGTATGATTAGGGGCAGCCGTGTATGGGAGTAGGGAGTGGAGGAGTATGGTGTGATATGGAAGAGAGGGATGAGGGTGACGTATGAAGGAAGGGGAGGAAGACGGCCAGATTGAGTGTATGATCGCGTACCGGAGAAGACCTGGGGGTATGCGCGTTAGCAAGCGTGATCGGACAAGGCAGCTGACGAACGCGATCACGCACATAGTTCGTTCCCGAGGCCAGCGAGACGAGGATAGACGCAAAGAGCGTCGTAAGGCGCGGGCCGCTCAGGAGCGGAGGCGCGGCGGGCGACATCCACGGCGTATGTGTCGGGAAGGGGAAGAGGTCGAAGGTGTGCTAGGTGTCGTGGGAGGCGCGCAAGGTGTCTGGCTCGACGCGGAGAAGGTCAAGGACGACCTAGCGCAGGACGATATCTCAAGCACGACGACGGGGGTAGGAGACAAGACGCGATAGGCGGGGCCTGATGCCGCCGAGCTCCAGTGATCGGGCGACGGGCACGCCACGCGGACGGGTCGATATCGGGGGAGAGGCAGACGACGATAGCATACAGCTGCGGGCAGGCGTAAGGTGAAGTAGCAGGCGAAAGCTTGAGAAGATGAAGGACGCAGGTCAGTGTGGGGAAGGACGACAAGGCGCGCGCCTGCCTGGATCGGTCGGCGCACATGTCAGCGCGGGGGCGGAACTCTGAATCAGACACGTGCGCTCTACGTCATCACACAACACCGGCTACTTCTTGACTTGATCGTCGACATCTCTCAATCGCCAAGTCCGTAAATCTTGGGCGCTGCTGTCGGTCTTCGCATGCTTTGAGCCTCTATTGCGATGCTAAGACCGTCGCTCTCTCATCCTCAGGCCATTCTTTGCTCGCCGTCCCACGCCACCGACTGAGCCTTTGACGGGCAATTTGCTCACGATGCCTTTGAGGATACTGATGGGTTTGAGAGCCACTGATCCCTTTTAGAATGTTGATGACTTTCAGTACATCTCGCATATATTATCTGAGTCGCTGGTCGATCTTATCTCCCACTATCACTCCCTCCGTCCATCCTCGGCGGTGTTTGCTCCCTGTTTGTCGCTCGCTCATAACCTTCAATCCCGAGTCATGCCCGCCGACAACACCGCTTCCGACGAGTCTACTGCGACTACAGAGCTGGGTGCCCGTATCGAAGAGCATGGTACGGCCCGTGTTAGTGTCAGTACGTCTGCCGCTGGCGAGCCTGGTACGTCTTTGGCCGGCGACGCTGGTACGACTATCGCTGGCGATGCGGACTCTTCTTCGGCTGGAAACACTGATGAACAATCGACTGATGGCGCTGGTTCGTCCTCAGGCAGCGACGCTGGCTCGTCGTCTGGCAGAGATGCTATTTCGTCCTCAACCAGCGACGCTGGTCCGTCGCCAGCCAGGGACGCTGGCCCGTCTCCCGCTCGTGCGCCTCCCTCTGGTGTCTCTTCAGGGAATGGGCCTTTTCGAGCTTCTGCTCTGCTCGCCCACGCTCAAGCTCAACGTTACACTTCTCTCGCGCCATTGTCACCCATAGACCCTTCGCTCTTTACCAGCAACGCCTCTCCCCGCCCGCCTACCCCATCTTACGGTATCGACCCCGCGCTGCTATCATCGCCTGCCAGTGTCACGAGCGGTCTTCTCCTGAGCATCTTCGGCAATAATGCTTCTTTGCCTGCCTTTGACAGCGCTCCTTTATCCAACAGCGCTCCTTTTTCTAACAGCGCTCCGGTGTCCACCTCTCCCCCTCCCTCGCCCTCCACCTCTCCCCCTCCCTCGCCCTCCACCTCATCCTCATCCTCGACCTCCCCTCCCCCTTCCCCCCTTCCCCTCTCCAACCTCATCTGGGAATCCGACCTCGACCGCGAGGTTGCGCGCAGGAGGAACGAGGAGCGGGCGGCAGCGCAGCGTGCGCGGCATGACGGGATGTGGGAGGCGTTTGTGAGGGAAAGGCGGGAGGCCATGGGGGCTGAGCTCCCAGAGGCTGCGAGGCCTGCGCCGCGAGTGGCACGTACCCTGGAGGAACTCGTGTGTGGGCCGGCACCCGAGTGGGTTGCGAGAGAAAATGAGCCTCTTCCGGAGGTCGATGCGCGAGTGGATGAGGCGCCCAGTACGAGAGAAGCTGGTCCTCCGGCGTCCGACGATGCTCAGCATGCGAACGACCGCCGGTCGGCATCTGAAAGTCAGCGCGAGGGAGATGCTCATCAAGAAGTCGTCGCTCAACAGCAAGAGGAAGTCGCTCAACAGCAAGAAGAAGCCGCTGAGCACGAGGAAGTCGCTCACGGCGGGCAGAGCGATCACCACGCGGAAGACGCTCAGCAAGGACGCCGCGCTGAGACCAAAAGTAACGACTCCGAGGAGTCGGTAGACAGACAGGAGGAACTTGAAGTCGAGGAGGCGCTCCGAGTTCACGAAAAGGAGGTCGACGAGGATGGGAATGGGCTCGCTGAGCGTGAGCCTGTTGCCCTCGCCGCTGAGGTGCTCCTAGACGGGGAGAACGCCGCCGGACTCGAACAAGACGAGGATGCCATCGCACTCGAGAACGAAGAGGGCGCCGTCGCACCCGAACAAGGCGCATTCGAGGATGCCGAGGATGCAGGCGCGCACGACGGCTCTGGCTCCGACTCGGACGCTTCCTCCGCAGTCGAGGACAGCGACCTGTCCCGCAAGATGCACACGCCGAGCTGGGATTATCGGCTTTTCTGTACAGTGATGTAGCGTGCTTTCGTTGTATGTACGAGTACAGTGTCTATCTTTTAGTCCGTAGTTTTACAAGGAGTTTGTCTATCAATGTACAGCCGAAGGGTGACCATAGTAGCGCAACGATGCCTTGTTATAGTCGCGCCACGATACCATGATCCCTCCTTCCCCGCGCCCCAGCATGATACACGCCCCCGGCACCCGCACGGTACACGCCCTCAGCACCCGCATGATACGCAACACCCTCCTGATCAGAGTCGAAGTACTGCCCCATAATCTTCGTAGGCGCGTCTCTCAATCTCGGAAGGCCACTGGCGAGCACGTCGGCGAGCGCGTCCGGCGCTTCCATAGGTATGAAGTGACCTGCTTGTGGGATGCGAGAGACGGAGGCCCAAGGCACCACACCTGTGAGGAGTGCATCTTGGAGGTCTTTTGCCCTGAAGGGGCTGTTAGGGCAAGACAGGCGGTGCGAGAATGTTACACACATCACATCGTTGGGACCGCCCAGGACGAGGCGGACCGGGGTCGCTTGGCACATTGGTGGGAGGAAGTCCAAGGGCGCGGTCGGGCCGTACATATCCATGTACATATCCTAATGCGAATTAGTTGCCGTATCTTCCGAAGACGATGCAAGACGCTGCTTACCTCTTCCTGCTCCCGCGAGCACGCTAGCGTCAGACCGCCACGCTCTTTATCTGGTATGATGGCATGCTCCTAGGTGTGACGGTCAACTTCCCTCCCTTCGCTAAATTTCCTTCGAAACCTCTACTCACCACAAAAAGCGCCCCGACCCTCCGATCCCACGGCGCTTTCCGAAAGTACGCTTCCGCCGCCCCGCGGTCGCGCCACCAGTCGCGGCGGCCCGTGGCGCGCGCGCGCAGCCGAACGCGTAATTTCTCGATGCGCGGGCGCGGGACGGCGAGGAGGACGGGCTCGATGAGGGTGAGGTGGGTGAAGGGGAGGAGTGGGGGAATGCGGGCGAGGATTGTGCTAGGTGTGGGTCAGGTTGGGACTGAACAAGTCAAGCGGAAGGAAATATGTGGCGGGGGAAGATCTGGATGGCGAAGGAAGGAAGGACGTACAGCGCCAGCCCGCCGACTGAATGACCGATCCCTATCAGTGGTCGTGCTTGCAGGTCGGAGACGTGAGTGATGAACCGGTGGGCAGCAGTGGCGTATCCCGCGCTCTGCACTGCGGGGCCCACGTCAGCCACGTCCCCATCCACGCCTTTGCGCGCATTCGACTCACTCGACTTCATCTCCTCCTGTTTATCCACGTTCAATGTCGCCGACTCGCCATGGTTTGGACACTCGATGGACCACGCTTCGTGCACATCAGGGCCCGCCGAGCGCATAAGTCGAGCAACAGTAGGCTCCCAGGTCTCCTTGTGGAAGCCGATGGCGTGGAGAAGGATGAGGGTGGGCGCGGCGGGGTCGACGGCGTGCGGGAGCGGGAGCCGGTAGCGCGTGCCGACGACGTAGAGCGGGTAGGTGTTATCTGGAGGGAGGACCGTCGTATCTGCGTCGAGCTTGGCGGTCATTGTATGGTTGAGGAAGAGAGCAGAAGGTAGAGAGAGCGCGATGGACGAGGGGTCAACGTTGTGCGACAGAAATAGACGTAAGTTAGCAGAACTGAAGCGGGTGCGCTCTTATAGATCAAGATGGACGTGCATTCGCTCTATATGCAGGGAGAACGGACCTCCGGGTTCAGCGGAGCCGCGCTGGTCGTTTGAAGTGCACCATTCGCGTCACAAAGCGTACTTGTCACGCCTAGAATTCTTTCCATCGCGAACATCTCAGCATGTAAGTGTGAGAGGGGCGGCTTTCCGCTGTTGGTGGGTGGTCTTCCGCTTAAGTCGCAACTCGACCGCTGCGGGGCCGACTGATGATATTTTAGTGAGCTGCAATGTGAGGAAAATATGAAGCTCGCCATCCAGAAGACGTTACGCGTCTACATCATGTAAGAGTCCATATGTGCGCGTAATGGAAACGTTCAAGGACGAGTCTGATCGCCTGCGTCTGACGGGTAGCTTAACAAACCGTCCGCGGCTGTCGTATCGTGATCAGGCGTTAGAAGGGGATAGGGAGCCCACCAGTAGCATCAAGCAATGCAGACACTCCGAAAGCTCGCGGTCTGGTGAATGAAGGAGGCTTGCATCAAGCCTGGATGCTCCAAGTTCTATGGAAGTCATCAGCGCGCACGAGCTACAATCAGCGTAGGACGCGCTCTCATCACCTCGTACAGCGATTGTGCAGCTAAAGGCGGATGCCGTTAGGCCGCCGGGGGACTCAGCATCCGATGAAGATGGACAAGGGCCGACGAAGATGGGAGCAAATGTGACCCAGGCATTAGGCGTAGACGCCAGAAGCGCGACGATCACTGCATGTCTAATCCATCATCATCATCTCTATCACAAGGTATAGATTCCATCACAAGGCACGTCGCACCTTGTACGTGTAACACGAATTCGGAGATATGGTGGACGCTGTTCTATACTCGTGGGACGTAGAGAGGACCTACGGCGACTTTGAAAGCCTTTCGGAAGGGTGACATGTGCGCGTCGCATCAGTGAAGCGCTCACCTTCATTATGACGATTATGATCGTCTACGCGGGTCTAGTCAAGTATAGACGTTCACTATAGGCCTCGACCTGGTCAGCGTAAATGCCGGCATCAAGCATTGTATGACTCACCGATCTTGCGCTCAGACTCGCTGATAGTCCGCTCAGACTCACAGGCATTGCACCCACTCTATTCAGTCCATTAACTTCACCGCGTATACTTAGAAGGTCATGAGGTCGAAAAGGCGCGAAGGTGCGCGAGAATGGGCACGCGCAAATGCGCGACGGAGACGGACGTATCAGCGTCCGTGCAGGTCGAGGTCGAACTTGGCGGCTCAGAACCTGACGCGCAAGGGGAGCCCTATGGCGAGTCCCTCACCCCATGGCGAGCACGCCAAGGAATGGATTGGGAGACAAGGAGTGAATGCCAAAACATTGGCCAAGGTGATTGTGGGGCTGGAGATCATAGCGGCGTGAGAGGATTGCTACGGCGTGAGAGCCAAAAAGAACCCTCCTTGTTGGTCGGGGGTCGGATGCTGCCAAGATGCGCCTTGACTCACGGTCTTCGAGGATCGCAAGTCTGCTTGAGCGAGTGCGCGTGGCTCGCGCATAGAAGCCTGTCCGGAAGTTGGATGCGAACAGATAGCTCGGTAGCGAAGCCATGCTGCGGGAGTCTGCTCCAGCTGCCGTTAGCACGTGATGAGAGTACGATGTCTTCAAGTTCTTGCGCACCAGAGTTCACAACTACGGGCTCAACACTCGTAAGCTGACAGATGGCGGGTAGTAGTCATGATATCAGCCAGAGCGCACCCATGCATATCAAACAGAGGGCGGATCCCAAGTCCGCTTCCCATCGTCAATGGAGGCGCTCACATCGCGATAGGAAGTTCTGATGAGCACGCGCAAGTGCTGTTGCGATCTATTGGTGCAGGAAGCACGAAGGCAGAGACGCGATCGCGGATGCATGCATCCACGAAAGCAGGGACGGAGACGCGAACGCATAGATGGCGGTCAAAACCGACACGTCCACGCGATTCGATTCGAAGTGCAGCACGTTTCACGTGATTTTGCCACCGTAAGTTCGACTCTCGCTCCCCGCGTTCGGCGCAGCGTCTGAGTGCATCGCGGGTCGCTCCTGCTACTCGGCAACGCTGCATATCACGATGTTCAGTTGCTTCTGTAAGGTCCTGTAGAGCGTGTATGCCGCATGAGGAAACGAGAGGAGGTACGCGTTGATACACATCGTACAATCCTAACATGCGTATGAACGATCTTGACGTATACTTCCGCTCTATAGACTCCACTTTAAGACGTCCACAACATCCTGACCCGCTTCCTCGCACGCGGCGGTAGCGTAGCGTCCTGGTCTTCGAGCTCCTTTACTTGCTCCTTGAGCGCCTTCAATTGCTCCTCTAGCCCCTTCACCCACTGCTCCCGCTCCCCCAGCTTCTCCTCCAGTTTCCGCGCATCCGCCCTGTACTTCTCCACTTCGTCCATGAGATCCAGCACCTGGTCCGATGCACCCTCCGCATTCGCGAGCCTCGCCTCTGCGAGCCTCGCCTCTACGACCACAAGCTTCTCCTCTGCACTCGCCGCCCTGCTCTCCGCGGTCGTCGCCCGGCTTTCCGCGCCCTCGGCCCACTTCGCCGCATCCGCCGCCCTCCCCTCCGCCGCGCGCGCAGCCGCATCAGTCGCCTCAAGGCGCGCTTCCGTGGCGGCGTGCACTTGCACGATCTGCGCCTCGGCCTCAGCTGCCTCCGCCTCCGCCTGCGCTACCTTCTCCTTCGCGTCCGCGCGCGCATCGGCCACCCTTTTCTCAGCGTCCGAGCGCACCTGCGCGAGCATCCTCTTCGCGTCGGACTGCGATCTGGTGAGCTCCAAGTCGACCTCCGCGAGCTTCGAGTTGGCGACATCAAGCTTCGCGGTCGTGTCCGCCAGCCTGGAGGTGGCGTCGCCGAGCTTGGAGGCGGTGTCTGCGAGCTTCGCCTCCGCCGTCTTCGCCCTCCCCTCCGCTACCCTGGCCCTCTCCTGCGCCGTGACTAGGTCCACCTGCGCCGCCGCTGCCTTCGACTTTGCGTCGTCGGTCGTCGCTTGAAAGCTTGACTGCGCCTGCGCGAGCTTTTGCTTGTAGTCCTCTTTCGTCATCCGCAAGGCATTGGCGAACCTGATCTTGAGCTGCTGTGATTCATTCGCGTAGTCCTTTATACCACAGTGCATGTGATATAAGTAGGCCAGCAGATCCTTCCACACCATGGAGCTGAAGCGATCTAGCCATGCCGCAGGCACGTTCCTCCATTTAGGGGGCAGGACCACCTGCATCACAGATTGCGAATGCATGACGGGTCTCACGTCGAGCATTTTCGCGAGCATAGTACCGCAGGCGGGATGGGCCCGCACGTCCTGAGTCGCACCATGAGAAATGATGTGCGCGACGGGAGATGGAGGCGCAGGGGAGAAGCCGAGGCTTGAGGTGGGCAGTGAGGTACCAGGTCCTGCTGCCTGAGCAGTACTAAGTCCTACAGCATGCACAGGCGCGAGACCAGATGACGCAGCATTGGACGCAGGAGCGGCGGGTACAGAGGAGAAGTTGCTGTTAGCCGATGCACCTCCGGGGGCGCCAGGTCCACCAGACACCGATATGAGTGGACGAGCGGGGGAAGCAGCAAAGGGAGCACCAAACGATGTGGCGACACGGGCACCAGACGATACACTCCCGGCCAGACCGCCGGACGTAGTACCGGCTAGGCCACCAACGCCGCCGACGCTCGCCATACCACGCAGCGCGGGATGCGAGCCAGCCGTGGGAGCAGTAAGCGCGTTGGCTGTCGTCGCAGGCCGCGGGTTCGACACGGTCGAGAACTGCGAGTTGGCTGCATTGGAGACAACTGTGGCGACGCCAGGATTCGTGGTCGTAGTCTTCGCCAATGAAGTGGCCGTCGGAGGACGCATGATCAGGCGAGGCGCTTGAGCCTGTGCAGTGGCAATGGGGGCAGAGGCGAGCGCGTTCGCAGTCTTAGTCGACGCTTGCGTAGTGGTCTGAAGTACGAGATGCATCAGCAGGGAATCGATGCGCAGGATGAGCGCAACGCACCTGCTGAGGTCCTTGACCTCGACCACCCGCTATCTCATGACCTGTGTTACGCTCCTGGGGCACGGAAATCGCCTGTACCGTGTTCGAGAGAGATCGATTCGCAGGCGAGTTGGTCGTCATTCTGGAATAGAGACGGCCGCGATGGCGACGGCAGTCAGAACGACAAAGGTGGAGCTACGAGGTCGATAGAGGAAGATGGCCCGAGCTGAGAACAGACGACGAATTCGAGGAGACGTTGATGGCGCTCGAAAAGTAGGGGTGGTGCGCACGTCGGGGGGAAGAGGGAGGAGGAGGGAAGGGAAGCCGAGAGGGGGTTTTATATGCATCGTCTGATCGGGAGCGCGACAACAGCGCGAGAGGCGATGGATGCGCGAGCTGCGCGACGAGCGCGACGAGCGCGAAAAGCGCGAAAAGCGCGAAAGGCGCGAAAGGCGCGACAAGTTCGCCAATTTCAAAAAAGAGCGATCATTGAAGCTGAAGGAGCCGGAGCAGGTTCTTTGCGCAGCCAGATATCAGTACCCCATGAGAAGTCGAAGTCGAGTTGGAAGCAAATGCTTTAGAAAGGGCATGGGTGATATGGACAAGTCCGCCTCCGTCCGGATTCGAACTTTCGCGAGCAACGCGTCATGTCACATCTGTCACGTACAGGCAACGCGCCGCGTCCGCGCCGAGGTTTGACGGTCATCTTCATGAGCACTATGGCCGAGAGACATTCCAATGCCCTTACAGGGCTATCCCCCAGTCTCCTTTTGAACCTGATGGCGCAGATGCAGCCCGAAGACATCATCTCGTTACGACAGGTCAGTCCTTTCTGCATTTTCGCCGATGACCCTGACGACGCCCTACTTGCAGACCTGTAAGACGCTGCAGGCGGCCACAAACCACCGTGCTGCGTGGACTGCTGCTCTTGAGCGCACCGGCTTTGCCAACAAGATTTTTGGTCCGACCTTCGATGTCTCGTCCATGTCTCTCGAGGCGCTTGAGCGCGCGGCGACCGCGCCGTTCAGATTCTTCCGGCTCCTCACCCGCAAAGGGCGCATTGGTGAAGACATAGAAGAATTCGAGGACAGGATGGATCGTCTCTACGGTGAAATCCTTGGAGGGAAGATGCCCAGGTACTCACCACTGGAGAGCGAAAAGGAGATGACGCCGTTCCGTACGCACAGGCTTCGGCTCCCTCCTCTCCCAGCTGAGCTGGCCGCAATGCTTGCGAACCAGCCAGTAATGCCGCAGCCGACCAACACACGAAAGCCCTCGAAGAAGGGCAAAGCGCCGCCGCCTGCGCCGTCGAAGGAGGACGAGTTTCGCAACGTCTTGCTGATCCCAGGCGGTAGATTCCTGCTTACTTGCTCGCGACTCTTCATCCACATCTGGGACCTCAAGGGCGCTTCGAGCAAAGTCCCCCTCTTTTCGATGCAGATTAAAGACATCCTTGGCTTGTCAGCCCACCCGGAAGCGCTCAACTACACCTTCGAACTTAAGGAGTGCACCAGGACGTCGCAAGCGAACTCGTTCCGGTTCATCGCAGCGATGACCCCGCTTCCGTACGTCGCGCGTGAAGCTGGAAGAGTCATCTGATTGGCAAGTGCTGATGTCGATCAGGTCTTTGGGTCGCCCGCAAGTGAAGAAGCTGCATCCGTGAGTCGCCAAGTTCGTGCAAGGCAGTCTTGTACTAACACTTTCGCTGCAGGAAATCCGTCCTTCATGTTCTCGAGGCTACCTTTCCCTCCAGCGGAGGGGTGGAGGTTCGCGTGGTTCGCCGCTTAGGTTACGACGCTGAAGACACCCCTCGCATCCACATCGTGTCGGACGCGGTCGTCGCCTTCAGTGCGAAAAAGGTCGTCGCTCTCTGGAACTTCACCAACAACACTGCCGCCGCTTGGGAAGCCTTCGACTCGAACACAGTGATCGGGGTAAGAGCCCGTCCCCTCGCCCTCTGCGCGTACCCAAATACTCACACACCCCTCTGCTCCAGATGCACCTCACCCCCACCCACATCCTCACGATCACAGAGATGGGCGACCTGGCCATCAACCGGTGGCCGGCATTCGCGCCCTGCCCGCCCAACGCGCTCCCAACGTTCGTCGAGCCGAAGTGCGACTACTACCTCAGCATCTACCGCGGTGACATCTCCGCCACGTACGCCGCCCCGCGCCCCTGGTTCTACGAGCCGCACGCCTCGCCGACCTTTGACTCCTTCGGCGACGAGAGAATCTCGCGGTGGACGCTGGAGTGCATCGTGAGCAACTACGGCAAGAAGACGACGCTGCCGCCGATCATGCCCGCCGTGCACGGGGTGGTGAAGACCAAGGGCTTTAGTCTGGAAGGAGAGAACTTTGAAGGCCGCGTCTGCGCGACGTACTCGCCGAGTGTGGATGGGAGCCATGTCGTGCTGCCGTACGATCAGGGAGGGGTGATTGGGTATGCGGCGTATGCGTTCGAGGATACGGGGGACGATGCGGGGGCGAACAAGCCGCTGGCGTACGGTACACTTACTCCGGAGGACGGGACGGGCGCCGGGTCGCGGCTGAAGATGACGACCTCCGACAGCTTCTCGCTTTGTCCGGCCAGCGGGAGGCTATGTCGCATCGAGCCAGGAGGCAAGCATATCACGGTTCTCGATTACCTCAAACCGGCCCCGATTGTCCTGCCCGCTGGTACCGTGAGTGGCCTGCTGGTGTAGAGAGAAACCCGAATCTCATGATGGTTCACAGAAACCAGACGTTCCGACACTGCGACGGCTAATCAACCAAAGCACTTGATGCCGTATCATTGTCAAGTGTACTTCCAAGCCAATTTTATTTGCTCTATACATCGGTAGTGCCATGAGTGCCTCCTATTCTGTTGTACATTGTCTCCTTCAGGCATGAACCACACAATCCAGTAAGTAGCCTGTTCCTGTACGTGTATGTACACTCGAAACTCTTATACTCGCATAAGTAGTATCTCATAGCGATCTCAATGCATGCCCGGTCCGGGTACCCCCGTATATTCTCAACGACTTGGCTTGTCACGTCCATCTCCCGGCATGCATGTTGGCTGCCTGATTCGGGATGCTCATCGATCCATGGAACCGCATCTAGAATCCAAAGGGAACAAAGGAAGACAACCAAGCCGATGGTAAATAACGACAGACAAGCTTCGCCTTTGACGGCGGGCGTGCTGCAAGACCCTCCCTTGAACTACCTGCATTCAGTTCACCAGATTCATATTGACCTCGTAAGCCCTTGACAGCTCTGCCGTGGAGCACCCGAGACTTATGCACGTCCAGTTACTATGAGCTTTGCACCTGATCCTCCTTTCGACCGTGTATATCACAAATTGCTTGGTATATCGCGCCTTGCAGATGAAGTGACCGGCAAGCGCCCCTTCTCGCAAGGACGGAGTCACTCCAGTGCACTAGCTGAGCTAAAGAGGGCGCTAATCGATCGTGAAGATCCAGCATTTTCCATTCTCTCAGAGGAACCGCCATTTGAAGCGCTTCTCCACGACAGCGATTTCGTCGAGATGATCATGGGCTCGCTCAATATCTTCTCCCAAGTGTCCGAGGCTTCCACTCACATGGGAAATAGCAGCCTATCGCCACTCACACGCGCTCTCTGGCCACATATTGCTATCTGGGCGTCTGTCCTTCATCCTCGTCGAGGACGCCTTGATAGATACGGGCGGCTTGCATCGCATTGATACGCCTGTCGGCCGAAAAACGCGGAAAACATACATAAACAGGCGATTACCTAGTCGCATTAGTCTGGATTGTATGGGCGGATCCGTATATACTGCATCGACGTCGTGACTGTACAACAGGCGCGTCGAGGGTATTTTATGGCACAGAGACACAAGGAGATTACGCTTCCTAACCATCAATCGAACTGTTGTGCGGTCTTACCCACCTGCAACGACTGACCAGGGATAGCAGCGAGCTCTTCGGCGCCGGATCACGAGTCTGAGCGTCGTTGATGACATCCTGCGAGTCTTCTGGCTGGCCCTACTTAATCAAGTAGCTGCGCTCCTTGCGCCACAAGCCTTCAGTCGGTTTGCCTACCGCGTCAAGAACATACTTCATTGTTGGGGCTCGGACAGGTCTACTTGTCGCTCGCCGTCATGCGGAGACACGCAGAGCACCGCTCAAGCGGAACTCGAACCAGCAACGTGACTGCACGTGACTTCGGGTCCGAGACCGGAACTTCGGGTCCGAGCTCGTGATCTCGGACATTGCCGAGTTGAAGTCCGGACCAAGTGTCGGTGCCGCCAAATGCTGCGCACACCTCGGCAAGGACATCGTTCACCGCGTTTCAACCGTCTAGACTGCGTCCTCTTCACCGGACAGGCCTCTGAGCCTGCGTCGAGTCAGAGGAGACCGGTGGAACCCAAGCAGGCACTGCCCTTGGTAAACATCAAACCGTGTGGAGATTGCGCCCAGCCAAGCTGCGCAGGAGGATACCCAACCAGTCAGCCGCTCTACCGCCAGGAACCGGAGTATTTGCGCGATTATTTGGACAGGAGAACGCGTGGAAAGGCGCTATTGTTGGATTTTGACTCAGAGATAGGGTTTGTGTGTTACCGCTCGGTCTAGACGGCCGAGACGACGCATTTCCGTTATATACCGAGCCCTACATACGATTCAGGGAGCCCGGAGGTCGCCCCCAAGCGTCCCCTTTGCTGCCTCTGGCAGGGGTTCCACAACCTACCACCTACTATACCCCAATAAATCCCTCATGCTGCCAGCATGTTGTACATCATAAAACTCGGACTTCTGAGCGCCTGATAAGCCTGTGAAGATTCCAACTGAAACCTGGGAATGATTGTGTCAATTCTGAGGTGCCTCTTGCACGCTTGAAGTCTCGCATCAGTCCAGCTCGTCTGTGAGCCGCCAATAAGGCGCAGGGTATCCCCTAGCAATACAAATCAAGCGGACTCGCTCGCTCCTCGGACGAAGCTATGAAGCTAGACGCGCGTTGCTGTCGTGGTTGTTGGTGTTGGGTGGTGTGGTTCGTCTAAGCAGACTGTACCGTGCGTCTTTCGAGGAGCATACGGATCCCATCATCTGGAGCCCACCGCGAGGGGATAGATCTGCGTTAGTACTGCGATCAGACGAGCGCTGGCTGTACAGACTATCAGGTGTCATTGAGACCTCAAATTCTACTCGCTAGTACCGGGTACCGTAACTACTGCTCCTGGACCGAAAATCCAGTCTGCACCTCATGGACCTGAAAGAGAGACCGCTCTATCGAAGCGCTCCACGCGGAAGGCCAGAGAGCGAGCTTGTAGTGCGGAACGGGCTAGTCGCCCAGCGCGATTAGCTCCTACCAACAAATCTGTTTCTTAACAGCTGGTAGAACCATCCGGAGTGGATAACGCGCCGCTAGGCGCTTCCTGCGAGGATGCAGAACCGAACCCACTTTCTCCTGCCTCTGTCTCTTGTCTCTCTCTCGTCTCCGACTCAGTTCCGGCCCCCAACAACACAATTTGTCACCTCTCGATATTGTTCCCGTGCTCCCGATTCCGACTCCGACTCTCCCGTATCATTTCCGACTTCCGACTCTCGGCCCCGGCTTCGTCGACTCCCAGGCCGCTTCCGACCCGCTTTCAGTTCCGTCCCGTGTTCCCCGTCGACGCCGACTTCGGCTTCGATTTTTCCGACCCGATTCTCCTTCCCCGACTTCAACTTCAATTTTCCTCAACACGGCGACTCCTTGTTGGCCACTCACGCTGAGCGCGACGTCTGCGCGTCCCCGAGCGCGGCAGGCAGGGACGCTTGCCTGTCCTTCGTCACCTCGCCGCCTTCCGGCGGGACCAGCACGGTTTTTGCCATATCTATCTGCGCGGAGGCGCCGCTTCATGCCCAAGCCCCTCCTAAGGGACCTCTGGTCGCGTGTTGCGAACCTCTGTGCCTACCACCCTCGGGCGGAATTTGTGGCAGTCGCTTTTGCGCCGCTTCCCTGAAATATTGGGCAGTTAGTCGGGCATCTCCGGCACTCCACGAATTTTTGCTTCGAAAAATAACTATCGGGCTGAGCAGAGGAGGGAAACTCCTTTCTTCGCGACGCTTCCCGCTTGTACGCCTTGGCTGTTAGCAGCCGGCACGAGCTTCTGAGCTTTAAGCTCTGCTTTACCTGGTCTGGGTTCGCTTTTGTGAGCAACCCGCCAGTCGAACCACGGCTCTCGGCATCGAGGTGATTCACCCGAACGATCCAGACCAGGAGAGCAATGTACCGCCCGTGTATCTCTCGGACATGTCTATCATGTAGCAGAGATGCCGCGGGAGGCACATAAATCACTATCTATGCGCGAATTTTTGTTCCGGCCTCGCGGCCACCTGAATCGCCATTGACAGCACTTAAATTGTCTTGGGAATATTGCCTCGGGCCTGTACCTACTGAGCCTGACTCGGTTTGGGAAATCCAGAGCGCCGGTCTCTTGACTTAGCCAACGCGCTTTGCGCAAATCAACTTTTCCGCTGAGGCGATTGTTAGATCTGGATCGTCCGTTCGGACCCGGTCGCATGCATTGCCAATGCAATTCTTGGTCATGAATGGCCAATATACGCGCTCTTGACGCAAGGGAACTGGCTATTTATTGCCAATGGTACCAACCATCAGAGCGCACCCCAACCCGGCCTCAGTTCATGCATTACCATCGCTAGAACTCTTGGTCCGGACAAGCTGGTCGTCTCACAGATGAGCGGCTTAACAGTTCGCCTTTGTGCATCCAAGAGGCGGCTTCCAACTCGGAAATATTCATGACCCTTGCGCTCGTGAATTAAGCGAGTTCACTTCTTAATTCAGCTGGTCTGACTCCTGCATGGCTCGGGTGATCTCTGCTATCAGCTGCCGGCCGTTGCCTTGTCAAAAATTAAATCAGTCGCGGCCTACAGCCCTTGAGCTTGCCGGGTCGAACTGGTACTCGGTGGGACCTTCGAGAAGACGAGAACGTTGCAGGCGCGCCTCGAGAAGTACCGCAAACTGGCAAGGGATTGAGTGTTCTCATAACACTTCCCTTCGCAAATACCAAGCGATCTCGTGCTGATTGCACCTGAAAGGGTAGCCTCACGCAAAAGATCACGGACTTGCGGCCAGATTCCGTGCTGCTGGTCAACTGAACACAAAGTGTATCGCATCTGGAAGACGTGACCTCGGGTCCGAGACCGGAACCTCGGGTCCGAGCCTGACACTTCGGGTCCGAGGTTGTAATCTCGGACGCCGCCGAGTTGAACTCCAACCCGAGCATCAGCGCTGTCCGCCTCGTCAAAGGCCCCACTTCCTGCGTATATCCATTATTAACAGTTGCTGCCATCTTGCGCGACTTATCACCCCGAGCATAGCTCGTCGGTCCAGATCAGACGGAGAAGGCTGCGGACCCCCAGTTCCAGTGACCTTCGAAGTCAGACGGGGCCCACCCAACAATTCCCCACCTGACAATCAGTGTTGAGAAACCATTGACAAGGGCTGGAATTCTTCACCTATCGCCTAGAGCGAGATTTCGAAAGTCGATCTCCTTGTAGGCGCTTGCAACTAGCACAAATCGCTCTCTTCAAAATCTGAAGGGGAAAGCCTTAACTTGTGCACTGAATCCAGCGCTCCGAGCTTGCTTCTTGTGAGTTCAGCAAGCGCTCGGGGAAAGCGAAGCTTTGCTCGTCTACCTCACTCAATAACCACCTTGAGGACGAGGAAACTCCAGCGAATTTTCGCATGATTACTCGTCTTTTGAGCGCCCTAATTCAGTGATTATTGTGACACCCGCATGTCTATCGCAACAAATCTGATGGGTACACCTCTGTTGCGACGATCCAGACGCCGCTATTATACGCCTTAGCGTCACCTCGGTCTGAACCAGGCATATCCACGAGATCTTAGAAATGGGCCACTTTACCCGTCTTTGAGTATTTCAGCAACTACCCGCTCTCCTTGAGCGCCGCGCGACCAAACAGCAGGACTGATGGAATCAGGCCCTGAGCCGACGCATCTGCCCACGCTTAAGCGCGAATTTTACTGAGTCAATTCCCCCGGAATTGACTCACAAATCACCCATTCGAGCGATTGAACCGCTTCCACCCATAGGCAAAAGATCATGGTGTGGGGGACTGGAACATTGACCTCAGGATGTCCGAGTTTGGCATTAGCTAGCTCACAAGCAACCAAAACGGCAGAGGGGTCCACTGGCCCGCTGTCTATGCAATTTCGCCTCAGTCACCTTACACCCGGCGAGGGTGCCGATTTCTTGGTGTGGGGGAGATAGACGAACATACAGGCTGCTTTGGCCAAATTTTTGCGCCGCTTTTGCGAGCAAAATCGCCTCTAGGCGTCCACAGCAAGTTGAACTCGGCAACGGCCGATGATCACGTGCTTATCATGCGCACGGGTTGAAGTTGACCTTCAAGTCACTTCTCTGTGTGTGCATCCGCTCCCACCCACCTCAGAGTTTTTCTAAGACGTCTTCTGGCACTCCGAGCTGCCGAAGGAAGTGTCTGAACAGGCTGAACTGCATGAAATATTGTAGTAAAAAAGTCAAAAGCAAACATACAACCTGGAACAAGTACAGGCCATGCCAAAGCGCTGTTCCACGTTGCACATATTGTGCCAGAGCGTGTCCCCCACCTCTGAATCAGTTCGCTGGATTGATCTGTGCAGCCGTCTTGCACATTGACCCGCACATCATACCACCCGTATGGTAGATGCCCCACCAAAAGCGACCCGATTCACACCTCAAAAGACTGTGGCAACAGTCGACTGGATGTCGCGAGACAATCTAGTAACAACACCGAGTTGTCTACCCACTACAGAGAGGACCGAGGACGGTCCATATCTTGGTGTGGGGGAGATGATACGCCTGTCGGCCGAAAAACGCGGAAAACATACATAAACAGGCGATTACCTAGTCGCATTAGTCTGGATTGTATGGGCGGATCCGTATATACTGCATCGACGTCGTGACTGTACAACAGGCGCGTCGAGGGTATTTTATGGCACAGAGACACAAGGAGATTACGCTTCCTAACCATCAATCGAACTGTTGTGCGGTCTTACCCACCTGCAACGACTGACCAGGGATAGCAGCGAGCTCTTCGGCGCCGGATCACGAGTCTGAGCGTCGTTGATGACATCCTGCGAGTCTTCTGGCTGGCCCTACTTAATCAAGTAGCTGCGCTCCTTGCGCCACAAGCCTTCAGTCGGTTTGCCTACCGCGTCAAGAACATACTTCATTGTTGGGGCTCGGACAGGTCTACTTGTCGCTCGCCGTCATGCGGAGACACGCAGAGCACCGCTCAAGCGGAACTCGAACCAGCAACGTGACTGCACGTGACTTCGGGTCCGAGACCGGAACTTCGGGTCCGAGCTCGTGATCTCGGACATTGCCGAGTTGAAGTCCGGACCAAGTGTCGGTGCCGCCAAATGCTGCGCACACCTCGGCAAGGACATCGTTCACCGCGTTTCAACCGTCTAGACTGCGTCCTCTTCACCGGACAGGCCTCTGAGCCTGCGTCGAGTCAGAGGAGACCGGTGGAACCCAAGCAGGCACTGCCCTTGGTAAACATCAAACCGTGTGGAGATTGCGCCCAGCCAAGCTGCGCAGGAGGATACCCAACCAGTCAGCCGCTCTACCGCCAGGAACCGGAGTATTTGCGCGATTATTTGGACAGGAGAACGCGTGGAAAGGCGCTATTGTTGGATTTTGACTCAGAGATAGGGTTTGTGTGTTACCGCTCGGTCTAGACGGCCGAGACGACGCATTTCCGTTATATACCGAGCCCTACATACGATTCAGGGAGCCCGGAGGTCGCCCCCAAGCGTCCCCTTTGCTGCCTCTGGCAGGGGTTCCACAACCTACCACCTACTATACCCCAATAAATCCCTCATGCTGCCAGCATGTTGTACATCATAAAACTCGGACTTCTGAGCGCCTGATAAGCCTGTGAAGATTCCAACTGAAACCTGGGAATGCTTGTGTGAATTCTGAGGTGCCTCTTGCACGCTTGAAGTCTCACATCAGTCCAGCTCGTCTGTAAGCCGCCAATAAGGCGCAGGGTATCCCCTAGCAATACAAATCAAGCGGACTCGCTCGCTCCTCGGACGAAGCTATGAAGCTAGACGCGCGTTGCTGTTGTGGTTGTTGGTGTTGGGTGGTGTGGTTCGTCTAAGCAGACTGTACCGTGCGTCTTTCGAGGAGCATACGGATCCCATCAGCATGTCAGCATCGCTCGTGACGTTGCCGTGGTGGCGAATGCGTACTTGGCGATTACTGCGAGCGACCGCCCTCTTGTACGGCAATTCTTTCACTCGTGCCCCGATGCCGTGCTCCAGATATGCGAGCTTTGGCTGTCCTATCCACAGCTGATCTCCCCGAGAGGCCTCGATTCATCGTCTGCCGCCGACTCTGCGCGATGCCTGATCAATCTGATGACCAAAGTGTTCGACATCCTTGTGCATCCTTCGCACAATCCTACTGGCGCAGACGAAGACCTCTTTATCCGCATCCTTCGCTGTGCTGCAGGCGACAGTCGTTTCTTCTTGTACGCAGCCATGCACCAAACGGATTTCCTTCGTTCGCTGTCCATGGCGCAGCCCCTCATCGCGACTACGTGGACGGCACACTTCAGCCTGATTTACTGCATCCTCGGCCTGGAAAAGTTTAACCGGTCCAGAATTCCCAAGGGAGTCATCGAGAACGTCGTGGCTACAGCACTTTATTGCCTCGAGTCCCCCGATACGCGGTTTGAGGCCGTCCACGCTGTGCACGTCATCTCCCTCCTCTGCGGAATGTCCAACAGCAGCAGCGCGATGGTCCGCGCTATCGATGCTGGCATATTCGAAGTCATGCGCACCATCACTTCCGACCCGCTCTACATCGTCGGCGGCATCTGTCACTTCCTATGCGCTGGGCTGCTCCGGGTTCGCGTCGTGCGTGCGTTCTGCCGCCGCTATCGACAGCCCATCGACCCCGGCTCGCTACCGGAGATAGCAGGGCAGCAGGCTGAGTTAGGCTCGTGTCGGGACGTCGCACGGATGGCCAATGCCGCCCGGGAGCTATACATGACGCGCTATCACAACGGGGAGTGGAAGCGGAAACTCCAGTGCGGGAACGCCATGGTACGTCGCCGAGATCTTGGTCGTCGCTCGTTTTAACTATGAATAGGGCCCGCACGACCGAGGCGTCCGCGCTTGTCCCTGCGCAAGAGAATTCTACTGCTCCGGCAGCTGCCAGCGCATGGATGAGATGGCGCACCAGGTCTTCTGCACCGAGAAAGATGGTCCCTGGGCCCTGCGAGGTGCGTATTCCGGCTACGGCAGCGCGACTGGTACTCACCCGGTTCAATCATCAGGCGCAGTGTCCCTCGCGGACGCAATGTACATCTGCGCCGCCGTCATCGAACATATGCAGGCGAATCACAAAGCCATCGCGAGGTCGGTCCGCACACTGCTCGTCAAGCTCCAGGAATCGCGCCTGCAGAAGCAGATCGTCGTGCGTCTCGACCTCGCCCGCGTTCTACCCAGCGTGCGGCATGATGTTTACGCGCGCACGACGTCAATGTCTGCGAGCAGCACATTCACGGTATCCGAGACGGTCCTCGTTGAGGTCTCCTTGCGTGTAGGGCGGTCGACGAAGAAGCGATCCCTCCCGTTCACATATAGCATCAAAGAGTTCATTGCATCTACATTCTAAGCAGTAACGTATGCGCAGAGGGTATACTCGTACATACATACGAATTGTCTAAATCATCCAATAAGTCCCAGTCCACCGACGCGCTCCATTGTGTCCCTCAACGCCTGTCCTTGTCGACGCCCCAAGGTACGACCATTCCCGAAGGGCCCTATGCCCCCTTCGCAGCTGCGACCGGCGCGGTCAAGTCGCGCAAGAGTCCCGTTGACGGGATTATGTACGCCGCCGTCGCCGCCAGTGCAACGAGGAAGAGAGGTCGTAGCGATTTGTCGATCGCGCCAGGCGCCCAGCAGCGCACTTCCGTCCAAAGAAGCGGAAGGAAGACAATGCATGCGGTGCGGAGCTATGAGCACGTCAGCTTCGGTACACATATGAGGGCGATGACAGAAGGGGCCCAGAGAACAGGGCGAATGCACAAATGGACAACAACTTACCACCGAGATCCCCTTCACAACGTTCCCAAGTGCAGAGCGCGTCTTCCCCGTTTTCGCGTCTGGCGTGGTCCACATGATGTGAATGGCGTAGAATGCGACGGCAAAGAAGTGTTGCATGAGGAGGAGGGGCGAGGGGATGAGGCTAACGGCGGCGAGTTAGTTAGAATTCCTGAATAGGGAAAGCACGAGACGAAGCGTACCCGCTGAGTATGCCTACAGGCTCCGAGACGCACTTGCCGCCGCGCTGAAAGTAGCGCATACATCCTGTACGCAAAATGTCGAGGTTTTCATCTGCCAAGTAAAATTGGCGACATTAGCTGATGGAAAGAGGGCGCGAGCACAGGCACTCGCCTTCGGCGCCGAAGAGGTCATAGAGTGCGACGCTCAGGATGTTGACCGTGCTGGAGAGCGGCTTGCGATGCCAATACCACGTCCGGAGGACGTCATTGATCTTCGACCATTCTCCGAACGGCTCGGGTTCTGCGCGAGGACGTGAGTACACGAGCGGCGATGGATGCAATAAGTACCTACGTTTTGGGGCAGCGAGATCGCCAAGAAGGCGCATCAGAATCGCCGCGTCGTGCAGCCCAACCGTCATCCCTCCTCCAGTTAGCGGATGCCGCATGTTATACGCGTCGCCGACGAGGATGACCCCGCGCTTGCGGGCCGTGCTTGGAGCAGGCTTGCCGTCCTTCGTTGCCGGTGCAGGTTGCGCAATCGACGAAGAGAGGGTGAAAAGAGAGATGAAGGGCCAGAGAATCGTGTAAAGGATGTAGAGGGGGAGAGTGAGGTGGCTCGGGCTGAATGTGTGCTGAGGGGCGGGCGGGAGGAAAGAGTTCGGCATACGGCGAAGGCGGGCGCCGGGGTCGTTGAGCGCGTCAAGGATGCTGCCACGCAGGGTCTCGGGGAGCTGGGGAACGAGCTGCGAGGCGATGTGATCCTGCGCGACAGGTAAGTAGTGGTCGTATCATAGGGGAATGCGACGCACCTTCAAGTCATCTGGGAAGGGGTTGCGCACGTCCACGAGCATGCGAGTGCCAGGCGCGTCCTCCCCACGCCCTGCAGTGTCAATTTGGTACATGAGGATGGGACCGTGTCCCTGAACAAGGGCGACGGTGCCGTGTTGCTTGTAGGGAAGGTTCAAGCCGCGAACGACGAGCCCTACGAAGTGCGAGCGCACGGTGGGCTTGAGGGAACGTTCCTCGCCGAGAACGGTGTTGCGGAAGTTCGAGAAGCAGCCGTCGCAGATGACGGTAAGGGGAGCACGATAGACCACCTTCTCAACGCCTCCGTCCTCCGTCTTCCGCGTCGCGCGCACGCCGAGGACGACATCCGGCGCGTCGTCTTCCGTAATGAGCTCCGAGACCGTCGCCTCAAGCATGTCGATGCCGCCCGCGCGTAATTGTCCCCTGTTCCGCTGCGCGACCTTCGCTCTCAGCGCATTGATGAAGCGCCCGTGGTGGAAGCACGCGCCGATCTTCCCGTCTTGGTACGGGACCTGCACCTGCGTCCCCTCCTTCGTGTCCATGACGCAGTACCCGTACGTTGGCGAGGAGTCGATGCCGTCCAGCGCGTCCTTCATCCCGAGCTCCTCAAGCGCGCGGACACCGCCGGGTTGCAGGAGCTCCCCTACGATGCGGTCCGGCTCGGCGAGGGAGCGCTCAAGCAGGCATATGCGAAGGTGAGGCTGAGAGGAGGACAGACCGTAAGCGAGAGCGCTGCCGACAACGCCAGCGCCGACGATGATGAGGTCGTAGGAGGCGTCGGCCATGGTGGGGGGAAGGGGAACGCGAGGCGGAGGCGGACAGGGGCAAACGCGGGGTCGAACCATTCGATCGAGGCGCGCGATCGCCTCCACACGTGGCGATTGGTCCGTCATGGACCCACAGCGTAACATGTTCTTGTCTCTCGCACTCATGACCTTGATAAGCCCACTACCTACAGAGGCTTGAGTCCCTTGCTGAGCGAACCTGCAACTCTGGACTACAACGCTCTCGTCTTGTTGTATCTCTTCGCCCTAATAACAATCGACGAGTTGGATCCTCTACTCATTCCGCAGACGTCGCATAGCATAGCTTGAGGTCCCACTGTAAATTCCACGGAAGCTCTCACGACTATGGTCACCGTTGTAAGCAAATCTTCATAGGTATGCAGCGTGTGCAATCCGGCAATGGACGGGTCTCCTGAGAAAGGGAAAGCACTGTCGGAAAGTCAGTAGGCTCAGCGCGCTTGCCGTATTCCTCTGAGCAAAAATCTGCTTCCAATTCCACAGTAGCGTATTACCCGTCGGGAGGGACAATAAATCGGACGCTTTAGATGGCGAAGAGACCGGAAAGTAAGCCCTTTGACGGAGAGATTGCACACAGAAGAGTGGCACGCGGAGGTCGAGAGCAGGGGACCAGGCAGTGGACGGCACTCGATCATGTCACGTACTTACCCGCAGGAAGGCCAAAGCACTGAATGGAGGCTGTAGATATCAAAGTGCTGGTGACAGACAGGTATTGCAGGGCTCCTTCGGATGGGGCCGCAATTGTTGCCAGGTTGCAATGATGGGAAAACACCGCTGAGCAGCGCATTATGAGCGAACCTCTTGCTTGCATTCAAAAAATTAGGAGAGAAGCACAAGTTATCCCAGAGCATGATAGTATGAAATAGATAACCTGCGTGCGTCACGATACGGCCGTAGGGTCTAGTCTAAAGCAGAGTCTGGCATTTGGATTTGTCGCACGAGATGAGGCTCAAGCGTCGCTAGAGAGCTTCCGAAAGAGGACTGAGAGGGTGAGAAGAACGCTTCGTGAATTTTTGTGATGTCTAGACAGAAAGAAATGCAGTCTGGCGAAAGAGCGAAGAAGGCGGCGACGCGAGGGCTTGCGAAGTAGGCCCAATGGATAGAGGTCCACAGTGGGAAGCAAAGAAGCGCAATAAAGTTCTCCGATCCTCACGTTGACGCAGAAATCGAGAGAAAGTGGTGGTGGTGGTATAGCGGAGCCATCCAGTTCGCCGTGCGAACAGACATCACGCTCTGCGCGCAGCGCTCGATGCTCGAAGCCGTCGACGTCGCGTCATTGCCGAGTCAAGAGTGCGATGACGAAGAACATAGATGAAGATAGCTGCGAGTACTTAGATGTCGTGGCAGAGTAGGGTCGGAAAAAAGGACGCTCCAGCGGGGCTTGAATCGGTTTCGCGGTATAGAAAAAAGATAGCGGCACCAGAGCGCAAAATTAAGGGCCTGCGTAGACGGACAACGGTCGGATCGTCGTCAATCCTTTTTTGTGAGTATATTGACGGGCGGAAGTACCCGCGCATGGTCGCGAGAGCGTGGCCGTGAACCTAAACTTGTCGTGAGTCGCTCAAGTGTAATTTAGCGGGATGATCGGGATTACAGGATCATTGCCAGAGAGAGGAATCATTGACCTTTCAAAGAGGGTCGCAAACAGGCTACCGGACGACCCTCCAACGCCCATCAGGGTAGGAGGAGAGGCCGGCCACTGACCGTTCGGCGCTACAGTAATGGCCGAGACGCGATTGTCTAAGCGCCGGACGCCACAAAATGAGATTAGTCATCATTACGCTGACTGCCATCGCGCCGGCGTGCACCTTCAACTTGGCGTACACTGCGGTCAGTCAGCTTCACGTCTTGACGATATCTCTCATCCTCACGACCGCCTTTACGACGAACTCAACTTCAGACCCGCTATCTTGTTATCAAATCGGCGTCTTCACGATCTGTTCCAGACAAGACCATCTCCAGGAAGCGTCAGGCCCTGGCACGGGACGTTCACCAACCTACGATTATCAACGAACACCAGCTAAGAAGGCATAGAGGCACCTCTGGCAGCAGAACACGATGAGGGAGTCCAACTTCTGCTTCCCAGCGCAGAACAAGGCGAGCGTGTGCATCTCGAGCCAGCTCTATGACCGCAGAGGTGCGCCGCCTGCTCCACGCCCAGGATATGCTCGCTGACCCCAATGATTGACGCCCAGCGCTCGACACATCCTCGCCCTTGCCCCTCTTCAACTCCCTCACACATCTTACCTACCTCACGTCCACATCGCCCCGCATCCGGGAGATCATGACGATGGACGGCGGTCTCGAGCGGCTCGTCAAAATACTGCACGACTTCTGCCTCGCACCACCGCCACCGGAGAACCCTGCGCTCTTCTACGGTCTCATGCCTGCGCCGCCGCCCTCCAAGGCTAAGGGACGCGCCTCGCCCGAGCGCGAGTACGTCCTGAACCCCGCGACGTTTGACAAGCATGCCGCGTTTCGATTCAGCCTCGCCTTCCAGTGCCTCGTCAACATCGGTGTCCGGGGGAGCGAGAATATACGGTCTCGCGTCGTCCAAGCGGGCACCCTCGACGTTGTCGGCTGCATCCTCGAGGCTTGGCTCGTCAACCGTGGCTTCGGACTGGTCGGGCCGCCTGCCGGAATACCTAGCCGGACGAGCAGTAGCCGCGGGACAGGCGGTAGTCGCGCGGTAGGCGCGAGCTCCCGCGCTCCAGGTGGCCCGGCAAGGGCAGGCGCGTCGACATCTGGTGCTAACAATACGAATTCGAACCCCAGCGCCCCAGCGCAACTTGTCCTTCAGCCCAATGTTCCGCCCAGTCGCCCTCGCGCTGTCATTCCACCTCCGTTCACTCGGCAGAACGCGAGCTGGCTGAACAACGAACAAGACGCGCCGCAAGCAACACCCGCACCCGCGCCATCTACTCCGACTGCACCGTCTGCGCCCTTCTATCGCGATCGAAGCCAGACCATAGTAGCGCGCCCGCGGATGCCAGAGACGCGCGATTCGTCGCCTGAACAGCCGAATAGGAGGCAGCAACCCGAACAGTCGGCACGTAGGCAACAGCCGGCAGATGGGCGTCCGCTATCCGCAGATGCACGCGCCGCCGTGACAGGCGTGGCTGCGGCTTCGGCTGAGATGACGCACCAGCGTCGTTCGGCATCCGAGGCGCAGCGACGGCCTACGCTCGACCGTGCGGGGACATCGAACTCGACTACGTCTTTCTCCAGTGAGTGATCGCTTCCAGCCAGTTGAGCGAATCAGTTGATCTAACCATGTACACTGTAGCCGATAATACCTCCCCAGCATCATCCAGACCTCAATCACCACACCAACAATCACCTTCATCCTCTCGTCCCGAAACGGAGACCGAGGACGACGAGGAGCCTGTCCTAAATCGTGCGACGGCTTTAGGAAGCGTGTCGCGCGGAACGGTGCCCCGTGGTCGTGAGGAGCCATCCCTTATGAGCGCGATGGCCCGCAGTCGCACCGTGACGAGGCCGGAGCGGCTTGCGCAGGAAGGCATGGCGGAGACACTGAACGATTTGGGGCTTGAAGGTGCGTTCCATGCATGGCTACGTCTCGACCGCGCTGACAATTCCCTCTAGGCAATCAACTCGGTTTGGAACGTCCCCTCAACGACGAACAGCTAAACACCCTCGCTATTGGCGACGCAGACCCTGCTCACCAGATCGGACTCGCTGACCCGCATATTGGAGGCGAGCCCGGGATAGCTGGTGGTCATCAGCTGGGGCATCTGCGGATCGGCTTGTCTGATGACCTTGAGGGTGCTATGTTGAATGACGACTTTGCGATGGGTGCGCCGCCTGGCGCTCCTGGCGCGCTGGTAACTCGTCCCGGGCGGCTGCCGCCTGGTGGCGGTCCGATGAGTACCGATGTGAGCGGAAGTGAGGATGAAGGTGTGTCCGAACGGTTCTCTTCTTGGACTGGTGCTGACTGCGACGTAGGTCCCTCGATGCGTCACTCGCCGCCTCTGCATCTCCTGCCCCCTCAACAACAGCAAGCGTCGACGTCTCGGGCTATGCTGCAGCAGATCGAGGCTACGCCTCGTGCTGGCTCGGTCCCTTTGCCCGACGACGAGTTTGTCTCCAGGCCGGGGAACCGTAGCAGCTTCGCTGGTGCGGGCAGCTTCTCGGGCGCCAACTTTGGCTTCGGGAACGCCAATCTCGCGGCCTCCTTTGGTCCCGCATCCGCCGGCGGCTTTCAGTCCGCGTCGAATTCCGCGAACGCGAACCTCGGCAGGCAAGGCGAGGCGGCCGGCCCGTCGACGGTGGACAACCATACGGCTATGCCAGCTCTGCGTCCGGGTTCTGTGAGCTACTCTGCGGGTCCTTCGTCGACCTACGCGGAGCCAGCGAGCAGCGAGGCCGGCACCTTGGACGAGGACGTCGAGATGGAATCTCCAGTGCGACCCACCGCCCCACTGCCCGTTTCGCGCGAAGTCAGCGTACCGGTGATCGCACAGCCTCGCCCAACGCGCGCCACGGCTGCGCAGGCAGCGCCGCAGACCCCTCAGGCGCCTCAGGTGTCGCAAGGCGCAAGCGCTTCACCGCAGCAAACAGCGCAAGGAAGCCCAACGCAGCCACCTCCGCCGAATCCGTCGCCTTACACGGACTCGGACGTACTGGTGAGTATCTGATCAGATTATAGTCAGGCGAGGCATATGGCTGACTCGATAGTAGCTCGCGCTGCAGTTGTTGGCGTATCTGAGCAAGTATCCGCATGTCAGGCAAGCCTTTTACAAGGTTCGCGAGGGCTTCCACCCTGGTAAGCAGACGTGTAATCAAGCTTACACGCTTGCTGAGTTTGGTCTAGCATCCGCGACGTACGTCGCCCAGCAGCAGGCGCAGCAGCTCAACGTTACGCTGTCTGGGCAACCTATCGCCAGCGCAGCCAGCGGCGGCTCATCGAAGGGCAAGAGCAAAGGCAAGGCTGCTGATGCTATGTCATCCTTCATAAATGGCTCGTCCTCAGGTTCGTTTATGCATCCTTCTTAGAGTGTTCGTACTCATGTCTTGTTCTAGGAAAAGCTTCGTCATCGAAGGCTTCGGGCTCGACGGCCACTTCGTCGACAACACGGATTCGGCAGACGAACGTCTTTGCGCTCGTCGAGCGGTTCACCTGGCGGCCGAGCTCATCGCAGATAGCCGCAGCTGCTGCCGCGGCTGCTGCTAATGCTGAAGGTGCGCTGTTTGTCGACGTCTCAAATGTATCTAACTCTTAACAGCTTCGACATCCGCACCCGGCGCAAGTACGTCTGGGGCATCCGCTACGAGTCAGCCGGGTAGTACAACTGGCACTACCGCGGGGGCGACGGCGACACCACCCCCAAGACGATATGTACCGCCTACGCCTCAACTTCCGCCTGAGATCCAGTACTGGGCCGGCGTCATCATGCGCAATGCGTGCAGGAAGGACGACAGCAGAGGCGGTATCCGTCAGTGCGCAAACAGTACGTCGTTCGTTGCACTTCTCTCTTCCTTGCCACTGACGTTTTCCCTAGTGCTTTGCGGCAAATGGGAATCATACCCCCGCGAATTCGCCAAGTGCAGACGCTGCCGCAAGGCGAAGTACTGCGGGAAGGAATGTCAGAGTACGGCATGGAGCGAGGGGCATCGTTTCTGGTGCTCCGCGAAAGAGGGAGATGACGAGCGGGCAGAACGTCGGGCGAGTGAAGCGCAGGTACGGAGCCCGCCCGTCACGTTGGACTCGGCCTGATGCGTGGATCCGAGCAGGCGGCGGACGGGGATGCAGACACCAGCACGGGCACCGTGCGTCGGCACCATCGACACCGCGACCGCGAGCGTGAGCGCGAGCGCGAGAGGGACCGGTCGGCGATCGCTACGCTGACCGGCTTGGGATTCTTGGCAGGGGGTGCAGGAGCGGGAACGGCAGCGGCGGCTGGTGCGGGAGGCGCAACGGGGGGCACGGCGCGGACGGCGACGCGGAATCGACCTGGCATCTTCACCCGTGCGGGATTGCCTTCGTTCGGGCAAGCGCAGGCCGCGCAGCAGGATCGGACGCCGATGGAGCCGCTGGGACCGACGCAGGTACCATACGTGGTGTACCAGTCCGCGGCGGCAAGGCAGGCGGCGGAGCGCCAGGCGCAGGCCGAACGCCAGCAGCGTCGGGCGGCCGCGCACGGTCAGCAGGCGCCGGCTGGAGAGCATAACGACCAGCAGCGGCGGGAGAACGAGGCGCTGCTCGTGCAGTACGGCGTGTCCGAGGAGCGCGTGCGCGGGATGGGCGCGGAGGAGGTCGCTGAGGTAGCCGGGCGCCTGAGAAGGGAGGCGGAGTGGGGTGGCGGGGATGGGGAGGATGTGAATATGGGGTGAGAGTACGCGATTAGAACATGGACTACAGTCGTAGTGTGTATTTATCGACCAAGGCCGTGTTTCCATCCGGCCGTAGTTGCGCATTCAGTCATACCTTGCTGTTCTTCGTCTTGAGTGATCTGTCGACTGAGATCCTGGTGACAATGTTGTGCCGCCGCTGGCAAAGTCATGGACGGACGTCTTGCATGCACCTCGCTGCCTCGACATGCAACGTTCAGAGCATCCACGAGCGAGGTCGCGCGCCACAATGGCCTTGAGCGAGGTCATCAGGCAGATCACTCGCAGGTCAAAATTGAGGCAGAGTTCGTCAGCGTATGAAAAGCACGTAAGGTGAGAAACTCTAGGATACGTGAAGTACGCAAGTCCGTCGTGGGGCTACGCGGTCTACGTCGTGAGCCTGGCGTAAGTACGGTGCGTCTGCTGAAGGGAAACCAGCATGCGTCCCGTACACGCGTACAAGTACCGGGACTCGTACGAAAGTCTAGAGCGACGCCGAGCGGGTGCACGCACTGCTGAGCAGGTATGCACACCGCCAGACGACGCAAGATAAGTACAGACGCCGCCGAGTACAGTCTAGGGCGAACGTAGACGAGAAGAGCAAGGTCTATATGGGCGTAGTCGACGACACGGGTCTAGGTGTTGTCCGGGGGATAGGTAGGTAAGTATGTAATGGCAACAGTTCGGAACGGAGGATAAATAGGACGACAGCGGTAGGATGTGGTGTTAGAAGAGGGATAGGATACGATTTGCGGGGGATAGACGTGAGGGGAGCACGTTAGTCGTGGGGGACGTGGGGGATACACGTTGGGCGTAGGGGACCACGTTTGTCGGGAGGGACTAGTCATGTCGTGGATAAGACCAGTCATGATAGCGTTATCCGAGCTGATGGGGGATGTCAGCGAAGCTAGAAGCGTCGAGATAAGCTGCATACGCACTGTCTGTCAGACTACGCGGCATAGGCACGCGCAGACGGCTCGGAGCGCTTGCGCAGGGCGCGCGCGGAAGGCTCGTTGCGCTTCACTGCGCGCGCCGAGGGCTCAGCGCGCTTCAAGGGTGCAGACGGCTCGCTACGCGCCACAGGCGTCGCCACTGCGGGATCATGTCAGAACGTCGTCGATCACACAGGAATACGCGACGCACCAAAACGCGGCTTCAGTGGAGGGAGCCCGCGTGCCAAACGCTGCCCGTTGGTCTCGGGGAGCGGGGCGGCGCCAGTGGCGGACGCGAAGGCGAGCGCGGCGATGGCGAAGACGGCGGAGAGCTTCATCGTTCCTGGGCGGCTGCGAAGGACAGGCGGCGCGGGCAAGGAGGATGGGCGGCCGGAGCGCTGGGGTGCAGACTGGGGGAGGGGAACTGCGCGAAAGAAAAACGATCGCCGCCCGCGGGGCGCCCTTTTATAGCGCCGGCGCGTGAAGGTGATTCGGTATCAACACGTGGAGGCGGTGTTTGTTCTCGGTTTGGTGCGATCACCGACGCCGCCCGCCATCAATTATCGTGTGCTTCTTGCCTCCGTCGTCTCGTACGATGCCATCGGGCGTCGTTTGATAGCAAGGAAGGCGACTCTTCTGACTCGATATGCTTGTGCTTTTGACGGTCTCCTTCGATGGACGCCCAGCTTTCATTTTGTGAACCCAAATGACAGTGGATCTCGAGACGGCGAGGCGCCCCCGCTCTTGCATCACCATTACACCCTTCAGCCGGACCAGTTGCCGGCCCGCCCGTGCAGGCTGTCCTCCTCCAGAAGCCTCCGCACACCCCAGAAGTCCTCGACATTCCAAGAGGTCATTCGACCGCTCAGAAGCGCTCGCTTATACAGTCTAGTTCAGCTGTTCAACGCACGTCGTCCTGCAGGCAGCCTACAAGCACGCTTCGATCTCGGCGCCTGCCTTCGACGTCGACCGCATCCAGCTGAATGTATTCTAAGATTACTGCTCGACTCCACGTCTGACTGCGCACCGTCTCACTTACTATAGCTGGCCTTCAAGCCGGTGCTCTTTAGCGCCCTTCTTATTCACCTTGTAACGCGCTCATTACGCGCGGTACGTCACTTCGTGTACGCGATTGAATATCCTGGAAGTGCTGAATTCGAATGAACCGTCTTATCTTACGGTAGAACGTTCTGTCGAAACTCTCTTCGGGCGTTTGCACCAGCATTGCCTAATGCCCAGCATTCCGGCGGCCGCTTAGCACACTGAATAAAGCGGTCGAACTCGAACCTATTGCGGGATCTTCACGAGAACGTCTGAGGCGCGAATGTATTCGACCGACGGCTATGCCACACACACTCCCTCCTCATCTCCTCGCGGCCTCATTTCACATCCCCCACGCCGGTTGCGACAACAACTGACAAGCGTTGTGGGCCGCTAGAGAACCCTTGCGGCGAAGGCACGAAGCAGAACTTTATGTGCTTTGTTGCGTGGCGCGCCTTCACGGACAACTTTCCGGAACCGACTCTCTTTGGCGCATCGCTTCCTCAGCCCCGCTCCCGCTTCCGCTCTCATTATCTGTGATACTGCTCACTCGAAGCATCGACCGAACTCCGCAGCTAGCCTCTCGTGCGTAGCGTCATCCTGAGTAGTCAAGCGCGAGCGATATGGGAGTTACCGAGAGCGAACCTGATGTGTTCAGTAACGGCTTGCAAGTAGGAACTGCGTTCGCGCAGAATTTGCGCCCATCTTTCATGCCCAGTTTGCTTAACCTGAAACAATCACACTTGCATATCCCCAATCCTAGCATAAGTGCACAAGATATACAGAGGTGTACATAGCCGACTTGAAAACAACGCGAACGTCGATGATACTCAGCACGGCTTCGTCATCCTTACACGAGGGTATCATACGCCGGTCGTCTTTTCCAGGAATTCTGAATGATTCGTCAGTTTCATATACACATCAACCATGACCTCCTCCACGTACCTCGCGTCAACTCGAACGCCGCGAACGTCGACGCGGCGGCAGGTATGCTACGGATTACTGCAAGAACAGTCAGTCTATCATTCAACACAGAGAAGCGTTGCAGACTCACACGTCGGCGACAATCCCCTAAACAGGCCCGCGACGCCGCCCTCCGCAACGACGGCCTTCAACTCCGCGGCGATATACTGCACGGGCGTGCCCGTGGGCGGCGTGGGGCGGAGCTGAACGCGCGACTTGACGACGTCAAGGGGGTAGGAGGACAGCCAGTAGGCCATCTGGGGGAGGGGCGGGTTAGTGAGAGTGGGATTGGGTTAGTTTGGGAGGGAGGGGAGTGGGGGCGAGCTCGAGGAGGAGATGATGAAGGGGGGATCGGTGAGCGGAGCGTGCATGGGGTGGCTAGGGTGCTAAGCGTCCTGAGATGTCATCGAGCATCGGCGAAGACGATGACGAGAAAGAGGGAAGGAAGGGCGGAGAAAACAACGAGAGTGAGATAAACAAAAAGAGAGAACGAAGAAAACATGGAGGAAACATGACACGCACCCCACCCGTCGACCCGCTCGCCATCAGCGCCCACACGGGTAGCTCGGGCCCATACTTCTCGGCGAACTTGCGCTTCGAGAACTCGTAGGCGGTGTAGAAGCTGAGAGGACGTGGGTCAGTCTTCAATATACGGTCAGGGAGGGAAAAAAGGGCAGGGAAGAAGGGAGGAAGTACAGGAAAGAGGCAAAGACGTACCCTGCGTAGGCGGGTATCTCGCGCGCGACGGTGACCTGGAGAGGGGGCTTAGCATCGTTCGACGCGTTCGGGACGGCATGCGTATGCGACGAAGGGCACGTCCGCACATAGACATTGTGCCCAAGAGCAGCTCTACCCAGACTGCACAGTCGGGCCACTCACCCAGTACCCCCGCATAACGCCCTTCCTAAACCCCCATTCGCGCCACATCTCGCGCGCGAGGACGCTCAGTCGCTTGTCGGTCTTGTCGCCGTACTGGCCTTGCATGCGGACCTTGAACATCTCGACTGGGTGATGAGAGGTGGTCAGACTGGAGCGCAGAGAGGGGACGGAGTTGGAGAAGTCATGGAGCGAAGGGGAACGGGACGAGGGGAGGGAATGGCCGACGAGGACTACGACGTACCCGGACTCGCAAGCACCGCGTTTATGGCGCCTGCAAGAGCACCCGCAGCGGCGATCTCCTTCAAGGATAGCTGAGGGAAGGGGGAAATGATGCGTTTTGAGGTACCGTAGGCGGCGAAGAGAAGGGAGTTGACGCCAGCGATGCCGAGGAGGGGGCTGGCCATGCCTAGAGTAGCTTAGCAAAGGCCTTCCGTCTAGCTGGACGCGTAGCACACCCTTGTATAGCGCTAGGAAGCCTTCCCTCCGGATCGTCTGCACGAGGATGTCCATGGGTCCTTTCTGCAGACAGGCGCATTATAGACGTTTCCCTTGATGAGACAGAGTCGGGCTTACAAACTTTCCATCTGAAGAGGTCCCAAGGTGCCGTCAGCTCAGAGGAATGCAAAGGGGAACGCGCAACACGCACGAGGAGCGATCTGCGCGCGCGTCTTGATCGTGTCAAGCGGCTGACCGACGAGGACCTGCGCCGCGCCGCCGACGCTGCCAGCAATCAGCTCGTTCACGGTCGCTGCCGTCTTAGACTGGGGAGCCATGGTCGTCGGGATGGTGAACGTAGGTGGGAAGGAGGTCGTCGGCGTCGGCGATAGGCTGCCAAGGGCGCGCGAGGCGGCGGCGGACCGCGGTTAGCGCCATCATCGTTGGTGATGAGCACGCAAGCGGCGTCCGGGCCGCTCGGCCGTATCTTATCTGCTCCCTCCATCATCACGCATGTTCGACTTCAGATGCAGGACGAGGAGGGAGGGGAACCCGAGAAACGATGAACATGGATTTCGGGGTCGCTTTCAAGCCTGAAGTATCGCCACTACGGGCCCCTACGTCGTACTGAATGCGATGGAGACACCAGAATTGACCATGGCGTCGCGTCATTGATGCGGCCCTGTTCGCCATCGACTCTCACCTGAACGTGCTTGGATGCGTCTGCAGCCTCGACGACGCCCTCGCTGGGTCGACTCGAGCGAAAAATACTGAGGAACCACTCTCCAGTCAGCAACAATCTCGAGGATAACCTGCCTCTCGTAATCCCGCTCCCCACGAAGAGCCTGTCCGGACCCCGGTCCTATGCAGTCGCGCCATATCGACTTCGCCTTGCTACACGCTATCAGTAGTACACGCCATCTGCTGACCCGGTTATGTCTATGCACCGCTCCCCTTATACACGCGCAGTAGTCCTTGCTGCTTTACTCTCACCTCTACGTTCGTTGGCGGCACGCTGCGTTGCTCGTCCTCAAGGAGGGAGACATACACCAGAGACAAGATGGGCGCCACTGCATCGACAGGTACGCGCTCTGCGTGATGTACAAGGTGCATGGAAGACTGATCTGCGTCTTACAGCCGCGGGGCCAAAGAACATCGCTATCATAGGTGCCGGCGCCAGCGGTGAGCGGCATCCCCTCTTCATGTTCACTAGAAGCGCTTCATCACGCTCCGGTTTCCCTCCTTCCTCCTGGAGAACGTCCCGCTCATCTCATTCTTCAGGTCTCGCTGTATTGAAGGCCGTACTCGATGCACCACAGTTCAAGGCGGGCCAGTGGAAGGTGATGTTGTACGAGGCGCGCGACGATATTGGAGGAATATGGTGCGTATCTCTCATCAATTACGCGTTTACGAATGACTTCCTTCTCCATCCACAAGGCGTCACCATTGCTGACTTTTCTTCGGTAGGAACCCCATCGAACCCATCCATGACCCGCCCCTCACTCCGCTTTACGACGCCGTCTTCACTAACATTCCACACCCCATTATGGCGTACACGAGTTGGAAATTCCCGCCTGAGACGCCTCTCTTCCCCACGCACGAGCAAGTACACGAGTATTTCAAGAGCTACGCGAAGCACTTCAACTTGACGCCGCACATACGATTCAACTCGCGGGTCAAGCTTGCGGAGAGGGTAGATGATAGGTGGAGGATCACGTTGGAGGGCGTCGACGAGCAGACAGACGGCGATCAATTCCCCGCCGACCTTCTGGTCGTCGCGAACGGGCACTACCGCAAGCCGCGCTATCCTAACGTCCCCGGCGTTCAGGCCTGGCTCGACGCCGGGAAGGCGAAACACTCCACGTGGTACCGGCGCCCCTCTGACCTTGGGCGCAAGCTTCTCATTGTCGGTGGCGGACCTTCTGGCACTGACATCTCCGACGACCTCCGCGACCACGCCGACACCATCCTCCACTCCGCGACCGAACCGCCCAAGCATCGCTTCTCGAACATCCACGCCCGCCCGCGCGTCGCTGAATTCGGCGACCCCGAAACCGGTACCGTGCGCTTCGCCGACGGGACCGTCGAGTCGGGCATCGACTACACCATCCTCGCGACCGGGTACCAATTCTGGCTGCCCTTCCTCCCCGAGGACGTCCTCAAGGTCGCCGAGCCGCCCAAAGCCCCGCCCCTCCCAGACGACCTCTACAACACCACCTACAACCTCTTCCCCCTCGCGCGCAACGTCTGGCCCTTCCAGTTGAACTACCCGCCGCACACGCTCGCCTTCATCGGTCTCGCGCGCCACGTCATCACCTGGCCCGTCATGGAGGCCGAGGCGCGCGCCGCGCTCGCCGTGTTCGCGGACCCGGGCATCCTGGAGGGCGAGCCGGACCGGCTGCGCGCGCGCGCGGAGCGCTTCGCGGACCACCCGCACGACATCCACGTCTACAAGGGCTACGAGCAGTTCGTGCTCCGCAATGAGCTCTTCTACCTCGCCGCGCGCGCGAGGGAGCCCGTGTCGGGGCCGGGCGGGATCGCGGACGGGGGCGTGTACCTGGTGCAGGAGTGGGAGCGGGAGCTGTTCGAGCACATGTTTGCGCTCAGGCGGCTGTGGGTGGAGATTGTGGAAAGGGGGGAGGCGGAGAAGTGGCTGAAGGGGGTGGGGGAGAATGGGATTGAGGATTGGTTGAAGTTGGCGAGACGGATCTTGCGCGAGGCGGGGGAGGGGGAGGTGGGCAAGCTGGATGAGTTGGAGGCGGTGCCGATATAGGTGGGTGTAGTCACATGTACTAGACACTAATAAACGGACATGGTGGCTGTCAAAGACACGTTGGCGCCTGTGAGGGAGGGGAGGAGTCCCCCTTGGTTCGTCCGTTCCCGAGGGAGCCCACCGCACCTCCGTCGCTTTGAACTCGCACAAAGACCGTCTAGCACACGGTTATTGGTTTGGCGCGCACGCTGCGCAGGAGGGAGGAGAGAAGTAAAGAGGGAGGGGGCGAAGAGGGAAGCACGCCCCCTTTGTATCTCTCGTGAAATTGTTTTACGCGTACATTAGGCAGCTCGTAGTCTAATCATGAAACTGACTCTGATGAAACCCCGACAGCGAGACCCCCTTCTCCTCCTCCCCGAGCGAGTGGTGCAAGTACGACGGCCTACCCCCCCTTCTCCGTCCCACCATCCCAGTCCCCTACCCTCCATCCTTCCCCTCGGCAGCGACGGCGCTCCTTCATTCGCCTTCAGCACCGCCTCATCTGCCGCGCTTGTCCGCACTCGCCCTCCCTTTCCCTCACATCCCACCCCACTTACATCCCCCCTCCCCACGAGGGCGCCGACGGACAGCGCCGACGGAAGCTTCATCCTCGCGCGATGTAGAGGCGTACAGATTGCCCCTGCACAGTCGTCAGCCACGAAAATGTGGGCGCAAAGGAAGGGGGAGCGCCCCTCTTCTCGGCTGTTCTGGCCAGGGCGACCACGTCGACGACACGCCTGCTGAGTCTGAGCCCGCCTACGAGTGCCCCGAGGGCCGCGACACCTGCTCTGCTGATGGTGTGGACCCGATCCGTGAGTAGCTTGCTCTGCTTCGCTCGGGGCTCGCATCCCTACCCTCCCCACCGTCGCGCACCCCTCGCCGGTTTCTCAGGTCTGAGAGTCGCGTGCAGAGGGCGCGCATCGTGGGGTTCAGGTAGTTGGACGACGTGTAAACGTGGTGATCTAGACGGAGGGGGCGCATATTGTCGGAAAAATCCCAAGTACCTAATTTGGCATAGAGGGCGTAATGGTCTAATTACGCCTGGCGTGGTGGCGAATTACGCCGCGACTATGCCCAGCTAGGGCTCTCTATGCCACCTACCTCGGATTAGGTGTGATTCACCCCTACCTCTCCGAGGCTCCGGAGCTCGAAGGGAAGGGGCAAGCATGGTCGGGGCTTCATCCACGCATCTCGCGCGCTCGTGCCCCATGCCGCATCATAACATTGCCCTCGAACCTCCGCTGTATAGCCCGTACATTCTGTATCAATACAAAATCTAGATATCGTCACCAATAGTACGCAAAAACATGTCCGAGTCAAGTGCATCTACTAGATAGTGAAGCTCCTTGCGAGATTGGCCGAACGCAGGCGCGAGCAGCGCTCCTCTCACCATGTAATCCATGAGCACGAACTCAGTGTTCTTGCTCTCGGAATAGATCCGGGCCCCATCCCACTGCGTACGCGGTTTCCACGTCGAGCGCTGATGGGATCCGTATGCTCCTCGAAAGACGCACGGTACAGTCTGCTTAGACGAACCACACCACCCAACACCAACAACCACGACAGCAACGCGCGTCTAGCTTCGTAGCTTCGTCTGAGGAGCGAGCGAGTCCGCTTGATTTGTATTGCTAGGGGATACCCTGCGCCTTATTGGCGGCTCACAGACGAGCTGGACTGATGCGAGACTTCAAGCGTGCAAGAGGCACCTCAGAATTCACACAAGCATTCCCAGGTTTCAGTTGGAATCTTCACAGGCTTATCAGGCGCTCAGAAGTCCGAGTTTTATGATGTACAACATGCTGGCAGCATGAGGGATTTATTGGTGTATAGTAGGTGGTAGGTTGTGGAACCCCTGCCAGAGGCAGCAAAGGGGACGCTTGGGGGCGACCTCCGGGCTCCCTGAATCGTATGTAGGGCTCGGTATATAACGGAAACGCGTCGTCTCGGCCGTCTAGGCCGAGCGGTAACACACAAACCCTATCTCTGAGTCAAAATCCAACAATAGCGCCTTTCCATGCGTTCTCCTGTCCAAATAATCGCGCAAATACTCCGGTTCCTGGCGGTAGAGCGGCTGACTGGTTGGGTATCCTCCTGCGCAGCTTGGCTGGGCGCAATCTCCACACGGTTTGATGTTTACCAAGGGCAGTGCCTGCTTGGGTTCCACCGGTCTCCTCTGACTCGACGCAGGCTCAGAGGCCCGTCCGGTGAGGAGGACGCAGTCTAGACGGTTGAAACGCAGTGAACGATGCCCTTGCCGA